TGCTGGCCTTCCTTCTGAATATCAATCTGTCTCGACCATGATTAGTCACAAAGTCCCGTTGCCTAATTTTGTTGAAGCTCACTCCATGCTTTTCTTGCACGAAGTGCAACTACAGAATACCATCCCTGCTACTCCTCCCGCGGCAACTCCGGCATTAGTTGTAGCTTCTTCAACTGAATCCCTTCCTACTTCAGCCGCCTCTCAACCTTTCACCAACAATCGTGGTCGCGGTCGAGGTAGGTTTTAGAATTTTCGGGGGCGCGGCAGTCGCGGACGTGGCCGAAATCAATCTGGGTCAGTATAATTCTTTTTTATCCTGCTTACTCTAATTTTCAGCCTCCTATGTTTTCTTCCAGAAATCGTGCTCCTTCACTTCTTGGTCCAGCTCCCTCTTTTCAGCTAAGACAACTTGCTATTCACTGTCAATTATGCAATCAAGAGAATCACTCTGCTCGAGACTGCTTCCAATTTCGGTAACCCGCTTACTTTGTCGATCAATATACTCGACCTCCTGCTCCTCCATCCGTGAATTCATCCTGGTATATGGATACCGCTTGTAGTAACACTATGACTCCCACTCAAGGTATTCTCTCCAATTCAAAGCCTTATAATGGATCCACTAGGGTTGTGATTGGTAATTGTAATATGTTGCCCGTCAAATCTGTTGGCACTATTTCTTGTTCTTCGTTTAAATTTCTTCGCGTTTATTCTGTTCCTTCTATTGCGAAAAATCTTATCTCTATTCGTCAATTTGCTACTGAAAATCAATGTTCCGTTGAATTTGATCCTTTTGGCTTTCCTGTGAAGGATCTCTGGACGAGGATCCCTCGTCTACGTTGCAATAGCACTGGGTCCCTTTATACCTTTCCTTCTACCTTGCTACATCAGTCTCTTGCACCATCTTCCTTGTCATGTCCGGCGTTTGCTGCTCCAGTGTCTTTCCAAGTGTGGCATCAACGTCTTGGTCACCCGCACTCTTCTGTCTTGTCCAGTTTAGTGTCCCGTCAGAGTCTTCCTAGTTCGGTGGTTTCGTCCAATAAGCTTTACCTTTGTCAAGCATGCCAAATTGGAAAGCATCATAAGCTTCTTTTTTAGTCTTCGTCGTCTGTCACTTACAGTCCTTTTGATATTATTCATACTGATGTCTGGACTTCTCCTTGTCTTTCTTTTAGTGGTTTTAAATATTTTGTTCTGTTTCTAGATGATTTTACTCATTACCTATGGGTGTATCCTCTCAAAAATAAATCTGAAATTCCTCAAAAATTTGTTGAATTTTATAATCTTGTTCAAACTCAATTCCGTTCTTCTATTAAAATACTTCAATCAGACGGTGCTGGTGAATATGTTCGTTCTCAATCTCTTCAAACCTTTCTTAAATCAAAGGGGGTCGCAATGCGAGTCTCTTGTCCATATACTCCCCAACAAAATGGGAAGGCTGAACGGATGAATTAAACTATACTTAACATGGTCCGTACTCTTCTTCATCAAGCCCAATTACCAAATGAATTATGGGTCGAAGCATTAACCACTTGTATTTATCTCTTAAACCGGCTGCCTACTACATCTAAGTTCGGAGCTGTCCCTTTCTCACTTCTCTTTGGCCATCCACCTAATTATGGGGTACTTAGGATTTTTGGTTGCTCTTGTTTTTCAAATCTCTCTCATTTAACATCTCATAAACTTAGTCCTCGTTCAGTTCCTTGTGTGTTTCTTGGTTATCTAGAATCATATAAGGGTTATCGTTGTTTTGATCCAGTCTCTCGAAAGTCTACATTTCCCGTCATGTCATTTTTTATGAAACTTTGTTTCCTTTTCCTACACTATCCGCTTCGATTCAGCCTCTTCCTACCTCGGCCCCCTCATTTAAACATCCTTCCTTTCTCATTTCCAAATACCTTACACCGATTATCTCCTCTCCCTGCAAACCTCCTGTTTCAGATTCTATCTCTGCCACCCCAGTTTCCGTTCCTACTCAACCTTCAGATCCTATATCCTCCGTTGCTCCCTCACATCCTATGGTCACCCGCACTTGGGATGGCACACGAAAATCCAAACAGATTTTCTCCCTCACTGCCACTACCAATTCTCCTTCTCTTCCCATAGAACCAAAATCTTTCACTGAAGCAAATAAATACCCTGAATGGTGTGCTGCTATGAGTGATGAATACGACGCCCTTCTGTCTAATCATACATGGGATTTAGTCCCACTACCTGTGTCTGCAAATGTCATTGGTTCTAAATGGATCTTTCGTGTGAAACTCAAATCCGATGGATCCCTTGATCGTTGTAAAGCACGTTTGGTTGCTCAGAGTTTTAATCAAAAACCTGGGCTTGATTATGATCAAACGTTCAGTCCTGTGGTTAAACCAATGACAATTCAGACTGTCTTAAGTATTGCTGCATCTCGTAAGTGGCCCGTCCATCAATTGGATGTTAAAAATGCATTTTTGCATGGCCATTTAAATGAAGTTGTCTATATGAAACAGCCTACTGGCTTTGTTCATCCAAACCATCCTCACTATGTCTGTCGCCTGAACAAAACTCTTTATGGCTTAAAGCAGGCCCCCCGAACTTGGTTTTACCGCTTTACTACTTTCCTGCTTACACAGGGATTTAAAGGCAGTCGCTTGGATTCTTCTATGTTTGTTTACACTGCTAGCACTGACATGCTGTTCTCCTCCTCTATGTTGATGATATTCTCTTAACAGCCTCTAGTGATCCTCTTCTCACCAGACTTATTCAGTCTCTGAAGGGTGCTTTTGCCATGACTGATCTTGGCCCTATCAGTTACTTCTTGGGTGTCTCGGTTTCTCCCCAGTTAAATGGTTGGTTTTTGCATCAACGCAAGTATGCTAAGGAATTACTTTCTCGCAGTCATCTCATTAAAGCTAATCATGTTGCCACTCCACTTGCTCCGGCTTTTCAGTTATTTGTTGATGAGTCACCACTATTTCATAATCCGACTCTCTACCGCAGTTTGGTGGGTGCCCTCCAATACCTTACTTTCACTAGACCGAACATTCAGTATGCTGTCAATCTTGTCTGTCAGCATATGCATGATCCTCGGGAGCAACATTATCAGGCTGTTAAGCGCATTCTACGGTATATTAAGGGTACCCTTTACTATGGTATTCATATCCGTGCTGGTTCTCTTGATCATCTTATGGCTTATTCGGATGCTGATTGGCTGGGTGTCTGACAACTAGATGTTCTACCACTGGGTTCTGTGTCTTTTTAGGTTCATCATTGGTCTCGTGGTCTTCCAAAAAGCAATCTACTGTTTCACGATCTTCTGCTGAATCTGAGTACCGCGCCGTTACCACTACCTTATCTGAAGTTGTTTGGTTAGAAAATCTTTTATCCGAGCTTCACATCAAGCTTCCCAGATCTTCAGTTATTCTGTGTAATAATATTTCGGCTACCTACCTTGCCGCCAATCCTGTTAATCATGCCAGAACAAAGCATATTGAGCTGGATATCCATTTTGTTCGTGAAAGAGTTGCTGCTGGTCTTCTTGTTGTTCGTCATATCCCCACACAATCTCAACTTGCAGATGTCTTCACCAAGTCATTAGCTAAAGATAAATTCTATTTGTTTAGAACCAATCTAGGCATGATTCCTCATCCTGCTACGATTGCGGGGGGATGATAGAGTGTGTAATTAAGAAAACCAAATTAGGGTTTCTGGAATAGTCGGCTAGGGTTTTATGTATTCTTATATATATATATATATATATATCTCAATGTACAATCGGTAATACATACAGAAATATAATTCTTTCAGTAGTTTTGAAAACCTTACAAAAGCAGTACGCACAGACGATAGAGTACAACATCGATCCTTATCTCTGGCACCAACTTCATACAACCGGGGAAAAATTCACATCAGGAGCTTGCTTACCAAAATATCTCCAGATACCGATAGGTATCGAAAATTACAATAATGTTTCTGATGAAATGTGCCGCATGGAGATCGATCCATATCCGGAGTGCTTGTCTCTTTTGTAACCTAGCCAGTCTATGTATGATTTTATGTTCAATCGACTCAATAAGTTTAATGCCTCATTGAATTGAAATGTGAATTAAAGCAGGCAATTATATACTTCTTAAGAAGGGTTTACTTTAATTAATTATGAGAAAGGAACAAAAGGCTTCCACCTGAATTTAGATAGGTACAATGACTTCCGACTCTAGACATGTAACGCGCAATAAGAAAAGAGGATTAATGTATTGGGAATTTGCTTGCCACGCTGGAAAAAATAAAAGATTAATCAAACTTCTTGATTATTTTCGTTCAATTCCTCAACGACAATACATGATTACTATTTTTTTTTTCTTTTCCATGTATCCATGACTATGAAGCATGGACCAGTAAACAAAGAGAAATTAATAGAGGATCATACACTACTTGTAATCTGTGTGATTTTCACGCATGAATTCCTTTATGTTCATGCTTCATTACTTTGTGCATATATCTAGCTAGTTAGTTATTTCTACCTACTAGTCTTAGATCATATAGCAGTAATTATTTTATTTTATTTTAATTTTTGGGATATGTAGTAGTGGTAGTAAATATAATAAAACACAAGACTTGAATGTTGAATCATCATCTCACGTACAGAGTTGCGCGCGGCAACAAAACACCGAGAGAGGATAGCGATGAACGGACTCGATTATATCATCCACCGCTCTAAAATACTATAATAAATTCAAAAAGAAACAAAACAAGGGAAAAGAAAAGGTAAGAATAAGATTAAGAAATGGCAGTACTTGCATGGCAACCGACGGATTTCTATACGTGTAACTTAGCTTTCACAGAATTCAAACACCTCAATTCCACCTCCCTTGAAATCTCTGCAACACGTTGTATACATGCAATGGATCAATCCCCCTATAAAAACCCCCCTCCTATCTCCATTTTATTCACTCCCATCAAATCCCAAATCAATTCAAAAAACTCACTCCTTTTTTTTCTTCAGTCTAAGCAGCAGCAAAACAAAAGAAAGCCAAAAATGGCCAAGTACTTAGTATTTGTAGCAGCAATGATGGTGGTGTTCTTGGGCCTTGCTCAGGCCACCAGGTTCACTGTGACCACTGTCCTCGACGAGGAAGTCGACAACCCAGTAGCCCAACGAGGATGCCAGCGCCAAGTCCAGCAGCAGATGCAGCAAATCAGGAGCTGCCAGCGCTACTTATCATCCAGGATCCAGCAACAACAAGGCGGCGGCGGATACCTCGACGAAGTCATCGAGGAGTTCGGAGTGGACCAAGCAGGAAGGCAGCCTCAGCAGCAGGAGGTACAGCAACAGCTCAGGCAGTGCTGCAACGTTCTCCAGAACCTGCCGGAGCAGTGCCGGTGCGAGGCCGTGAGGACCGCCGTGAGGATGCAGCAGCAGGAGGGACAGCAGTGGGGCCAGCAGGGACAGCAGTCTCAGCAGCAGATCAGGAGGCTGGCTAGTTTCCTCCCTCAGCAGTGCAATGTGGGCCCCCAGCAATGCCAAGTTTAAGAAGATTGATTAATTACAAAAATTTAATCAATCTTCTTCTTCGAATAATAAAAATTTCCGTGACTTCTGAATAAATACAGCTATATATCTATGTATGTATAGCGAGCTGGCTTTTAATAATGTACGGAAATCGGATGCTTTAGTGTTTTTGTAAAATACTTCTTCTATCTCCCCTGTGTAATGAGTACCTTGGCTGTGGCTATTGAAAATCAATGGAATTTGCCTTTCTCTATTAACTTGTTTTGTGTTCTACTGTCATTACTAGCTAGTATGTTAATTCGCCTCTTCGGTTTGAAGTTATTAGTAAATCTATAATTATAAAAATCTAATAATATCAGTTACAACCTAACATCAGCTGAGAAAATCGGCTTTGAGCAATTGATTTACTTCTTTTTTTTTCATCTTTTTTTTTTCACAAGAATCCTGGAGTATTCTTGTGCCTATTCCAGGATAAAGCAATCATGGAATATCATTATAAGGGAAAAAGTAAATTTCATTTCTGTGGAAGTACTGAGTCGTCGAATGTCATAATAACACCGAAGTTTTAGTCATCAAGGCTGTAAATAAAGGGATTGTAGCTTGTACTAAAAAAAATAGATAATGGATTCTGGTCACGTCGACTTCGGCAACCGATGCCATGTATAATGGAACGTAGCTTGTACCAAAAAATACAAATGATGAATTTTGGTTACCCATGCATTTAACACGTATAGTAATAAACTACCTAATACTTTCTAGATCAATATAACTATACTATTAGTCTTAATACATCTTAATATACTTTCTAGATAAATATAACTAAAAATTTAGTCTTAATACATCTTAATAAAATAATGGATACTAATTTTCCATCCAAACATAAATGATATATTACACACTCTAAATACTCCTTATGTACTAAACAAATATTACATAAACAAATATAATTCGATGTGAACTATTTTTTTTTTTGACAGCATTAATATTATTATTTTTTTAAATATTCGGGTTAATGAGTCTAATCCGGTAACCTAATTGATTAAAAGGTTAAGTAAGAGTTAAAAATAACCTAATTGATTAAAAGGTTATGTAAGATTTAAAAATCTCGACCTGTATAATTAAATGTGTTAGAGTCGAATATAAACAAAAAAGAATCGGTTCTGTACAACCGACCTGCTAATCTGGACCCAACCCATTTTATTGACCTAGTTGAAGATAAGATAAAATTGTTTGTATGATTTTGGATGTAATTTTGATGAAGGAATGAGAGTGAAAAAGAAAAATGGACGTGCTTTTTTAATTATATAACGTATGTGGTAACGTAAGGATAGCCATGCGAAGAGGAGCGTTACAATTTAAGGTACGTTTCTTTCCTTAAATTCGGTCTCTGGATATACGTATGCGTTACTGCTTGAGCAGTTTAATTATAACTCATACAGTATTTAAGTACTCGTGTCCTGCATCTGAGATAAGTAACTTATATATGTTACTCTGTTCATTTTCCCATAACAAGTTACTCTCTTTCATGTTCGAGGCAAACGTCCGCTAATTAGTGAATTGAAGTGTCTGCATGCAACGTACTATGTTGATTATCACAGTTCATAATTGTATGATTTATCATTGCTCAATTAGATCGTGTGCTAACCATTAATTAATACTATTGTCCAAATTTATCAGAACACAAATTCCATTCATTAATTACGCATCCATACATGATAAGTACACACATCAGTTGCGTTATACATCAAGCCAGGCTAGCCGCATTTTTAAATTTATTTAGAGCTTGAAAAGCAACAAAATACACAAAGATTGATTAATTTGCTTAATCAATCCAACATTGTTAATTAATAAGTAGTTTTAAACTCGGCATTGCTGTTGTCCCACATTGCACTCCTGGGGAAGGGAACTAGCCAGCTGCCTCATCTGATCCATCCGCTGACTCTGCCAGCCTCCCTGTTCCTGCCTGGCCTGCATCCTCAGCCCCATCCTCACCGCCTCGCACCGGCACTGCTCCGGCATGTTCTGAATCACGTTGCAGCACCGCCTCTGGTACTCCTGCCACGGCAGCCTCGGGGCCTGGTCCACTCCCGCGTACACTTCAATCTTCATTTCATCATCACCCCCCTGCTGCTGCTGGCTTCTGATATCCAAGTAGCGCTGGCAGTTCCGAATCTGCCTCATTTGTTGCCGGATTTGGCTCTGGCACTCTTGTTGTCCCCGCCCACTTTGGTTGATCATCGAGACCTCCTCATTGTCGTCGTCGAGGGTTGTGGTTATGGTGAACTTTGTGGCCTGAGCTAAGCAGGTGACTGCCACCATCATTGCTGCTATGAAAACTAAGTACTTCCCCATACTTTCTAGTTTGCTAAAGTTGCTTGGATATGGTAGAAAAGGTTGGAGGATGTGGTGTGGGAAGAAGGGTTGATGGAAAGGGGGTTTTAATAAGGGATTAGATCCATTGCATGTCCACAACGTGTTGCAAGAAGGGTTTCATTTTTCATGGCCATGTGGGATTGAGGTGTTTAAAATCTATGGAGTTGGTGTTACACGTATATAGTATTGTTTAGGCTATATCCATGCTAATCAGTGCGTTATGAAATATGTTAACGTTTGTTTCATATTTATTAATCTCGCTACATTGTTTCTTTCCCGATGAATATAGTATTAATTTAGGAAGGTAAAATGAATTAAGTACTCCATCCATTACAAAATAAGTGTCGTTTTAGCAAAATGGAGAAATTCCAAAATAAGTGTCGTTCTCACATTTCAATGCACTTTTTGTCAAAAATTTCCAAAATTACCCTCAAAAGAGTTGATGCTATTGGTAGACAATTTTATAATGGGGTTAATTGAGGATATTCAAGTAATTTTATTACCCTATTTAAGAGTTTCTTAAACTATGTGCAAAGTGTATGACGACACTTATTTTAGAATAGAGGGAGTAGTTATTAGAGTTTGGGGCTTTATTTGATCGCTACATATTTGGATTATTGTCTATTGGAATCGTATTTTACATTCATCACAGGCGGGATATCCATGGTTATGCGATTTCGGTCTACGAGTTAAAAATGTCAATATGAACATCTATATAGTTATTACAGACCGCGATATATTATCATACATCGGATGTCTAAAACAAAATGAATGTTGTTGTTGAAATTCAAATACTAGTCTGTTTTACGAAAATAATTCACAATCGTATTGTAAACAATGGAATTGGACTAATGTTATTTTGCGAGGAAAACTATGAACGCTTAGGCTTTGTTTGTTTCCTTTTTTTGTTGGTTTTTTTAGAATTTAATATTAATAATTATCCCATCCCAACATATTTTTTTACATTTTTAATACATCTTTTTACATTCCCAATGCAAAAAATACATAAAAACACACACTAAAAAAACAAAATAAACAGACCCTTAGTTTGCAGATGTGCTATTTCAGTGCGCACTGCCAAATTCCGATGGTGCCCTTGATGGGAAAAGCAAAAACGAAATTGAAATTTAGGAATAAAGTCGGGGGTAGATCAGTCCTTGAAGTAAAAATATGACTGGAAAAGCAAAGTTTAAGCCAGCTATATCCACGATGAAGAAAGATGATACTCTGTCATGGGGTCCATCGAATTTCCCAAAATATAATCCCCCCAATCCAACGGCCTGCATCTTCCACCCCCCAAATCGAACTCTGGAGCTTCATTTAATTCCAGGCCTTCCTTTGATTTGAGGCTCTGTTTCTATTTTTTCAAAAAAGAGGGCGGGCGTTTCATTCATTTCAGTCCCAATCTATAATTTGCTCCTATTCTCTCAGAGAATCAAAGAGAAGAAAGAGAAAAGGAGAATCGCACAACACCTAAAAGGTACATTTTTTTGCTATTCGAATCAAGGTTCTCCCTCAATTGGCTCTGCGAAGAAAGGTTGAGTTGTTTTGTTTTGTTTTTTTTTTTCGTTAATGTTTGTTTTTGTTGTAATAATGTGATTCTGTTTTTGAGAATTTGACGGGTAGATCTGCCATTAGGATTCTTGAGATGAAATGATAATGTAGTCGGATGATGTGATTAATCTGTTCTTCATGCTTTGCATACTTTTTTCCTCGTTGAGATGTATTATGAGTTTCATATAATTGGGAAATTGTGGAATTGGGTCAGATGATTATAATTTTGTTTTTGCAGTTTGTTAAGGGAATATCTGAATGTATATTTTCTTTTGATCCTCAATGGAAAGCTCAGTTTTAGTCTCGGTCCTTGCTTACATTATTTGCTTGCACTGTTACACATTCTGATTGTAGATTGCATATAATTAAGCTGATCTTCAATCTAATGTTGGTAGAATGGCCTGTTCTCAAATTATTCTGATGTGGGTGTTTAGAAGTTTTATCTGGCAGAGGATTTACAGAATTCTGTTGCTATATGCATTTTGAATTATGTCGTTAGACTGTATAAATATCTGTTGCTGCTCTATTTATATACCCAAGATCTGATATTAAAGATTTTGATTCACTCCTGAGATCGCCAGATTCTCCAGTTTCTCTGCATAATTCTTTTCTATTTTTATTCTATACAGCACTTTTAAAAGATGGCCGATGGTGAGGAGATCCAACCACTTGTTTGCGACAATGGAACAGGAATGGTCAAGGTAAATGTCCCTTTTTACAGAATAGTGGCAACATATAGCCCCTTAGTGGCATTAAGGTTTGTTTCTCAGAGGATTTTATATTGGATAGAATAGCCCGGGTCATGTTGGATGATATAATACGTTTGCATCATCATGAGCTGGAACTGACCATTCCTGATTATTTGTGCTGATCTATCTCAGGCTGGCTTTGCCGGGGATGATGCTCCAAGAGCTGTTTTTCCCAGTATTGTGGGACGCCCTCGTCATGCTGGTGTGATGGTTGGTATGGGGCAGAAGGATGCCTATGTTGGTGATGAAGCTCAATCAAAGAGAGGTATCTTGACTTTGAAGTACCCAATTGAGCATGGTATCGTCAGTAACTGGGATGATATGGAAAAGATTTGGCATCATACTTTCTACAATGAGCTTCGTGTGGCTCCAGAAGAGCACCCTATCCTCCTTACAGAAGCTCCACTCAACCCCAAGGCGAATCGTGAAAAAATGACCCAAATCATGTTTGAAACATTCAATGCCCCTGCTATGTATGTTGCAATCCAGGCTGTTCTATCGCTATATGCCAGTGGGCGTACTACTGGTAAGGGATTTCATTACCTCATATGTGAGCTCTTCATGGTTATGTAGTACCCCTTGGAAAATCTGGATTTGATGTGACAATGGGCATTGGCTGAAAATAGGATCCTGCATTTGGTTAATCATTTTTTTAACCATCTTGATTAACTCAAACATTAGTTGCATTGAAGTTGACACTTTTACGGGAATATGAAACTGCATTACCAGATTCCAAAATTGTTGTGATTCAGAGCTAGTAGTTGCTCTGTAAAATTGGAGTGAACAAGTAGGAGTGAGGATGGGTGACTTTGGAGAATAGAAAAAGCTCATTAAGATGAGATAATATGAATATTTATCACATTTAACTCTCTATTAGATTGTTTGAGGTCCATTTAAAGCTAACATTTGTTGAGTTGTCCGTTTCTGGATTTCTTATGATATTCTGTCTATGTTTCAGGAATTGTGCTGGATTCTGGTGATGGTGTCAGCCATACTGTTCCTATCTATGAAGGTTATGCCCTTCCACATGCCATCCTCCGTCTTGATCTGGCAGGTCGTGATTTGACAGATCATTTGATGAAGATATTGACTGAACGTGGCTATTCATTCACCACTTCTGCGGAGCGGGAAATTGTGAGGGATGTGAAGGAAAAACTAGCCTACATTGCTCTTGACTTTGAACAAGAGCTTGAGACTTCAAAGACTAGCTCAGCCATAGATAAAAGCTATGAGCTGCCTGATGGTCAAGTGATCACTATCGGTGCCGAGCGCTTCCGCTGTCCAGAAGTCCTATTCCAGCCGTCAATGATCGGGATGGAAGCTGCTGGCATTCATGAAACGACTTACAATTCCATCATGAAGTGTGATGTTGATATCAGGAAGGATCTTTATGGAAATATTGTCCTCAGTGGTGGTACCACAATGTTCCCAGGCATTGCTGACAGGATGAGCAAGGAAATTACAGCGCTAGCTCCAAGTAGCATGAAGATTAAGGTGGTGGCTCCACCCGAGAGGAAATACAGTGTGTGGATTGGAGGGTCCATCTTGGCCTCTCTCAGCACATTCCAGCAGGTACTTTTCACAAGCACATTTAAATTTTTAACCTTCAGTTGTGCTGCATTGCTAATGTTTGAATATGCATGTTGATTCTCATACGTGCTTAGAAAAACTGAGATACGAGCTAGTTAGATCTGCTATTATTCAGGCTAAAAAAATGGGGCAATCTATCACAAGAGGAGGTTCTCGGTATAAAATGTCCAAATGAAGACATCCCATTTTGGTTCCAGCATCTTATCTTTGTGTTATACATTTCATTTTTGGCTACTAAAGAACTTGGTACATTTATGCCGAGAATTAAAAAAGAGAAGTTTGAACACCCCGTCCATTTTCTTAATATACTTTTTCCCTTTCGTGTTGAAGATTTATTTTTTGAGGAACTTAGGCTAATTTTTGCTGATGAATTTGCAGATGTGGATAGCAAAGGCAGAGTATGATGAGTCTGGCCCTTCCATAGTTCACAGGAAATGCTTCTAAATTTGTGGGAAATGGATACTGGTTGGATTGCTTGGAAGAAAGTTTTATACACTTGGTTTGTAATTTTATTTTATTTTTATCTTTCATCTTATTAGTTCCTTCTTCTTTTTTCCATTCTTTTTATCTTGAGTTTTCATTGCCAAAAAACATGGTGAACAAACCAACCTGGCGGAGAGAAGCTAAGCTTAGCAATTAGTAGCTATATTAATCTTTTTTGGGATAAATATATTTGTTGTAGAAGAATATTATTGTAATCTTTTCTGGCAACTTCATGATTGTATGCTTGATTAAGAATTATTCTAAATCATCAATGTAAACTCTGATACATTATCTGCCCAATACACAAAACGCTAAAGAAACTGCAAGACCGTTTCTCATAATGAAACGAACACTGAATTGGCAGAATCAAAGCAAATGAAGCAAGATCAGTAGAATTGTGATGGGAAAAAAACTTAGAAATCATGTAAGCATATCTGCCTTTCAGAAAACTCGTTGCAAGCTTGACTGCGTACAAAACGCCAGATTGAAGCTTGCTCATGGTTCACGAACTTTATAAACTGATAAAAAAGATGGTTATTCAATCTCAATTCAAGGCCTAACACATATCAACTTCACATCTTCCAGAGGTCTCTATTTGTTCAGAACACATTTTTCACGGAATCCTGAATCCGTTCCCTCGAGTCCAACAACCTTGTCAACAGGAAAAATGTTCTGAAGTGTATTGATGACAAACGCAATCAGCTAAGTACAAAACATGGAGAAAGTGTATGGCAGGCAAAAAGAATAGGGGGGGGGGGGTGTTTACAAACAGTATTAGCCATCTCTACAAGATAGTGAAACCTTAACTTTACAACTCACAAAGATCAATCTAACTTCTTTTAACTGATGGGAGAAAAAATAAAATAACAAATACAGCATAAATCAATGTAGAAAAGAATCCAAACTACAACCTTATTGTATCTTCAATAACTGCTCCTACTCCCTAAATACATCTCAGTGGATCATTTAGTTTCTATGCTTTACCTAGAACATTTCATTTGCCAGACGTTTGTGCCGGTTATAATGTTTCTCCATAAACACTCTCGAAGCACCCTCCACCGTTCTGCGCCAAGTCTGTAATACACATGAATCAAAGAAGAAATGAAAATTCAGCTAACATAATACGAACCGGGCTGTACATGTTCACGGAATTCCAATTTAAAGATTGTTTGTATTAGCAACACAGAAGTTTAGCATATTACAGCTACTTTTGCTACTCAATCTTAGACAAAACTGTTTTTCTTCTTCAATAAACATCATTCAAGGAAAAAAGATTGAAAATGGGGCCGCAGCACATCTGTTATTTAGCCCAAATCCCATCATAAACACAACAAAGGAACTGATAGTTTTTTATTAAGCTGTTTATCTCATTAGATGAAGATTAATACACGATTTATACTACAAAGATTGAACAAATGACAGAACAACTAGTTTGTAGTGGAGCTGTTTTTCTCCTTAAATAAAACATATTCATAAGTTAAGTTTGACTTCTGAAATTTCCTAAAAGATTGAGACTACAGCATCAGAATTGCAGCAGAGATTAAAAGAAATTCGAATCATTATATGAGCATAAACAAAAGATACATAACCATCAAAGTATGCTTAAATATCTCACCTTCCCGATAACACCAAAGATGTATTTATGCTTGATATCCCTGACCCTCAACCTCCTAACCACCACCACCGCCGACGTCTTCCGGGATGATGCCGGCACCGGTACCGGGGGCAAAAGACACTTCCTTTCAACAATTGCACCGTTTAAACCAGATCCCTGATCGCCATCATCAACATACATTCTTCCCTGACTAAAAATCCCAGCTTTCATAGCCTTCACATTACTACTCCTCTTCATCCTCTTCGCCAACCGGAGCTCCTTCTTGTCATCTGAAGCAGAACCCACCTCGGCAAACTTCCTCAGCAGCTCATCTGATGATTTCTTGCCCACATGCTGTACTCTCTTTTCAGATGTAGCAATAATAGTACTATTAGCTTCAGGAGTTGTACTGTTATTACTTCCTTTTGCATCCATTTTTTTTTTCTTTCTTATTGCAGAACTCTGTTTTGGGTGGAAATGAGATGATGATGAATTGTGATTAATTGTTAAAATGGAGGATAATTGGAGGGAGGAATGAAGAATGGAAGAGGATGGATCTTATTAATTGTAATTTGATCTGGTGAAAAATGGACCGTTAGGAGAGGGGCGGTGGGGGGTATGATTCCGATTCCATTTGTTTATGTGTATCAGATGATTGATGATTAGGAGGAATTTAGAGGTGAGTTAATGAAGACAGAAAAGATAGCCGTTAGCAGATTAGGCGCGGACTGCTGTCTCATGGGCCACTTCAATTAGTGGTTTGATGCGCTGGCATTCTTAATTGGGCTTTTGTTTGTTATTATTTTTTAGCCCAGTTTATGCTGAACTTCAATGAGCCCACTATGGGCGATTCCCTGGTCAGTTTTCCACTCTTGAAACTTGAAAGACGTTTCAAGCTGGATCTCCAGTCTCCGTGATCCGACTCCGTATGTTGTAATTTTAAGACAAAACAGAGCACTTAGTGATGCAACTATGGGAAGAGATACTTTTCTTGTCTCAAAAATATAATCTAAAATTTAATGTAGATTATTTTTTTAAATAAAGGTAGGATTAAATCACTTTAAACTCTCAGCTATACATCATATATATTAGGGTTGTACATTGGCCTAGTGGTGTTGCACTTGGGATAACAAATTCAAGCAATGCAGTTATCATATTATTATTATGTAATAGTAACGGAAAAAAAAATTATAGACTTAAGCTTTATTTGTCACGTTACAGAATGTAATTTTTAATTTAGGCAATGGAATCTTAATCATGGTTTTACCCTCAAGATTAAATGGTTTCCAAATCAAAAAATGCCATCACATAATTAGCTAGCACGGAGTTATTCAAGATGACCAGTAATTAAAGCTTCTAGCCTGCATGCGATATTAAGGATAAACCAGGGAAGAGACAGTATAAGAAAATGCCAATACAGATTTGATAGACTTTAACGTGATATTATTATCCGTTTAACGAGTGACAAAGATATTTATTAACACTAAAATATCAGAACCATATTATTTCTACAGTGGATATGCAGCAGGCAATATATATGTATAGACAAATTAATCATTAGCTAGGATCGATTTTGAAAATGAATTCCATTACTGTAAAACTCTAAAAAAGTCTTAATCATTGGCAAAAAGAATTTATAGACGCGGATATACATAGATGAATAGGTCTCACAAAATTTGTATATCTAATAAGATTGGATATGGGTTTAGCCATCCATTTGACCACTTCAGTCAAAATGTTTTGTCCAAACCGCATTAAAGAAATAGGAACAGGCCGGCTCTCAGCCTGCATTTACACTCACTTCATCAGAAGAATGTTGCTTCCTACTTTCGTTCAAGATCCAGGCGTCAATCAATGATCTATACATAGTTGGAAAAATTCACAATAATAATATTGTTATTTTCATCATTATTTTGTTTTTAAAAATAATTAAGACGGTTATCTTGGAACTAATGAAATAATCAAGCTGATGTTGATAAATCCTACTTCTTCTGTCCCAAAATTATTGTCCAGTTTCATTTTTCACTTTTAGTATAATTTCAACTAAAAATGAAAACTCAAACTGGATAATAATTATGAGACGAACGTAGTATCATGCATGAAATAAGCATCATGAACCGATCTCTTTTTTTTGCGCCTATAACTTTTACCGGTGAAAAGTAACAGTAGTAATAACAATAATTACTCTATCTTTCTTAACCAGTCTCTACTCTTTCTGGGGTGAACTGCATTACGTACTGTATACACTCTTTAATTCCACCACGTGTGCATATTATCTAGCCATTGTAATTAGATAGGCCAAAGTACTGTATTAGTTGTCACTTTGTCATTGTGTTTTGTCCACACTCCACATATAAAGGTCTTTTTGAATATTATGTTCAGTCGATTCCATCTGTTGATCCAGTGACGATATATATGTGTTAATCTTATTCTATATCATTGTAGTAATACCTATTGTAGTGTGCTAAACTCTATGATTAGCTATTTATTGAACCGGTATTTAACAGTCTTAATTAATTAAAAAAAACCGTGTAAAGAGTGATGAAGACATGGTGAAAAGTGACAAATGTTATATACACCTAACTAGAAGACAAAAGCTAGCTAGCTGTGATCAGATCATGCGTGAAATCAGACTAGCAAATCAAGTTTACCATCAGAACCAATGGTTCAATAAAATAACTCCAAACTTAATCCTTGGATCCACCACTATAGCAGCTGCTAACTAATCATGAGACAACTAATGCGTGAGTTAGGCAACTCTATCAAAACGTTTATAAACGTCTGCAAACTAATTATGTTTGTTTGAATGCACATTAAACTCTAACTTCTAATAAATATTTTATAATATCACTTATGTATCAACGTTGTGTTTTAATTAATCTTTACACATAAATATATCATCATTTCTTTTTTGAGATTACTATCGCGCCGGGATGGAATGGGATGCTAATTTGTGTCGACTGCTTAACTCTGAAATTTGGGAGTGGATGCTTAATTATTTATAAACTACTAATTAACTAGAAAGAAGGCAAAAGACAAAAGTCGGTGATGACTATTCTTTTTTTTTTTTTTTTTAAAGGTACCTGTATATTAAGGATACCTACACTATTACAGCGCATACCGTTATAAACTAAATTGTGTATCTTTATTACATCTTGACGGCTCACTTTAGTCAGTGAACAAAAAGAAAACGATGATATCATAGACTGTAAAAGTAGAAGAACTTTAGTCGGTGATAACTATTTATATGTGACTTTGTGGTCATAAATAACGATCTAACGAAAAACACAATACTTCTTAATTTTTTTTGGTACAGAGAAACAATACTTCTTAATTTTAATAGTAACAGTATAACAGAAAAGTTCAGTGCATAAAAACCAAACAAATACTAAAGCAACAACAATCAAACAAATACTAAAGCGTAAACAACCATTAGAACATGCGGTATAATTTCTTGCTCTCTCTCGGGTTTAATTAGAACTTGGCCTGAATCTGGTCAATGGTGTTCTTATCCGTTTGGAATGCCTTGGCCAATAAATCATCACTGACTGCCGGAGTTGACCCAAAAAGAGCAGCCGCAACCGGAATAGCACCGGGTGTTTGACTGCTCAATCCGGCGTAGACGACAGCGTTTGTGTACCCAACATTACGTTGGAAATGCACGAGCCCAACCGGGAAGACGAAAACATCTCCCTTGTTAAGCACCTTAGTAAACAGCTTATTCTCGGGTGATGATGTCACGAAACCAACCTCAAGAATTCCTTCAAGAACGACGAGAACTTCGGTGGCTCTCGGGTGGAGATGGGGCGGGTTAAGCCCCCACGGAGCGTAGTCAATCCGAACCATGGAAATGCCGAGAGTGTTGAGGCCGGGAAGTTGGGCCGCGAAGACTGGGGTGACCTTAGAGCCCAATGGATTGGTGGTGTTGCCGGCCTTGTCTAAGCCGCTGAAGAAGAAATCCTCGGCGGTGACATCTTTAGGGTTCTTGCATGCAAAGCCGTTGACGTTGACCGAGCTTGCAGCATCAGCCACGCAGAAGTCTTGCAAGGCTTTCGGGTCCGATGCGAAACAAGAGGAAGAAAATGCAAGTGCCAGAATGCAGAAGAGGAGAAAACTGGAATTCGCCATGGAATGTTGAAAATTAACTAAACTTTAGGGAAATGATAAATCAATGAAGAAACCGATGGCTTGAAATTGGTAAAATTAGTTCGGATTGATGAATGAAAAATGTGATTGGTTTAAGGGGTATATATATACAGGAGTGGATGGGCCTTGATCATGAAGTTTCGTCGTATTAAAAAAAACTACTTTCTCTATCCCAAAATTATTGTCTAATTTGATATTTCACTTTCAGTGCAATTTGAACTGGAAATGAAAACTCAAACTAGGCAATAATTATGGGACGGAGGGAGTAATATATATTTTAATTTTTGAGCACATATTTGATTATGGTTAGAAGATGAATGAGTCGCCAGCTGCCGGCGTTCATCAGTTTGAGTTAATAAATACAGTTTGTATGTGTTGAATCCAAATCCAGCTAATTACTATCTCTACTATTATGGATGTATTCGTTAAACTAACTCTACGTACTTATTTCTAGCTCAATGAAGAAACCCTTATTACAAGCTAGCGTTTTGAATTGTTCATGAATTTGAAAGATGAACTAGGGCCTATCTTAAAGGGCAATCATCTTTATCACATTGCCAGGTACCAGTTGATTACTAAAATTAGTAATTAATCACTAAACAGAGGAGAAAGAAAGATGATTAATGTTGTATGATCAGTTCCCAGAGTTGTGGAACTACACGTAAAAGGTTAATGGAAGGACTTAGTTAATGGCTGCTTTGGTAATTTGTATTGGTCGTTTCCTTATTGCCTATATATTCTGTGTCTGATTTATGAGTCATGAGGGAGTACAATCCAAAAACATGTTAAAGGTTAGGGGAAGATTTGTGGATAGATTTCACATGCTTGGTCAATTGGATAGCTATATTGTACGCGACAATTAATTAACATTAATATTGGTCGAGATAATAAGTTCAATCAGATATGTCAAAGGTAATATGCCGAATACTTTTCTGGGTCGTAATTGGACTTTGTAAGAATATTTGTACGTACTTGGCCAGAAGTTGAAAGTGACGTTTATCTTGCTCCTAAGTACTGGATTTTGGATTCAGCATACAAATGTAGTGATTTAACGGGAAAATGATTACGTACCGCCGGCAGCAAGACGACTCATTCGTTCGTTCATGTGTACCACACGGCTTTCTGATATACAAAATCAAATTATCAATCACCTCGCTTATATTATACTTTCTCTGGTTCTAAGTTTCATCTAGTACGAATTTTTAATTGATAAAAAACCTTAAAATTATTTCATTACAATCAATAGAACACAACGGATACGAAAATATATTTTTAATATTTTTTTGTCTATAAAAAAAATACGTATTAGGTGAAACTTAGAACAAATCAAAAGTTTTTGTATTAAGGACCGGAGGGAGTACTATCAAATTAATTAACTGAATGAGAGCTACTTTCTTTGAAAAAAAAACTGAATGAGAGCTTGAAAGATGTCTCTCCCTTCTCTATATATACCTTTAAACGAATCACACTCTTCATTCACAATATCATCAAGAAAAATCTTCAATCAATTTATAAGCCATATACATTGCTTCATTTTGTAGTTTTCGATGGCGAATTCCTTCTTTCTTCCTTTAAGCATTCTAGCCCTTACATTTTCTTCCTTTTGTTTTGCAACTGACCCGAAAGCCTTGCAAGACTTCTGCGTGGCTGATGCTGCTAGCTCGGTGAACGTCAACGGCTTCACATGCAAGAACCCTAAAGATGTCACCGCCGAGGATTTCTTCTTCAGCGGCTTAGACAAGGCCGGCAACACCACCAATCCATTGGGCTCCAAGGTCACCCCAGTCTTCGCGGCCCAACTTCCCGGCCTCAATACGCTCGGGATTTCCATGGTTCGGATCGACTACGCTCCGTGGGGGCTCAACCCGCCCCATCTCCACCCGAGAGCCACCGAAGTTCTCGTCGTTCTTGAAGGAACTCTTGAGGTTGGTTTCGTGACATCATCACCCGAGAATAAGCTGTTTACTAAGGTGCTTAACAAGGGAGATGTTTTCGTCTTCCCGGTTGGGCTCGTGCATTTCCAACGTAATGTTGGGTACACAAACGCTGTCGTCTACGCCGGATTGAGCAGTCAAACACCCGGTGCTATTCCGGTTGCGGCTGCTCTTTTGGGTCAACTCCGGCAGTCAGTGATGATTTATTGGCCAAGGCATTCCAAACGGATAAGAACACCATTGACCAGATTCAGGCCAAGTTCTAATTAAACCCGAGATCAAGTTCGCCCGGGAGAAAAAAAAAACGAGATCAAGAAATCAAGCAGCATTGATTGGCATGCACTACTGCTGGTGGTGGAGCCTATATTATTTGTATTTTACGAGTTATACCCATTTGATTTTTTTTTTTTTTTTTTTTTTTGGTTTGTGAGTGTTGTATTTCGCTTTAATTGTTTTGTATTCTATATTTAAATGAAAAAAAAACCTTGATTTTTTTCCTTCTTTTCATTCAGTTATTTCTCACTCAATCTTTTTTATTATGGAGGAGCCAGAAAGCTCAAGAAATCTTGCAATCATGCTTAATTCATGAATGAATGAATTTGTTGCGATGACGGGTTTATCTAACAAATAAAAATAATACTCCCTCCGTCCCATAATTATTGTCCACTTTTACTAAAATGAAAAATTTTATTTTTGGTCAAATTTAACTGTATTTTACCTTAAACAACCGGATATACCCCTACATAAGTAATTGTTTAACCACTAAGATTTTATGGATAATGTTTTTTACTAAGAACAAATGTGTAACTTGATCCATAAAAAGTCAAATTGGACAATAATTTTGGAACAAAATTTTTTGGGCAAAGTGGACAATAATTATGGGACGGAGGGAATATAAAAACTAATTTCACAATAAACCTTTTATGAAACCATATGTCATAAAATGTATTTCTCTTTTTATTAAAGTTGTGTCTAGTGAGTCATCAACCTGTTATCCTCGATGTACCTTTGATCCGTTGAGCGAGAGCCCTTCTACATGGGACTCACGGATAACTATGGCCGACTTTTGTATCTGTTCGACCAATCAGTCTCACAGTCAGGTAGGCTTATACTATTATGCTCATGAGTAGAATATTAGCTTGAACCTACCTTTGCACTCCTCCGTTACTCTTTAGGAGGCATCCGCACTAGATAAACTACCCACCTCACAATGTTCCGTCTCCCCCCCGAATGATCGTCCGGCGGTTAGGCATCCTTAGACGAAAGAGTAGTCTATTAGGATTGGTTATTGTGTGTCACCACCTCCTACCTATCTTACAAATTCGATCAAGGTTGTGTAAAAATTTGTCTTGAGCTATTAAAGCTCGTATCCTTTATCTCTTACTCCCGATACTTAGAATAATAGGGATTGTATTCTATGTGATGTAATGTACAATATACAAGAATATATGTAAACAATAATATATCCTATACAAAAGATTACTACCGTAAATATAATTATTACAATACGCCCCCAAAAACTGACGGTGGATAAGAGAGAAGGTGAAGTTTGTCCCTAAAAATGAAGGAATAAATCCTTGGACCAAGGCTTAGTCAGAACGTCAGCAATCTGATCAACAGCAGACACAGAGCGGACCGAAACAATCTTCCGTCGAACATGATCACACACAAAGTGAAATCCACCTCACCATGTCCGGTACGGGCATGAAATACCGGATTAGCAGCAAGAAAAATAGCACTACTGTTATCACACCAAATATAGGGAGAATGACGCAACGAAACATCCAATTCAGACAACAGATGACATACCCAATGCAGCTCAACACATACATTAGCACACGCACAAAACTCAGCCTCAGTAGACCAACGAGCCAAAGTGGGTTACTTTCGAGATGCCCAGGCAAAGAGATTAGGGCCCAAATACAAGAGAAATCTTGTAGTGGAATGACGATCATTTGGACAACCGACCTAATTAGCATCACTAAAAGCAGTAAGGGTGCCCAAATTCGTGGGATGCATAATCAAACAGAAATCAATGGTGCCACGAAGATAGCGAAGGACCCGTTTGAGAGCCTGGAAATGAGTAATACGGGATTGATGCATAAACTGACAAACCTTATTAACCACAAGACATATATCTAGCCGGGTGAGAGTGGTATACTACAAACTACCACAAAATCGACGATAGGTAGTCACCTCATCAGGAGATAGTATAGTACCATCCAAAAAGGACAACACAACACCAGCCTACATAGGAGTGGAAATAGGCTTGCAAGTATGTATATTGGCAAGTCGTAGTAAATCAGTAACATACTTGCGCTGAGAGAAGAACAAACCCCTGGAAGTGCCATGAACCTCAACACCAAGGAAATAACTCAAGGACCCAAATCCCTAAGATAAAACTCCTGAGTAACACAAGAAATAAAATGTTGAACTAGACCAGACGTGCTGCCCGTAATAATAATGTCATCCACATATACTAGCAGAAAACACAACTGAGACTCACGGTGGTATACAAATAGGGAAGGATCACAACGACACTCCACAAATCCCAAGGTGACCAGAAACGTAGCCAATCGAGAATACCAGGCCCGAGGAGCTTACTTAAGCCCATATATTGACTTATGCAACTTACACATATAATGCGGGCGCACGAGATCAACAAAACCCTGAGGTTGAACCATATAGATAGTTTCACTCAGAACACAATTAAGAAAGACATTACTGACATCAAGTTGAGAGATCAACCATCCACGAGCCAAGGCAACTGTCAACACCAAGCGAATAGTGGCCGGCTTAACAACCGAACTAAAAGTGTCACTGTAATCAACCCCAAAAGACTGAGTGAAGCCTCGAACCACCAATCGAGCCTTATATCGCTCAACAGAACCATCAACATGGATAATCTTATAAAGCCATCGATTTCTGACAACATTGTCGGAGGAAGGAGGGGGAACTAAGGTCCATGTATTATTCTTGAGAAGGGCAGACATTTCATCCTTCATGGCATTTTTTGCCACTTAGGAATAGAATTGGCTTGAGTAAAAAATGTAGGAGACTAGGAGCAACAGGCGGAAATGGTGACACTGAGGCAAGATGAGCAGAGGGATCAAAGATCTTCTTGGGCTTGGGGTTAGCTTGGAGTGCCATTGAATGAGGACTGGAAGGAGGAGGAGGAGGTAGTGGAGGGGAACCGGACTTAGATAATGGGGAGCTGAATGCATGAGAACTAGGTAAAGATACAGACGAAGCTGAAGGATCGGGAGAACTGAGTAAAGAGGCCATGAGAATGGCATAAATAGAAGGAGTAGTAACGGGTGCAGAATTTGAAATTTGCACACCAGGAGAACTGGTTACACGTAACCAATGGGTGGCAGGGGGCTCCGGCAGCGAAGATGGAGAAATAGAGATTGAAAGTTTAAAGGGAAAGAGTTGCTCATCAAACTCGACATGACGAGCAATATAAAAATGATTATTCAACACATCAATGATAACCGAGATAGGATGAAGAATACCTAAAAATGACACACTGTGTAGAGCGAAAAAAGAACTTGTGTCGATTATATGGGCGGAGAAGAGGATAGACAGCACAACAAAAAATACGAAGAAATGTATAATCAGGTGGCTAGGGTGTGAAGGGTATTTGACCCTGAAGGGGTTTACTAGGGTGGCGATTAATCAAGAACATAGTTGTTTCAAAGGCAAACTCTCAAAACCGAAAAGGAATACTGGAATGACCAAGGAGAGCAAGCCCAATGTCAATAATGTGACAAATTTTGCGTTCAGCAGTGCTTTTTTGCTCATGAGTGTGAGAGCACGCTAGACGATGAACAATGCCTATATCCTTAAAGAATGAATTTAGAGGACGAAAAAATGATGGTAAGATAGTTTGACCAACATTCTTAATAGGTAAAACGACATTATTATCAACTAAAATATGATCTATACCAGTATAATCATTTGCGATACTGAGAGACGAAAAATATGGTGTTGCATTAGCAGTAACACCAGTGTCAGGATGCCACGGATTAGAAGTAGAAGGATACTGAATTGTATGTGCTTGACACAACCATTGGAGTTAGCAAAGACCTATCGGCAGGAGGTGTGCGAGGAGGATAATTGGAGTCAAAACAACGAGGGCAAGTTAAGACGGTGTTTCGGAGTATGACATAACTGACAGCCCGATCTACAAGGAGAGAAATTGGAGTCAAAGCGGCGAAAGCAGGTGAATGCGGTGTGATTGGGAATATTACATAGTTGACAAATAATTCTAGGAAGTGCTGCCAGAGGAGAAGAAGAAGTCATGGGTTTTTTTTTTTTTTTGGGCCAAACCAAATTGAGCCAATGAACCGGACTGAAACAAACTAAACCTGGCCGAGGTGACCAGTTGGGATGATTTTTTTATTTTTATTTTTATTTTTTATTTTTTTTTTTGTAGTGGCTGAAGCCACGCAGCAGTTGGGATTAGAGATTGCATCGTAGCAACAATGGAGAAAGAAGCAGCGCCGCCAGCAAAGAGGACTGCATCGTTGCAGTGGCAACGACATATGAAGAGAGAGGAGGGGTGCCGCCAGTAGAGGAAGACCCGAAGGAAGAAAGAAAAAAATAAAATAAATTAAAATCCTATCTCTGTACCAACTTAAGATAATAGGAATTGTATTTCATGTGATGTAATGTACAATATAGAAGGACATATATAGACAATAATAAATCTTATACAAAAGATTACTACCATAAATATAATTATTACAATACTAATTAAACACATAGTTCCTTAGGCAATACCAACTCCATAATACTCAAACTGTAAACTTCCGCTTTCTCACTTTTAAAGGCCTTATCCTAAACTAGTTGCAAAAGCTCCAATAATTCAGCTCACATGATAGAGCATATCCCAACGTTCATAGCAAAATCAGTTTTCGAACTTCACCTGACTTGATATACAGTATATTGTATATGAACAATAACAAAATCTTATGCACAATACTATTATAGGAAATACATATATTACAATAACGTCATTCAGTTGCATTCAAACCCCTAGTTGTCGCCAAACGTCACTCAGTTGGATTCAGATTTTCCAATACCCACAGAAAATAAAACGAAAAAAAGAAGTTTATCAATAATAATAATAATAATAATGATAATAACAATAATAATAATAATAAGAAAACGAAAAAAGAAAATTAGTGACAAGTTAGGCCAATGTGGCCGGTTCCATGTTTGAAAGAAGGCCAGCTACAATTAAAATCATCAGTGGTAATTCCTTGCAATGTTGTGCTATTCTCTCCCCACGTGCAAGCAGTTCTGAAGGACAACTGTGATGACTCGATCCTTATGACCTTCTTGCTTAGTACGATTAGTGAAATACCTTTTATTTAGACTCGTTAAAACATGTTTTACACAAATTAATCTCATTTAACTAATAAGCATAAAAAGGGGTTCAATTGGGGCATTAGTAAACATAAGGATTCAAGTGACTAAGTTCATCCATTTGAGGGCCTCAGAGGGTAATTATATTTTCATCCTCATCTAATTGAAGAAAAAGAAGAACGGCGATGTTCCTCAAGCTTCTTCTAGTTTCTAAGTGCTTATTTGGACTTACACTTAGTTTCTATTTTCAACTCATTTTGCCTCTTAAACACAAAACCCAATACAAGACAAACTGATGTCCAAACAACTTTGTGATTTACATTTTAAAATCAAACTTGCAATATTTGTTATTATAGTGACCATTTTTCGGAACAAAAATTAGTGCAGTGACCATTTTTGAAACTAAAAATTAGTTTGGTGACTGAATCCAAAACTTTGCACATTTTTGATTCATTGTTTAGTGACCATTTTTGAAACTCTTTTTTTTATAGTGACTAAAATTGACACTTTTCTATTATTTAGTGATATTTTTCGTACTTGGTATTTGAATAGAAAAATAATTTTTTGCTAAAAATACTATCCAAACAACTTTTTCATTTCTCATTATGTTTCCACTTAAGACACTTTCCACTTTTAAGTAAAAAATAAAAACTAAATGGACATCCAAACAAACAAGTCTTCCCCTTCTCTCTTGAATCCCATTCATGACCGACCTTAATCTCTATCACCCCATCCTGATTTCATTCTCATCTTCTTCTTCCTCTTTCCACCTTTCATTCCTTAATTCCTTCAACTCCTCAGCCAACCAATCTTTCTTTCTCAGCCACTTTCATCATCCTTAAGTTCAAATAGAAGAAAAATTAAAAGGAGCAAATAATGGAATAGTCATGAAGTCAAAGTCATGAAAAGTAAAGAAAAGGGAGTGATGACGATCAAAACACACGAATTCCCTCCTGTAATAAGAATTTCGGATGACAATTAGAACCGAATTACCAAATTTGTTACTCCAGTAGCTTCCGGTGTTAGTTCTTTAGTTATGCAATTGAGCTTCTGTTGTAGATATATTTAGCTATACGGAAGCATTGCTGCCTTACAATTTATCTTTGATTTTTGTATCCATATCGTTTCTGAAAATATGAAGGCTCCAAAGCCAAGTTATTCAGAAACGATTGAACAATAAGGTTTCGACAAGCAAAGGGTAAAAATAGAAAAGAAGCAGATCCAAGTACTTGTCTCATTACTCAAAATTGCATGCCCTTTATAACTTACTATAAGACAAATGTGTCAGGCAGTTACAAGGATGTCCCTTTGGTATTCCCTATCCTATGGATGCTAAACATCCGATTGGCCAAAATTTTCATCCCGGAAACATAAACTCAACGTTTACCATGGTCATCCAAGCAGTACAACCCCAAAATTTCAACAATCGAAACCTTCCAAGTTCCCAGGAAGGAGATTTGCCATGGACAGTGGAATGCTCTCTCTGACTTTTGCTTGAACAACGAGTGGGGCGTTTCCCAAAACATGTGAGCCACCATCAAAACCAGGATGGTAGATTGGATCATCAAGCTTGCAGGCTTTTAGCATACTCCATAGCTTTATCTTTTACATACCTAATTCTTTCAGGTTCAGCATTGTCGCGATTACTTTCATAATCCAGATACTTTCCAAATAAAGACTGCAGTCATCAAAACCGATGATTTAATCACAACACATCCATACATAAGCACAATCAACTGCAAATCATGAATGGAACAGAAAGAGGCGGGTACCTTAATCTTTCTTGGTTTCAGGCTTAAACTAGTCGCCCTATCAAATAATGAGCGAATAACATCAACCTCACCCAGTATGATCTCCTGTTCAGAAGGCAATTTTCAGTCAGGTTGTTAGGATGGAAATAAATTTCAATTCAACCATCAATCAATTCTTTTTATCAAGTGAAAAAACACTGTCCGGGTTATAAAAGGAAAGATTTTTGGGACTATTACTTGATCAAGATAGATGTTCCACAAGTCAATCCTGCTCGGATATTCTCGTAGCATACCCTCGAACAAAGTTCTCCCTTTATCCGGGAACCCAGACTTGAAAGCATGAATAGCAGTGTCAGAGATGAATCTAATTCGCTTATGCTGAGGTAGACACAAAAGAGCTCTAGTTACATTCTTGTCTAATTCATCATGGTTCTGCTGCAATACTCTTTTAACGCGCTCAAGCCAAACCTGTGCCAAAACCATTTCGAGAGCTCATCAGAGAAATGGGATCTCCAGAAAATAAATACGAACACAGGTTAGGTAACAGTGAACAGAAAGAATTCAGCGTGCACTACATACATGCCGTGATTGTTTGAATTTCTTAATCATTTTGCCAAGAAGCTCATCAGCTAACTTTTGTTGTCCGTTCCTTTCATACACTCCTAGTAATGCCATGTGCAATTTCTTTGGATCGCAGTACTGCAATGCTCTATGAAATAATTTGACAACAGCTTCCTGAAATATGTAGCAACGTAAAAGGTCAAAAAAAGGACTCCGGTTTGATAATCTGAAGCAAGAATAAGCCCAAAAGTCAAAGAATAAGGCAGCAGTTCTGCTTCAATTACCTCAGGAGGATTTCCATATTTACTCTCCAAATTAAAGTATGCAACCCATATGTTCAGCTTCTCAGATTCCTCTCGAATGTTAATAGTCCTCAAAGCCCTAGAGAAAGAAACTTCTGTTATTTAAGTGCCTTAATATCCATACACATTAGTCACTTGATAACCAAAAAGTGGCAACTTTTGTTAGATCTCTACATCAGATGCAAGACAAATGTTTATTTTCTGGTTCAGTACCCAAAAAAGAAGATTTTCACAGTACTCATTTTACTCCAAAATAAGAGTAATGTTTATGTAGTAATATATTCCCCCAGAATCTCGAAAAAAAAAGGGTCCTTTTTCTGGAGATTAATCCCACTAACATGAAAAAATTACGCACAGTACTTCTCAACTTGAAATTATTTAAACAGATAAAGTAAAAAAAGGAAGAGAAAGGATAAACGATGGAAGAAGAAACATAACCACATATCAACATTATGTACCGATGCTTTCCTTTTACCTCTCAGCAATAGCACGAGCCTTTTCAACATCAGCCAATTTCAGCATATGCGACATGTACTTCATCCATGCAAAGCTGCTATTAGGGGAACTCCTAATAAGCTTCTCAAAATCATCAGCATTTTCTGGCTCTTTTTTTTCCTTAAGTCTATTTTCCGCAGCTTCAATTTCTTGTTCCCTCTCTAGTTTTGCTTTCTTTTTGGGACGTTTCCTGCTCTTTTCATCAATAGTATCTGCATCATCAACAAGCTCCACAACTTGAGTAGCTACATTATCTGTATCAGAGTCCTCTATATCATCCAAAGGCACTTCCAGCGGGCGAATTGAAGCCCTAGATTCCAGTTCGTCATGAGCGACATGTGTACCATTTACTGAAGGAAAACTAAAATCAGCTATCTCTGGCAAGAGCATCAACTCAGTGTCTTCAAACACATGATGATTCTCTGGAACTGCATCACCAGGTCCCTGTTCTGAAAGTTTTTGATCATTGGTATCACTTTTAAAATATGAACTCTTCATCCCAAGAGAAATGCGGCTTTTATCCTTATCCACCTTTAAAACTTTCGCCGTGACTCTCTCCCCAGTTTTGTATTTGGCTTCAATGTTGTCTATATGGTCATCAGAAAGCTCCGACACGTGACACAACCCAACCAGATTTGTGTGATCAATGCTGACAAAAAAACCATAAGACTCGATGCGTTTAATTCTTCCAGAAAGGACATCTCCGATAGCAATATTATCTAATGCATTTATGTCGGACTTAGAATCATTAACTACATTCGAAGTCTTGAGCGTAACTTCTACGCGCTTGGATAATGGTTCCACTGATAAAACCCTGCCAGTTACAAGTGTACCAACTGGAAATTCGGTTTGTGGATTCTCAATGTAGCCATCAGATAAGTTTGACAAGAGAATTTTTGCATCAAACTTGCGTGATATCATGATAAAGCATCCTCTAGGAGTAACATTCTTCACATAGCCTTTTACAACCATATCCGGCTTAAGATCTTCAATCTTCTCACCACGTGCACCAAAAGGACTGTTGCCATCCAAAGTCAGCCTTAATGACAAATCAACATACAAAGCGCCACTCATAGAATGGCTAATTTCAAGAACTTTGCATTTCACAAATTGGCCCTCGTGATACCCAGAGAGTGGATTGGAGACCCATGGCTCTGTCAATTCAGTAAAATGAACCTTGCCATACAGGTGCTGGTCAATTTGAATAAGAACACCACCTACTCCTGGAAGGATCTTAGAGATCTTACCACCCACAATAGAACCTTCACTGATATGGGATGCTTTATTCTCAATCAAATGACTGGTCGAACTCGAACTGCCATTAGTTATGCTAAGATTTTTATCTGTATTAACAGGAAGTGGGAGTAGCACCAATCGTAACAACTTTCTCTCCTTATCTACTTTCATCACATATCCAGAAAGAAACTTGCCAACACAAAACCGCTTCTGAAAGTCTTCAAGTTCAGCAGGCTCGCATGCGCTATCTAGAATATATAATTGCGCATTCACATCTCGAGATACAGTCAGCCAAGCCCAATCCTTGTCCACCTTATATACAAAACCAGAAACGTTTGCACCGATTTCATAATCATCTACCAGAAGTCCCTCTTCTAACTCACTAGAACCTGGAGATACATGATAAATTCAATCAATTGTGTAAGGGAGTGGCAACTGTCATGAAAGTATCTTGCCCAAAAGCAAACTTGTTTTCATCTTTGGGTAACAGAAATTTTGATTCTTCTTCAACAAAGAAACATGTGAAACAGAAAACAAGTTCCAGATAGAATTATAAGTTGGTAAATATTTTTTCAACAGAACTCAAAATTTTGTATTAACAGATGAACTACATGCAAAGATAACAATCCAGTACATGATCTCAATATTCTAGAAAAGAGCGAGGTGGGGGTACCTGAAAGTTTAGAGGGCTTCAGAGATAATTCCCACGGATAGTTCCTGTTACGGTTACAATTCGAAACAATCCTTGCAGTCACCATCTGCCCAACCCTAAAGCCACTGAAGGGATTTTCATCATTATTATCATCAGAAGCCTGTTAAGCATAATGGGCATTAGTTCTTCACCTTAGCATATGAGGAGAAACATGATATGCAAAAGTAAACTGATAGCCTCCCACTTGCAAGAATCCAGATAAGCCAAAAGATGTCATAAATATTTTACCTCGGTTATGTGTACCCTCCCGTGTAAACCAGATCCAAATTTTAATCTCAGTTCCAGAGGCTTAATCTCGGTAACCTGGAATGAGGTTAACTTGTCAGTGCGGAAAAGAGCATGTGCAATATGCTTTTTAAATTGCAAATTAGTTCATTAACATCATCACCTCTCCTTGAACAATAGAACCAACATCAAAGCTAGCATTCCTTTTTGTACGCTTCAAACTGGATGACTCCCCAGCTTGGTTAATGGACTTAACCAATAGTAGTAACTTTTCACCTGTCGATGAATCTGGAAGAGCAGCAACAGTGGCGGTGACACTGCATAAAAACAGCACCTCAGGTTCACAAAGTACCATCATGAGAACAGAAACAATAGATTCAAGAAATGCCCCCACCGGGGTAAAAAGAGAAAATAAACACAAAATCCACTGCACTAAGCCTTGCCAACAAGTCCTTAAAGAGGTAATAAACAAATATAAGGATCTAAAGTTCAACCAGAAGCGGACATGAACTATAACACGCATTTTGCACGTCTACTTTTATTTTGGGTTCCCCCCTCAACTAAAAGTCAGAGTCAGGTCGATATTAATCTCCACTAGATCCAAGGAGAAACATTAAATGAACATTGTATTCAAGTTCAAATTTTAGTGGAAGAGATGCTTTGTTGATGTTGATGAGATGCTTCGTTGTTATTTTTTTAGGGTTTTTTTTTCATAATATTCATATAAAGTGTCGTTGGAGACTTGTCAGCAGGTGCCTTTTCAGGCTATTTATAATACATGGAGAAAGCATTAAAAAAAAAAAAAAAAAAAAAAACAGAACCCTGGGTGCCCATTGTGCATCCAGCCCAAGAGGGGTAGAAGAAGAAGAAAACCCAATGTGACTTCATCAGGTACAAACTACTCACAGAAGTCCAAAAATAGTTTTGGAAGTTGTACAAGCAGATAACAAGGATACCACAGTTACCTTTGTCCACTCACAAACTGTTTATGAGGAAGTCTTTGTGTATTGTAGTCGGCAATTGAGGCGTATCCCAAAGCATAATTTTGTGTTGGTATGGATAAAACCTATAATAAAACAAAATAACTCCGATGAGGGAAATTAAATAATGGTGACACGTTAGACAGGCAGGCAACCTTGTAAAGGAAAAAAGTACATTATATTAAGGAAAGCCTGTTAGTGGCTGTCCACAAGAGTTTGCAACATTAGAAGATTTGGACGTCCACAAATTATCATAGAAGAAATACAAAACTAAGCAATTCCAGATTTCCTATCTAGCAAACATTAGTTGCCCCACAAACGAAATTTTATTTTTATCTGTTTCTTCCCAAGGGAACTCAAACCAAGGACTCTGTTGTTGACATCCCTCACAGACACCAACGGTCCCTCACCCCCAAAAGCAACCAAATTGCTAATTACTTCTAGAGATGCTCATGTTGAGAGAAAGAGAGAGAGAGGAGAGAGTGTGCGAGAGTGAGTGAGTGAGTGAGTGAGAGAGAGACAGAGAGAATTTGGATCCAAACACAAAACTACAAAAAAGAAAAAAAAAAAAAAAAAAACACAGGGGAGGAAAGAATAACTTGCCAAGTAATCCTCTTTCACAATCTCAACTTGTGTGCGAACAATTTGATTAGCATCCAACCCGCTGTGTGATTCCCTTCTGCGTTTCTGTAAATTTATAAAAGCAGTCAACAGGAGCATTTCATCAAGTAAAAATAGCAGAAGAAAAATCTCTGACGTCACAGAATTTCTCTTCATAAAAGCACAAACAGACCACAACCAGGAGGCAACATCCGTAAAATCATATCAATGATGACGATTTTGGAGACCTTGTTCTGGGTTGGAGCATTTGAGCAAAACTCGGGCTTCAAAGATAAATCCAATAGGCGTTCTGTTTTCGAGACGTCGAGAACAGCAGCTTGAACAGTGGCACCAAGCTCCACGGTGATGCCATTCACTGACAAAAAATGAATACCATAACAACCGAACCACAGTCCAAGCATAAGCAACCAAAAGAGAGGGGGGAATGAAATTGCAGACTTACAGTGATACTGGGAAATAAATCCAACAATGTCTTTGTATTTCGTGAAGCTGATAACAACACCATAATCTTTTATTTCACTAACTTCTCCCTTAACCACACTTCCAATAGCAAATTCATCCACCCAACTTAAGTCACCACTCTCAGAATCCAATTGCAGTTTGACTATCTGAGTTATGAAGAAGTTGTGTCAGATTGACGAATAAATAACCCTACAGTAAGAGAAGGAAATAACAATACAAGATAAATAAATTTCCAGGCATGACTGTGAAATAATGTTCAGCAGCCACCGCAGCACTGGTAAGGAAACAGGGTTATCAACAAAAGGTAAGTTGAACAAAATACTAGCCGGTAAGAACTTTAACCATGATTAGTTACTTGGAAGATATACAACTTATCCCCACCGATCTACTAATGATTATATATAGTTCTAACAACTGGACAACATTAACTGTCTCATAGAGCATGGATATAAAGAGATAAAAAAGATCTTTCACCGTTTTACACAATATGGTGCAACATCAGAACAAACAAGTGCAAAAACTATTTTTCAATTGAAGACAGATGGTCGTCAGAGAAAGGAAATGTAATCTTAATATCACACAAGTCATCAGGTAAATCACCTTCTCCTCCGAAAGAAAGTATTCTTGGATGAAAGAAGCATCTGTCGAGGAGCAAACTGACTGCTTCAAAGAAAGTGATATTCTGTTTGTTTCACTATTAACCTGCAGAAAAGGTAATGCAAAACTTGAAGTTTTAATTCGGCACTCTTAGAAAGATGAAATTGATAATAAACTAGTGACTTACATCAACTATGTTACTTCGAACTGATTGTCCAATAAAAAATGCTTCAGAAAGATCGAGCGTTTTGTCATCTATAGCCTTCAATGAAGTAGATATGTCAACCGTTAAGCAGCAACCAGAAAAGAAATATACTTGTATAATAACAATGCTACACAAAGACAAAAATCTGAAAGGCAAATAAAAATTATATACCTTATTTTTTGGGGCAAAACCAGTCAAACGTCCAACAAAGCGAACAAAACAACCAGTTTCAATTAAATTGCAGACATATCCCTGTATGAAGAAGGCATCATAGAGGAGGCAATTTCAGTAACAGTAAGCAATAATGCCAGATACAAGCAATACTAAAAATTTTACACCAAAATTAACAAAAAGAAATACAGTATCTTATATTATTAGTAAAAAGAGCTACTGTAATGCCAAAAAGAAGGTTGTCTGAGCAGCATTGGAGAAGTACCGCACTCTATAAAGATAATAACTTACATGCACAACAGAGTGAAGGCGAACTTGTGAGATATCCGAGGGAAGATCGCTGGCATGTTTAATAAGTGAATGCTTAGCCGAGAGTATCAAATTGCTTCCTTCAATATCTACAACACTCGAATCAAATTATAATTTCTTCATCAGTTAGTTTGTTAATGAAATCTGGAGAGGAAATATAGAATTGAACCAGACAAAATAACCAAGGATCTGATAACTTAAGAGAAAGGAGCATCCCCATATAATCAAAGATGAAATGCACATTTTGAGATCTCACAATTACAGAGGCTAGTTCACTTGCAATCATTGGATATACAATGAATTAGCAATAAATCAACTGAAAACCACATCTTGGACTGATAGGAAACCATGGAATAGATTGCATTAAAATGAATGAACGGCAACAGGGGAAAAAAAAAAAAAAGGCGAGAAGGTACCAAGAACCAAGAGCTTATCAAATTGGTATCCGGGTTTCAACAGAGATTTCATTGTGGCAGCAAGACCTGCAATGCAAGATTTTATAGCATTATACCGAAGATAAAAAGGAATACGTAACAACAGTACATTTCGAAAATAGTGCAGTCTGCAACTAAAAGACCCATGCCTTGGTGATCAGACAAATGTTCTGGAGAGATAGATCCCTTGATGTGACTTTTGGAAGCAAGGCTAACTACAACCATCTGGGGAGTAACTCGCTCAACAACTCCCGATACAAGGCTTCCAAGGTGAATTGCTTCATCTTCGGCAATCCTATATTTTAACAAACCTCCAATTAGTATTCCAAAGATGAGTACACAAAAATTTGCATTAAGCATTACTTGAGAGAAATCCTGCACCAAAACCAAGAGAAATAATAAATCATCATACAAGTACGATAAAGATAGTGACTAACCTAGCTGGTTTAGCAGTAAAACTGAGGGTGATACGCCTCATTGCAGGATTAGAACTAGTGACTCTACATTTAACAACCTGCTCTACATGATACATAGAGCTTAGGTCATATCCAGGATCTAACCCAAGTTCAGATCTGCACAAACATGAAAGAGCTTTAAGTCCTCCTGAGTATTATATAGTAATGAAAAAATGCCAAATGCAATTGCATTCAATCGGGCAAATTAGGGAAATAAAGCAAAAAATATTTCAACCTAGACAAACCTTGGAGCAAATCCTTGTACTCCATTGTAGAATCGAACAAAGCATCCATGGCTTTCAATCTTTGTTATCCATCCATGCGTCATTAGTCCTTCAGAAGCATCAGCATATGAAGAAATAATTTCAAGCTTTGATTTCACCTGAGAGAGAGAAAGAGAGAGAGAGAGAGAATTACAGAACTCAGAAACTAGGCCGGCCTTGTTTAATGGTGATTTGTCAAAGATGTAATCTTAACAACAGAAAACATCAGAGAAAAAAAACCTACAAGGGTTTTTTTCTGAGTAACAGTGATCCTCTTGGACTTGGAACCAAGGACACGGAAAACTAATTCTGCTCCAACCTGAAACGTTTAGAAACACAAACATGAGAAAATAGAAGTACAAAATGTATCGAACCCCAATCAGCAATAAGTGGTTTTAGTATTTCAAATACAGTTAGCAGGAAACCTGGAACTTTTTTCTGGGTTTTGCTATCTCAAGCTCAGACATATGCCGCAGCGGACAAAGTGCTTTCACACCGCTACCAAGTTGCACGATGGCACCGAAACTGTTTACTGCAATTACTTTTGCCTTAACAATCATTCCAGGCTTCACATCTGAATGAGTAAAGACGCTACCTTCAAAAGCACTAGTCTGTACATTTATAGTGCCAAACAGCAGCTTATCAGCAACGAATACTCGCACTAATGGCAGTAACACATTATCAATCCCTATGTGAATATAAATTCGTAACTCCCATCTATATCTTGTCAAGAATGTTCAATTCAGCTTATTCCAGAATTCCCCTCAAATGTAGTCAACACTTTACTCACAAAGATTTGTTAGTATGAGTTAAAGATAGCTCAAGCTTTTCATCATGAATGGTTAAAAAACCTTACACAAAACACAATTTCTCCACTTAAATCATGTCCATACTTATTATTTTTCAAACCCAATAGAAAATTCATTTCAGTGTCTGCAACTTTTTATCAATGATTATTATTAACTCTCAAAGAGTGTTATCAAACATCACAGTTTCCACTAGCACAAATCTCAACTCGATTTAACTTTCTACAAGTATGAAGGGCAGTAGTGGTTGAAAATTTTAAGCCTGTCCACAAATGATAATCACCTTCAAAATACCAGTGGCGAGTCCTTCCAAATGCCTAAATCCAAGTATCCTAACACGCACAAGACTTCCTTCCCTAAAATTTTTCTCAAGTTTCTTGACTTCCTTATCTGCAACATCAGAAACCTACAACAAACAAAAATGCATCACCTCAATATTGTATAAATAGCAAAAAAGCAAGACAAGCCTAAATTCTGAGGTAGAATATACATATATCATCTGACCAGGTTAAACCCAGGTAAACTTACACTGACATATGCAGGGGTTGGCGCCGGCGAAGAAGGAACTTCAAGTAAAAGGCCAAAATCCTTGTCAATCCTGATTATTTTTGATTGGTCGAAGATCTCACCAGCTTGGACAAGCTGCATGCATTTAATCACGAGATATTCAGGGAGGGAAAAAGAAAACTTAAATGCAACTACCAAAATCGACAAGGGTGATAAATGTCCACAAATTTTAAAACTGTTAATAAAAGGATTTTGGTGAACAAGATAATGAAGAAGAATCAATCACCAACAAATTAACCACGAAAAATAAGTTGCAAGTCCTATCCTAGTCAAACTTTAAGACGTTCACTTCAACTGTCCTCCATAAAGAAAGAATGCATTCGAGCTGAACAACTTATAGAGGAAGCAGCATACAGAAGCATGGTGGATAACACAACAGAACTAAGAACTTTTTGCAGGCTTCAAATTTGTCTTGAAAGAAAAAAACAGAAAATCTATATCTAAAATGGAACCATCAGTACAAACACGCATTTGTTAAATACACTAGAATGCCAAATCTCATTTGTACATATCAGCTCCATAAATAAACATCAAATGGCCTGAGTAGAGTATCATACAAATCCAACATGTACTATGTATCCGAAATTCCGAATGCTACAATATAGCAGTTAAATAGCTACGACAACATGCCTTTATCCCACTGTGTTGTTTCTAACTAATTCATAAGAATATTAATGAAAGAAAGAAGACAAAGAAAGATTCTCTTGATCCAGAATGTTCTCTGTATCTCATCGAATTGGAAGGGAAAAGAAATTGAAATGCAAATACTTACTGTAGGTGGAGCTGTGTTATGAACTAGATGAGGATTCATGGTCAATCCAACTGCTCTCGTCGATGGATCTATGAACAATATTCGGGCAATGACCTACACCGAGGAATCAAGAACTGCCTTAGATACAAGAAGAAGAATAATAATCTGAAGAGACGAGTTTCAGAAACTAACAATAGAGGAAACACGAAATGAGAAATGGAGACAACTTTCAGCTAGTTAAACATATGCCGTGGTAGCTTGCACTCATGTCTTCTACGATTACAACATCGACAAAAGTATTATGAAGCAACATAATGTAAATCTAACATAAGAGAAAAATTACACTGTAAAGCAGCATTTCAAAAATACCTATACATCAAAAAAGCTCATGGGGAACCCCAGATAAGTTATCACACACCTAGCATGCTAGTGTAGCACATTTGAAACATGAAACCGCAACTTTGCCCATATTTTGCCGTTGGAACACTTCGAACATAGATTTGAAATGCATTCTCAAATGAATATCCAATGTGTATGGTGATGAAAATTACCTTCTTGTTTGGAGCATAATGGTCTTCCCATTTTGATGTAGGAAAAGTTTCGCTGAAGTTGAATATGTCTACCTGTGAACAATATAAGATAAAAGCTATAGAAACTCTCCTTGGATATGAGGTCATATCAACATAACAGCCTAAATGACTTACAGTTCCAGTGAAGTATGTAAGGAATGATAACATAACTCCATTTTCAAGAGAGGACCTCACACGAGCCTCAACCAACATGCCTGGAATGAGAAGATCAATGGAAAAACCCTTAAGATCCTTGGTCTGTGGAGAGGAAAACAATGCAAGTTATATCAGAACTCAAAAGGGTGTAAAACAAAAATTTCAAAACTACAAAAACTTACCAGACTCCTTGACACCAAATCCTGGTCAGAACTCATATATAGAAGTTTCCGAGTCTTATCAATTCTTTTGACAGCTCCTTGGATGAGCTGCCCCACTTTCACTTCCGTACCCTTACTCTCTGTTATATGATTAGAAAAGCAAATATTTCACTTCTACTACACATGGTCCAACATCAAAGACAACTATATATCTACAACAAAACAAAAGCAGATAGGTCTTCATATGAAAAGGAAATTATCTCAGATACCTTCAAAAGCATATCAAGGGAGAAAAACCTCATAAACCAAGAGAGAAAGTAATCAAAATCTTTGAGGCCAACAAGTTACGGATACATAGTCATAGGCAGGAACAAAAAGTGTGTTAAGGCAATAAAAGTGAGGCAATTAGTGACAAAGCCTCAAGTCATACCGGATTTGTTGATTTTTGGCATAAATCCCGTAAATGAAGCCAATCCAAAATCGAGAATGTAACCATGGTCTTCAATGCTTTTCACATATCCAGTAAGAACCTACACGCCATGCAGGAAAACCAAACAAATGTTGGTAGGAATCAATCATGGAAATTCAGGGTAAGCAAAGAGAAACATTTGCCAAGAGGCACAAGGAATCAAAAAAGACAGTAATAATATGGTCAATGCGAATTGGACAAGTACCCTATCCAGCTAGTAATAATACGAATACAGCAGTAAAGTAGGACTACAACCAAAACAGAGAAGAGAAGCGAAGAATACCCCTACAGTAGTTGGACTCGAATCAATGTGAAAATATATTTATATATTGGATGAATGTTCGGAAAGCTACGTACCATTCCTTCTTGCACAACTTCCAAAGTATATCCCTTGTGAAGTAAAGAAAGGCGAAGGGAGAGCCAAATTCTTCTTTTCCCAGATTCTTTCTTGTCATCTTCCAATTGTTGTACTATGCAGGAAACAAGTTGGCCAACATGATACATGCTAGAAAGAAAATTACTTTCTAAATCCTGATAAGAAATCAACAAAAGCAATTTAAACATAAGCATTATATGTCATCCAATCAAACTCACATAATTCATTAACTGGTGCGAGTAAGAAATATTTGAAAGGTGGGGTGGGGGCAGAAGAAAAAATCTCATATGCAAATTACCCCTTTTTTGGTTCCATCAGCAGGAAGAGGATCAAATGCTTCACTCGCACGAACTAATCCACGCAAACCCCCTGGAAGACTAACCACAAGATCTTTCTCATTGACCTCCGAAATTACACCCCAAAGCTTCATTCCAGGAGAAATATTCTAGAAAACATGTAGAAGTGGGACTTAGAAGTGTTGTAGAATATCATACGTCCATCAAACAAAGTAACAGAAAAGAACCCCATGAAAAGAGCATAAAGAGAATATCTGAGAACTAATTAAAAATAGAATTTGCATAGCTTATTCGGAGTTTCATTTTTTGTACTTGATATTGTCCCATGAATTTCCCATCATAAACATCATCTCAAGAACTTTTAAAATACGTTTGACAACTAATGGTTCAGAAAGTAATCAAAATTCCATTTAAGAGAGCAAAGTTTATGCAAAATAAGAAAGCTGAACCTTCAAAGTGATCCGATTTGCAAATTTCGGCAACTTCCCAGTAAATGCATCGCCAAAAAGGGATCCCAAATCATCTTCTTCAGATTTACTTCTCCGTTCCATTTTCTGTTTTCTTTTACCTTTATTCTTCAATCTTTGCTCTGCCTCAAATTCTGCATCTACCTCTGCCCTTAAATCCCCTAGCTCACGTCTACTCAATGAACTCCGACCGCCTTAGAAATTTAAACAAAGAAAAGTCAAAATATCCCCAAAATCACATCAGTAAGGGAAAAAACAATTGATTATCCTGAAACATGTAGAGGCTCCAATATGAGAGCCCCACCTCAATACACATACACGAGCTATATTACAAGTCCTATGTTCAAAGACCAGGACAGGGCAGGAAATATACTATTGACAATAAGGCGATAGAAAATTAATCAAAACATAGAACATGAGGAATACAGACTATGGTGTTTGCAAATTATAACTACAAAACGATTTCTTTGTATAAATTTCCAAAACATTCTCGAAGCAGCAAATTTGACCCACAAACACAAAGATATATACAGAGATGTACATTCAAAGAACTTATAGCAGCATATTTTCTGATGAGAAGTACAATTAGAATGGAAATGTAGTTAGTCACATGGGAATTTTTTTTTTTTTTGTTAAGCTAGTCACTGTGGATATTAGAACCACAGAATAGGAAGTTTAACATAGAACAATCCTGAGAAACTTTCAATTGCCGGGTCCTAGGAATTCTGCGGCTAGTGGGTTCCTGTATTCAGAAGCCTAAGAACCTAAACTACTCCTTAATTCATCTCCGCAGCTCCATTGGTACAACTTAGGACCCGAAACACTACAGTAAGTCGAAACTAACTGACTTTTTTTTACCAAAAACAATAAAAAATAGTAGCAATTTGACGAAAAAGCAAGCCTATATCAAACAACACATAACCGAACACCAACAGAAAATGAATCCTAACAAAGATTGTATTCACCTCTGGGGAAATCCGGGACATCGTCTTCAACGAGCTCAAGTGCCCGTGAATCTTTTGGGTCGTCGGACATGTTCCCTTTATTGCTTCTCCCTCCGCCGCCGCCGCCGCCGTTATTATTAGGTTTTGATTTTTTGAAGGGCTTTTTGGATGGTTTTAGTGCTGATGGTTTGGATGGTTTCGCAGACGGAGATTTTTTAGATGGCGGCGCCATTTCAGTGTGAATGAATCAATGTCAGGCCCTCCGAAACGAAGGATTATCAGTGATTGCAGTCGGAGATAATCGATCTGACTGCGTAGGGAGTTATCCAAGTTAGTGGCGGTTTTTAGGAGGCGGAGAGGTTTAGCGAGGGTTTTAGGCTTTGAAGTCTGAAGAGATTATTACAGAACGCAAACGACAGCGTATCATAGTATTTCGGCTTTTCCGTTTCCAAGTTTATAATTTTGCAATTAAACTCACTAATTTTGATTAACTATAATATCTCCTATGTAGTTCATGAAAACTACTCCACGAACCCTTAACATCAATTGGTCAACGAAGTCAACCTTTGAAATAATTTGTGGAAAGACCTGTAACAAACCAGTCGTACTTTTTCTTTTTCGTTTTGGTATGTTACGCATTTCTTCTTCTCTCTTAATCTAAAAAACGGAGATACGTTAGGAAAAGTTATCAATTAAATGTAGTATAGACTATAGACCAACCACACTCGTCGAAATTTGAAGTTAGTCGTAATCATAGAACAATCTTATATACTTTGAAAATCAACCGACCTTTTGAAATATTTACAAATTTAACTAATTACAGCCAACGAAGGAGGCCATATAATAACTATAAAAATTTCTATATCTATATCACCATTTTAATACAATTCAAATCTCATATATATGGTTCTCACAATAGTTACTATCAATTTTTGAAACATGAAAATGTACATATATTTTATTTTGTATGTTACATTACACATGCATCTCGAATTGAAGATAGATTATAATAAATTTAACATTGTTATCTTATGATGCTCGATCCAATAAAATTTGGTGAAATGGTGAGATTATAACCACAAAATCGGGAGTGTTTATGGAGAGCAATCCAAACAAAATAATGATCAGTTGATGAAATTATTTGCACTAGACCAAGAGACCCCGGGGGTGTGTGCAAAGGAGTGCTACTATTTTTCGATACATGGTTGCTGGAAGGCAGTCAAAATCGATGATTTCGTGCTGCAATTCACTGATAATATCATCGTACCGATGGATAGTTTAAAAATTGTCTACTTTTGATCCATTTTGATTGTCCAGATTGCATAAGTGCACATTAGACGACCGCAAAAAGTTTATTAAAGTATATAAAAGAAAAAGAGGAAGAAGACATGCAATTAGGTCATTTTCATATTGACTTTAGGCAGAATTATTCATGGCAGGACTAATGCAAAAGATCCGTAGATCTCCAATCATTCAGGCGCCATATAGAATTAGGGGACGACAAAGCTTATCCAAGCTGAGTAGATGAATTAGACCGCCGGCAAATCACAGAGAAGCGTGTACTTCTGCCCGGACTTTTCCTTTTTTTTTTCCCCTACATTTTTGCATTGCATATGGTCTACCATTATTAGGTCAAGTGAAAAACTTTTCTTGTTTTGCAGTTGCTTTGCGAAGTTGGAAGAATTGATATATTATAATTAATCAATCATTGGTGATGAGCTCAATTATACATTGCCAACATCTTATATCTTTGGCTCTTTTTTAAATTTTTATTAATTGGCGATTTTTTTTGCAACTCTTTTTTTAATTTTATTTTTATTTTTAGTTTAGGTGCACTACTAATAATATATATATTAAAATAAATAGCCAAATACAATAATAATATTTTTTTAAAAAAAAATAAATAGCCAAATAAAATAATCGTACTCCATATTTAGAAATTTGCTTCGAGCCTTCCTTATAAATAGTTCGTTTTGGTGAATTGACTCAGTTATACTCTTTTATCATTTTCCGATAGGGAAAAAAAACCCCTAAGAATTTCACACAATTAAATACTGATTTAGTATTACATAATATTTAGAAATATGCTTCTCCATTTTGACATGAAACCTGCACATATGGTTACCATACATGCATAACTCCAACTTAACTGGAGTATAATATTAAACTTAAAAAAAAAAAACTTCAGATAGGAATTATTCCTCCACTAACTAGCTACCGTACGTTAAACTGCATTATTATTGAAAGCTGCGAACTAGAGCCCTTCATCCATGGCTCCCAACTTTTACACACTTTAGCTAGTAGTAGTACTCATTAATTAGCAACAACTTGGGCAGCGTTGACGGTTGAAGCAATGTTCTGGTCACCAATTATGCTGGTGGCGCCGGCAAGATCCCCGGCGGCGGCGCTGCTTCTGGGGTTACTGGTAGCCACATCTCTGATTTGGTCGGTAGAGTTTGAAGAGGGTGAGATGCTGTGATGTTGGGGAGGATTTGTGTGTATCGGTGGTCTCTGCGGCGCTGACCTTTGTGTGCTCTGATACCTCCTATTATTATTAATAATGATCCATAAACAATCATAATTCAATCAAAACTCCAAATTAAGGGGTAGAAGTGTTTATCTCATATATCCTCATGCATTTTTATTTTTTATTTTTGATACAAATACAGAGATCAAGAAAATATTAATGAATTCTTTCATGATTTCTTTATGGACCCTTTTCATCTAACAACCAATGCTCAAACTTTTCATTAGTTTATAAGCAAGAAAATATTCAGTTAAATCTTCGGGAAAAGAACAAAATTATGCGCGCGCATGTTCATGCAGCTGCATAATGATGAAGAAATTGTTCAAATAAATTGATAAGAAAAATTAGATGATGATGATGATCATGACTTACACAAAGATACTACTGGCAAAAGATGATTGATGATGAGGGTTGACACTGGAGCCAATAACTCTGAGCAAGTTCTTTGGCAACATCATCATCTTGCAAAGAGAAGCCATGCTCGAATGTCTTCCTTCTTTATTAGCTACTAATCAATAAGAGAGCTAACTAAAGCTTTTATCTTTTAATTAAAAAAAGAGAGAGAGAGAATATATGAAGATAAACTTTGTGTATATAGTTGTTTATGAATCGGAGTGGTGTGGTCCATGATGATGGCACATCTATATATAGTAGTAGTTCATGTGAACGTGAGACAATCTTACCCTACTAGCTACGGTGGAAAGAAGTAGCCAAAATGCATCGAGAAACTTCATTAAAAAAGAAAAAAATTACACTGAACAAGTTAAAAGTGAATGTCAAATTGTCAATAGTTACTACTTCTTCCGCCTCAGTATATTTATTGAACTAAAATAGTATGATAAATAATTTTTATTTTAAGAAACACGAAGAGAATCTCCTACTATAAGTATTAGTATCTCAATTGTAACGAACATATGTATGGTGGAAAAATTGGTCGATCCACCCAAACGTTGACATGCGTGGTCAATTCTATCTTATTCTTTTTCGGTTAGCTAATATTACCTTAAACTATCCAACCGTTAGCCAATTTTGTCCAATTTGTCAATTTCCGTTTAAATTAACGGAATTCTGTTAGTTTTATTTACAAAAAATACCCTAATAGTTTTGAAAATTATAAAAATGACCTCAAAAATTTGTAAAAATAATTAAACAGTCTTTTTTCTTTTTTTTTATTTGATTTTTTCTGTTTTCTATTTCTTTTTACTAATTCTCATAACTATAAAAATATATTATATGATCTTTTTTTAAAAAAAATTATTTTTGAACACTACTGTGCAAATTTATAGATATGCATATTTGTAACTCATGGTTGATTTACATAAAAATATTAATTTTTTAATAATATAACTTACAAATAATGATATTATTTTTTTAATTCTTTTTTTCAATTTAAAGAATAAGATTTTTTTGACTAAAAACTAATTATTTACAAAAAAAATTAAAACATTTAGCATAGATTAAAAATTAATATATTAGTATATTTTAATTTATTACAAATTAACTAAACAGATTATAGATTATATTATCCAATTCAAAAAAATAATTAAACTAAAATATAGGGTACAATCTAGTGTTTAAAGTGTTGAGCTTCATGAGAGTAGATATAAGATCAATTCTCACCTAAGGATTTCTAATCCGGAGAGTGATTTATCTACATTTAAGCATGGTCTGCTAAAGGTGAGAGGGTTGAGTTGGATGGTCAGGTGATTTAAGATGGGAAATGATTATTACAGTATTCGAGACCTCGATTCTCACTAGGACAATCTTTTGTTTTTCTGAAAAGGTGGAGTTCAGTACTGGAGTATATTTTTTTTATTATTATTAAAAAAATTCCTGCTAAAGTTAGATATGTTAATATCTCAAAAAATTATCACAAAATATTAAACCCTCGCAATGATAAATATACATATTTTTTATAATAAATTTTGTGCCATTTTTTTTTGTTACTTTCTATTCGCACTTGGCCTTTTAAAGAAAATTCATATTTTAGTTTAATTATTTTTAATTTACAATACAATCTAAATTCTGTTGAATTAAATTGTAATACATTAAAGTATACCAATAAAACAAAATTTTAATCTATGCTAAATGTTTTATTTTTTTTTTGTGAAAAATTAGTTTTAGTTAAATCATATTATTTTTTAGATTGAAAAAAATAGATTAAAAAAAGTATCATTACAGTTAGATCATATTATTAAAAAATTAATACGTTTATATAAATCAAACATGACTTACAAATATGTATAAGAGTTAAAAAATAAATATTTTTTTAAAAGATCATATAATATATTTTTATAGTTACGAAAAATAGTAAAAAGAAATAAAAAATAGAGAAAATTAAAATAAAACTGAAAAGAGACTGTTTTGTTATTTTTAGAAATTTTTGGGGTTATTTTTATAATTTTTAAAACTATAAGGGTATTTTTATAATTAAAACTAACAGAATTCCGTCAATTTACACGGAAGTTGGCAAATTAGACCAAATCGGCTAACGGTTGGATACTTTAGGGTCATATTGACTAACCAAAAAAGAATACGGTAAAATTGAAAACAATGTCAACTTTTAACTAGATCGGCCAATTTTTTCTATGTATGGTCTCAACTTAACTAGCTTTCACTCATGGGTTATAACTTGTGTTTTCAAAACCAGATCGGCCCGGACGGTCTAATCGGTTAGCTCGGGAACCGAAAGGCTTACCGGTTCGGTTTCTATAAAAAAATCGGATTCTGTATAACCCGATCAAACTCGGTCAAATCCAAACAAAATCGCGATTTGATCGGAAATCGGTACCGGTTGAACCGGTTTTTGCATATTTTTTTAAAAACTTAATTTTAAATATTTTTTAAACCGATTTTTACTGGTTTCGAGGAACAAACTAACCCGCTAACCTAATAAACCCACCAACCAAGTCACGTTAATGGTTAACTTTCCGGTCCGGTTTTAAAAACATAGGTTATAACACGCACACATGCATGGTCAAACTTCATTAGTCAATATTTCAATAGTTTATACATATGCATGGTTCGAGGTTGTTGGGCCAGATTAATTATCATGAACTCTTATTTTAATCTGTTGATGTTTGGAATGATTGACCTAATTCGATCCGCCGGTTAGTACGTATAGACTCGTAATAAGTAGAGTAAAACTCAACCAAAAAAATTAATAATTACAGCAGACAATTTAGTATAGGTGCATAACCAAAAATATTGATAGGTCCGACCCGGCTCCCGTAACATTTAGGTTAGTTATTAAGTCCTTTATTGAGAGACATTTGTCTCTTGAAAGAGATCTACTCGGCTCGAATCCAAATTAATTGGAACAATGAGTTCGGACTTCGGACACGTAGTACATAATGCACCAAAAAAAATTGATAGGTCCAACTCCAAAGGAAAAGCCGAGGAGGCTTTTTAGTCTTTACAGGTCCACGTTCCCACTAATTTTATTTGTGGTTTGAAGTGGGTCTGTTATAAGTATCTTAGGAGGTTTATATAGCCTTTGAAATTGCTGAACATCACCTAGAGGAGATCTTTTCGAAAAAGGTGCCACAGGACTCTTTTGCAGGTTGTTCAGCAGTAATATAATATTAGCTCAGGTAACAAATAGCAGCCACAGCTCTGTGTTGGCATTTTTTGTGCTGTGTTTGTAAACCGTGCCATTCGAATGTGTGGGGAGGTCATTCTCAGAGAAATATTGCACACAAGGAGATGAGTGCCTTAAAATAATAGAAATAAAAAGAATTGTTTTGTGGCAAGGTGCACCTGATCTTTGTTGACTCCATCAATGATTTTTTACCAGCTTTATGTGCTCGAGTTTTCTACAAGTTATAGATTTGAGTAGTCAGTATATTGCTAATGGAAGAATTAAAGTTTTTGGAAATGTGTATGAGTTGAACTTGGAAGATGCCTTTATTTGTTCACAACCAAGTTAGACCTATTATTTGGGGGATTAAATCATGATTCTTTCTCAGAAGAATAGCCTTGTTTTTTGAATGCCGAGCAGTTTTCATTCTTAATTCTTCAGGGTTTCTGCCACTCATGGCCACTGTTTCATGAAGGGTTGGGATCCTTGGAAGATTTTGATGATGGGAGTCCAGAGGTACTGTCTTTTCTTCAATTTAAAGAAAACTATTTGCATGTGGTTATCTAAATACGAAGCATTCAACTATGCTGTTCTGGTTGAGTGTTCTCCTTCTCTTTGGTCACATGTCAAATTTCCCTAATCACATATAAAAATACCAGGTGATGGGATATTTGCAGATGACTGAAGCTCCTCCAGGTGATCCAAAATCTGTTAATGACTCAAGAGAGCAGAATACTGGTATCCTGACGGAGTTGAATTCGTTGTTTTTCATGATTACCAAGGAATTCTTTCTAAGAATTGTTGTTGCACAATGTGCAGTCCAAGGTTTTGTACAACAGGTTTACCCTAAACCCTAAACCCTAAACAAGTTTCCACTGCTAGCGTTACACCCATCTCTCACCTGATGGGTAGAGTGGAGGATATTGAAGCAGGAAAGTGAGTGATGTTTTGATTTTTGTAATGAAATGATATCTCTCTATGAAGTATGAAGGGACGGCATGGTTGTGGTGCATTAATTTTTGGGCAAGTATCAAAAAACAAAAAAAGCCCCCTGACGAGCTAGCTGACGAACTCCTGGCCAACTTTTCTAGTACAAGATCAAATTGATAATGGAAGATGCAGGCTAGGGGATTTTTTTATATTACTCGTCCTTCATTTTTTGACCCAACCTTAATGTGAAAAAAAAAAAAGGGAATGAAACAAGTTTCAATTTTTGGAAACGTTTGAAGTTTTTGAAGACTACAATCTGAAATTAGTTCTTCAACATTATATCAAATTTATATTTTTGTCATCTAGCTAATATTGTCCAATTCCAGCAGGTTGACTATATTCAGTGTCAAATAAATGTATTTTCACTATAATAAAAAATATTTATTTTCCCAAAAATTTTAATGATGAATAAAATAAAACACTAATTCATGTCCCCAATAAGTTGAAAAATAATTTAAGTAAGTTTGTATTTTCTTACTTTTCCATCTAGTTGCATTTAGTTTTTTAACGGTCGATACTTTAACCTTTGACTTGTGAGAAGGGCAATTTTGTCTTTGAAAATAATATTATAATTTTAAAAAATTTACTGAATATTTAATTTTTTTAATTTAATTGTTTTGGAGCAAGTGTTTTTTTTTAGGGCTATCATCCCAAAAAAATAAAAGTACGTGGTTAAAAAGGAGCGGGTAGGATAAATGGCCCGATCCTGGGACTATATATAAGAGGGGCGACTCCTTGGGAAACCGTATCGATCAAAATGTTTGATCCAGTTGAATTACCAAAAATTAGGGTTTCTGAGCAGGGGAAGAGAACGGGAAGAGAGGATGGGATCTGTTCCGTGGAAGACTATCAACCGGTAAACAAGGCACCGAAATTGGAGGTTGACGTTGAAAGAAAGGCACATAAAGTCTGGTCGTTGCCTCCGATGAAAAGCTTGATAGTTGCATCATCAAAAATCAATAGTACTGGATCAGAGAAATACCTTGAGAATTCATCATCAGAGAAGGAGAAGGAGAAGGAGAAGGAGGAGGAGGAGGAGGATGAGGAGGAGGAGGAGGAAGAGGAAGAGGAAGAGGAAGAGGAAGAGGAGGAGACAGACGTATCAGAGGCTGACGATTACGATGATAGTAGCAGCGAAGTAGATGATGCGAGCGACGAGGAGGCGGCGGAGGAGGATTCTAGACTTAAGTATTATGTTCCGGGCGAAGGGAAGGATGAATCTGGGTCTGATGTTTATTACTGGTGCTCAACTGGTAGGATTAAGAAGGATGTGAAGCTATGGGAACAGTATGAGAAGGAGATCCACGAAAGTCAGGGCTATGAGGTTCGAACTTATCCCCAAAATTGCTTCCGAATGTCATTCGTTCCTAAGAATTTCAAAGCAGATGATCAAGACACCACCTTGCCTGAGTTCCGCCAGATGTCTGAGGAATGCATAGCATATTACAACAACAAACATAAGCCGGTAACATAATTTTAACTCTTGTTTTTATTATTCAATAACTCTGTTTGCTAATAAGGTCACTATTGCCTGGTTCGATTTTTGATTTGATTGCCAGTAATGCTATCACTTTGATGTTGTTGGCTTGGATTTGAAATTGTTTTCTTTTAATTCTAATTTTTGCTAATTACTTTTCTGATGTATATGAGCAGGATCCAGATTACAAGTACGTTGAGGTTGATTATGTGACATGCCGCCCTTCTTCTGTCAATAATCTGTTTTATATTACCTTCCGAGCTTCTCTGGTTGATGATCCCGGCATCACTAACACCTTTCTAGCTCAGTACTTTGTTAGTCGTCTTCCTCCTCTTTGGTCCAGAAAGGTGGTGCTTTGTGAGGTGAAGGAGGTGCTCCAATCAACTTGGAAGAAGACTAAGCCTTGTGACCTCCCTTGCTGCTTGGATTTATAACTTGCTCAGCAGCTAGGAATGAAGTAATTTGAGCTTCCATATTAAGCTGTAGTGGTTTTTTTTGAATTGACAACTTCTTGGGAGATTTTCCTTTTTAAAAGTTATGGTTTGTGCTGGTTGTCCTGGTGTTGTAAGTATTACCCTAATTAATCAGAAGGATAATGTGTGTTGTAGTTTCCGTGACTCCTTTATTTGACAATTATAATGCTTGATGATTCTAAGTTCTAACTATTCCGTCATTTGATCAATTTGGGTTGTTTTGTTTCCTGCTTTGATGTGGCTCACATAATAGTAATTGGTGGTAGTTGTTGATGATGGTGGCACTCTTTTGCATATAGGCAAATCATTGTGAACTTTGTTTGCACTGTTGAAATCAATTTTCACCCAAACATGTTGTTTTGATTGTGATATACAGGATTACGTGGATTATTAATGTTGCATTGTCCTGTACCATGTCTGAAGATGTCTTCTTCATGTAGGGGCTAAGAGTTGCCAAAGAAAACACCTGTTTGGTTATAGCATGAATTATAACTTATAAGACCTAGATCTGTAGCTTTTTTTCCTCGAACCTCTCGGGACCTATATCTTTCTTTACCCAAAAAAAACTCCCAATGCCTATAAGACCTGGCTATCTCTGTCCTTTTATCTCTTGTTTTCCGGTAAATTGTGTTTTAAATTTGTTAAATGAAAAAAAAAAACAATTCATAATTCAAAAGAAATGCATATAAATTATTATTACAAAAGCTACTAATAATGAGTTGAAGAAATGAAAACGCCGATGTGCATCATGCTGATTTGTAGTTGGTAAGTATTCCAACAATGTGAAGCTTCCTCTTCATGGCTATTTTTCTTTGCTGCCGCCAGAAAGGTTGGCGTTAGACGCCGGTTTCGAATCGATCTGTTCATCGATGTGTTCGTCTTTGCCGCAGATAGTTTTTCGCCTCCACTACGGTCAGCCGACCCTAAACTCTGTGAACTTTCACGTTCTTAGCATATATTACCCACCAAATAATCTGCAAATCATCTTTTGCACTGAAATTAAAATAATAGGATACACATTTATTGCCTGAGAATAAAATGAATTGAGAGTGATTTCAGGGATTTGATCACCATGTTCATCGAATTCAGAATGGAAAAAGAGCATGGGATTCACCAAATTTTGAATTGCTTAGATTTGAAATGAAAATGCATCCACAATTCGATTGTTGTTGTTCTTTGGAAAAAAAACAAAAACAAAAAAGACGAAATAATAAAGATACCTGAAGTTACTGTCGATCGGAACAAATTCGCTTCGCTGCCTTGAAATCTTTCGATAAATTTGAAGGTGTTCGAATTTTATTCCTTATGGATCTTGAGTAAACAAAATCAGCGGACAAAGAGAGATTACTACCGCATAATAGATCTGATCCGCTGTTTGAAATTGAGCAGATCATGTTGGATCGAGGCACTTACCGATTCGCGAAATCCTTGCCTCTGAAATCGATCAGATGGAAAAAAGATAGTTTGAGAAGCCAAGTAGAAAGTAGATTTATTTTCTGGTGATTGGCAATTTCAACTAACGGAAGAAGATAGAGGATTTGTTTTGAATTGAAACTGATCAGTTGGTTTAGAGATTTTGAGGGGGTTTCATCTCCGGATTAACATTAAATTAGGAATCAAATTCTGAGCATTAAAGTAGAGCATGATTTACGTGACTCTATCAGGGATGGTATTATCCCGAATTTTACTCTAGTATTACTTCAACATTCGTTTTTTTTTTTTTTCCTTTTTTTAACATTCTATTTATCTGTTTTTTTAGGCAGACACGTGGCAGAAATCATTTTATACTGAAAAAGAGCTTTGGCGGGAAAATTTTCAACGTGGAGCTCGCATGTGTCCTTCTTCTATGTTGTTTTAATTAAATACAATAGATAGATATTATCGCACCGATAGATAGTTAAAAAAATGATTACTTTTGACCCATTTTGATTTTCCAGGTTGCATAAGTGCAAATTAGACTTAAACGCAAAAAGTTTATTAAACAAAGGAAAAAGAAGAAGACATGCAATTAGGTCATTTTCATATGCAAAAGATGTGTAGATCTATCATTCATATACAATTAGGGGACGACAAAGCTTATCCAAGCTGAGTAGATGAATTAGACCGCCGGCGAATGACAGAGAAGCGTGTACTTCTGCCCGGACATTTCTTCTTCTTTTCTTTCCCCTACCATTATTAGGTCAAGTGACAAACTTTTTCTTGTTTTGCAGTTGCTTTGCAAAAGAATTGATATATTATAATTTAATCAATTATTGTTGCCGAGCTCAATTATACATTGCCAACATCTTATATCTTTGGCTCTTTTTATAATTTTTATTACTTGACTATTTTTTTTTGCAACCCTTTTTTTTATTAATTTTCTTTTTATTTTTAGTGTAGCTGCACTACTAATAATATCTATTTTTAAATGGCCAAATAAAATAATCGTACTCCATATTTAGAAATTTGCTTGGAGCCTTCCTTATAAATAGTTCGTTTTGGTGAATTGACTCAGTTATACTCTTTTATGATTTCCCGAAAGGGAAAAAAAAAAATACTGATTTAGTATTACATAATATTTAGAAATATGCTTCTCGATTTTGACATGAAACCTGCACATATGGTTACCATACATGCATAACTCCAACTTAACTGGAGTATAATATTAAACTAAAAAAAAAAAAACTTCAGATAGGAATTATTCCTCCACTAACTAGCTACCGTACGTTAAACTGCATTATTATTGAAAGCTGCGAACTAGAGCCCTTCATCCATGGCTCCCAACTTTTACACACTTTAGCTAGTAGTAGTACTCATTAATTAGCAACAACTTGGGCAGCGTTGACGGTTGAAGCAATGTTCTGGTCACCAATTATGCTGGTGGCGCCGGCAAGATCCCCGGCGGCGGCGCTGCTTCTGGGGTTACTGGTAGCCACATCTCTGATTTGGTCGGTAGAGTTTGAAGAGGGTGAGATGCTGTGATGTTGGGGAGGATTTGTGTGAATCGGTGGCCTCTGCGGCGCTGACCTTTTTGTGCTCTGATATCTCCTGTTATAATTAATAATGATCGATAAACAATCATAATTCAAGCAAAACTCCAAATTAAGGGATAGAAGTGTTTATCTCATATATCCTCATACATTTTTTTTTTAATACAAATACAGAGATCAAGAAAATATTAACGAATTCTTTCATGATTTCTTTATGGACCCTTTTCATCTAACAACCAATGCTCAAAAACTTTCATTAGTTCATAAGCAAGAAAATATTCAGTTAAATCTTCGTGGAAAAGAACAAAAGTATGCGCGCGCATGTTCATGCAGCTATGCCTAATGATGAAGAAATTGTTCAAATAAATTGATAAGAAGAATTAGATGATGATGATCATCATGACTTACACAAAGATACTACTGGCAAAAGATGATTGACGATGAGGGTTGACACTGGAGCCGATAACTCTGAGCAAGTTCTTTGGCAACATCATCATCTTGCAAAGAGAAGCCATGCTCGAATCTCTTCCTTCTTTAGTAGCTAATAATCAATAAGAGAGCTAACTAAAGCTTTTATCTTTTAATTAAAAAGAGAGAGAGAGAGAATATATGAAGATAAACTTTGTGTATATAGTTGTTTATGAATCGAGTGGTGTGGTGCATGATGATGGCACATCTATATATAGTAGTAGTTCATGTGAACGTGAGACAATCTTACCCTACTAGCTACGGTGGAAAGAAGTAGCTAGCCAAAATGCATCGAGAAACTTCATTAAAAAAAGAAAAAAAAAATTACACTGAACAAGTTAAAAGTGAATGTCAAATTGCCAATAGTTACTGCTTCTTCCGCACAATATATTTGTTGAACTAAAATAGTATGATAAATAATTTTTATTTTAAGAAATACGAAGAGAATCTCCTACTATAAGTATTAGCATCTCAACTGTAACGAACATATTTACGGTGGAAAAATTGGTTGATCTATCTAAAGGTTAACATGCGTTGTTAATTTTACCCTATTCTTTTTCGGTTAGCTAATATTACCCTAAGCTATCCAACCGTTAGTCGATTTTGTCCAATTTTCCAATTTCCGTTTAAATTAACGGAATTCTGTTAGTTTTAATTATAAAAAAAATGCCCTAATAGTTTTGAAAATTATAAAAATAACTCTAAAAATTTGAAAAAATAACCTAACAGTCTTTTTTCACTTTTTATTTAATTTTTTCTGTTTTCTATTTCCTTTTACTATTTCTCATAAGTATAACAATATATTATATGATCTTTTAATTTTTTTTTATTTTTAAACACTATTGTGCAAATTTATAGATATGCATATTTGTAACTCATGGTTGATTTACATAAATATATTAATTCTTTTAATAATATAACTTAAAAATAATGATATTATTTTTTTAATCCTTTTTTTCAGTTTAAAGAATAAGAATTTTTTTACTAAAAACTATTTTTTTACAAAAAAAATTAAAACATTTAGCACATATTAAAAATTAATATATTAGTACATTTTAATTTATTACAAATTAACGAAATATGCTATAGATTGTATTATCTAATTCAAAAAATAATTAAACTAAAATATATGGTACAATCTAGTGTTTAAGGTTTTGAGATTCATGAGAGTAGATATAAGATTAATTCTCATCAAATGATTTCTAATCCGAGGAGTGATTTATCTACATTTAAGCATGGTCTACTAAAGGTAAGAGGGTTGAGTTGGATGGTCATGTGATTTAAGATGGGAGATGATTATTACAGTGTTCGAACCTCAATTCTCACTGGGGCAATCTTTTTTTTTTTTTTTGAAAAGGTGGAGTTCAGTACTGAAGTAAATTTTTTTTATTTTTTTATTAAAAAAAACTTCCTGCTAAAGTTAGATATGTTAATACCTCAAAAAATTATCACGAAATGTTAAACACTCGCAATGATAAATATATTTATAACAAATTTTGTACCATTTTTTTTACTTTCTGTTCGTATTTAGCCTTTTAAAGAAAATTTATATTTTAGTTTAATTATTTTTTTAATTTACAATACACTCTAAATTTTGTTGAATTATTGTAATACATTAAAGTATACCAATAAAAAAAATTTTAATCTAAGCAAAATGTTTTTTTTTTGCAAAATTTGTTTTAATTAAATAATCTTATTTTTTAGATTGAAAAAAATAGATTAAAAAAAAGTATCATTACTGTTAAAACATATTATTAAAAAATTAATATGTTTATGTAAATCAAACATGACTTACAAAAATGTAATTATAAATTTGTACATTAGAGTTAAAAAATAAATATTTTTTTAAAAGATCATATAATATATTTTTATAGTTGTGAAAAATTGTAAAAAGAAATTTAAAAAACAGAAAAATTTAAAATAAAACTGAAAAGAGACTGTTTTGTTATTATTAAAAAATTTTGGGGTTATTTTTATAATTTTTAAAACTATTAGGGTATTTTTATAATTAAAACTAACAGAATTCCGTCAATTTACACATAATTGGCAAATTGGACCAAATCGGTTAACGGTTGAATAGTTTAGGGTCATATTAACTAACCGAAAAAGAATAGGATAAAATTGACAATACATATCAACTTTTGGATAGAGTAGCCAATTTTTTCTATGTATGGTCTCAACTTAACTAGCTTTCACTCATGGGTTATAACACGCACACATGCATGGTCAAACTTCATTAGTCAATATTTCATTAGTTTATACATATGCATGGTTCGTGGTTGTTGGGCCACATTAATTATCATGAACTCTTATTTTGATCTGTTGATGTTTGCAATGATTGACCTAATTCGATCCGCCGGTTAGTACGTATAGACTCGTAATAAGTAGAGTAAAACTCAACCAAAAAAATTATTAAGTACAGCAGACAATTTAGTATAGGTGCATAACCAAAAATATTGATAGGTCCGATCCGGCTCCCTTAAAATTTAGGTTAGCTATTAAGTTCTTTATTGAGAGATATTTATCTTTTAAAAGGGATTTACTCAGCTCGAATCTAAATTAATCAGAATATCGGACTTCGGACACTTGGTACATAATCCACCAAAAAAAAATTGATAGGTCCAACTCCAAAGAAAGGCCGAGGAAGCTCTTTGGTCTTTACAGGTCCACGTTCCCACTAGTTTTACTTGTTGCTTTTGTTTCGTTCTTTCGAATTGTGTTCGATGGAAACAATTGACCGGAATACAATATAGAGTAACATAATCGGCTTCCCACTCCACATTCCACAATGGCTTTAACTAGCTAAAAAAAAATATGGGTACACAGTTTTCGTAGGAATTAAAACCTTTCTTATCTATTTCTGGAGGAGGAAAACTGAAGTGTCCTTTTTCACGATTTTTAATTTTGGCAGAAAATGAAAGGTAAAGTGCATGTGTTGGACGGATTATGCAGTAGGTATGTTTTTAATTGACGTAAGATTTTAAAATTAATTCAATTTCAAACTAAGATAAAATGTGGTTGTGAAAAAACAAAAATTTTTTAAAAAAATACATACGTAGTTTCTTCGTTTGTGACGCGCGGTGTAATGTTGTAGGTAGAGAAAACGATTTTTTCCCGTTTCTAGAATGGAAGGAAACAATTTGTTCTGTTCCAAAATAATTATTTTTATTTAATTTTTTAATTTTAATATAATTTATATAAAAAATAAAATCTAAATTAGATCATAATTTCGAAACAAAAAAAAAATACTTGTACCATGTACCAAATACAGGTTTCTGTAGCTATGATCATGTGGATGCATATATAGGATACCCCTTCTTTCCCTCAAGAAAACATTAATAGCCACATATACGAAGGCTTTTATTTTTTTGGTCTATTTATTTGGCAACTAATATATCCGGAGATGAAAATGATATTGTTATGTGAATGATTGAACTTAAGTGGGTTGTAGGGCATACTCATGCAATAACAAAAGTCTATTTATGAAAAAGAGGGGGAGATTCTGTTGGGTTTAAAGTAGATTCATCATGTTTCAGTCTTTCAGTTGGACTTTTCTTTGGTGCACTATTTGTCACGATTTTTGGGGCATGAATCATGTGAATGTGAGTCGGAGGGACACTCTAATTCGAAAGTGCTTATCATTTTCAATTTTTCATTGTATTACGTTTATGACTAGAAGAGTATATATACATTTATGAAAAGGTTCTTCTTATCGGAAAAAAAAAAAAAAAGAGAATGTTATAGTATTATTTGTGTTCCTACATTTTGATATCTTATGTTTAACGTCCATTATTACTTTAACTAATACAATTAAAAATGTGATTTCTTGTGGTCCTGTGGAGAAGTAATCAAGGATATAAATTGGAAAAACGTCAGTGCCTAATGTTACATTTTAAGTGTTTTTGCTTTGCGAAGAATAATTTGTTACAAACTTATGTCAAAACAGAACTCTAATTTTCAACCTCACAATGTTTGATCAAAAAAATGTTGTAACATCACTCGTAATAAAATCTCTTTAGTTTCCAACATGCAAAGAGATTAAAGGCCAAGGCTTAATGAGAATTAATTAGCGTACAATTTTTGAGAAAAAAATTTTCATGAAAGAAATCTACCGATTTGAATGAGAATTAATTCGAATGTAAGATGTGTTCGCTCAGAATTATGTACTTTATAATTCTAAGTACGTACCAAATCTTATCAAATTAAAATGAAAAGCTGCACGAACATACTAATCACCCGTGCTTGATCCATCATCGTCATGAATCAGGTGGGGCAAATCCCCCCGATATTTTCAGATACATTGAGGTTGAAGAAAGTGATGTGCACTTCCACCCCTGTAAGCTTACGTACAATGAACTATTACATGCATGCATCATAATTACTGAAATAACACATTTATCTGTTAATTATTTTACCGAAGTCTCTCTTTATATATTTGTAGTTTAGTACTATGTTTTTTCCTGAAGTAAACAAAGAAGAAAAAAAAAGTAACGTTAGTCAACAACTATATACTAGTAGTTCATGCATGGTCTGAACGGGACAGCAGGAAAAGGAGAAAGAAAGTAAGAGGTTCTTCGGAGATGATGATGAATGATGATCGGCTTTTGGCCTGGCCGGCGGCCTTGACTACTGACTGACACTTTCTTACCATCCATTAGCTAATACTTCCTTTTCGTTCCCATTGAATTTATTTTGTTTGGAATGTTTTTTCGGTTTATATATTTTTTTAATCCATGATAATTTTGAAGAAGTTGAATTGAAAATACAATTTAATTTTTCTTAAAAAAAATAATTTAAAGAATTATTAGGAAAACTGCATAACATGGTGTTACCTTACCCACCAAAACACATTTACGTAAGATTTGATTTTGCACAATTACTTCTTTCATCCTAAAAAAAAATTGTTCATTTTATTGAATTAAAACAAAATGGATTATCTACAATGTTGAAGTTCGATCGTGATAAACCATGATATAGTGGGCATTTCTTATACATGAAATGTTATGATTTCCTGCAATTAATTTTTTTAATTTCTTTATATATAAAAAAAACCAAAATGTATATTCCTTGCACGATACAGGAAAAAAATAATTTAGTTATATCTATTTCCCTTCGAATCCTGTACACACTTGTCTATTCTCGCTTGTCCTAGATTAGTTTTTAGGTTCATCCATGCAAACTAACCCGATCTTTTTCTTTTTCAAAAGCGATATTCATTAATATAAAAAACAAAACATCAATCTACGATTTACAAGGGACTAATACAATCTGTCTTAAACGCTCTTTCTAACTACAAAGGACATTTCTATCCCAGTTTTGTGTACATTTGTTAGACTGAGCCAACTTGGCAAGATTGTGACAAGATGAGTTCCAATCTTTCAGAATAAACAGAAATTTACACGCATTACAAAAATTTTTCAGCAAAAAGATGTCGTTAACTATGGTTAACACATCTAAAATAGGAGCAATTCTTCCTTGTAACCAAGCTACCATACCCTTCACATCTAATTGGATCTCTACTTCCTTAATCCTCCTCTGTTGCACCTCCACCGCCATTCTCACAGCTTCCACTTCGGCAGCCATACCACTTTGTACAGTCTCTTGATAATGAGCTTTAGCCAAGAGTAACATACCTTCTAAGTTTCTGAAGCAAATACCAAGACCTGATGCTTTCTTTCCTGTCTCCATATGTGAGCAAACATTCAATTTGATTTTCCTTTGCTCTGGAGCCACCCATCCTTGTTGTTTTCCTCCCTTCTACCAATGTTCTGCACCCTCTGCCTTGCCTTTTGCACTTGCTTGAACTCAGTCCATTCAGCTATAGCTCTTCTCACCACTTCAAAAGCTTCTATTTTTGTTTCTTCATACTGCCAGCTATTTCTCGCTTTCCAGATTTGCCAAAGGAGATAAACCGAAATCTCAATTCTGGCATCTATCTCTGTCCCATCTTCAATTTTCATTAAGGCCCCCCACCAATCTGCAAACCTTTGTCCTCTAAACCTAAGTCCATCCCATCTAACAGGAGCTAATTCCCAGACCCGCTTTGCAAAATCACAAGTAAACAACATGTGTTCAATACTTTCCATATCATTCCCACATCTCTTACAAACTTCATCAACCACCAGTCCTCATTTCTTCAAGGTGACACTAGCAGGTACCCAACCTTTAAACAATTTTCAGTCAAAATGACGCAGCTTTTCTTTAACAAGAAGTTTCCAGGATCTTGTCCAGATTCTCTTTTCCTCTTCCCTACTCCCACTGGATTAGTTACTTCCACTAGCAGCTTTCATTGCCTTCTGTATTTCATCAAAAGCTGAGGACAATCTAAATCTTCCATTACTCTCCCCACCCCATACCTGCGTATCCTTACTGCCATGTTTGCTTAATGGGATCTCCATTACTAGCTCAACCTCAGAAGGAATCAAAATTTCATTCAACATCTCCCTCCTCCATGATTTGGCTATAGGATCAATTAACTGGTTTACTTTCCTTAGCTGGGAGCTGAGATCCCTCTCCCTCCTTACCTCCACTACACAACTTTCAGGCAACAAATTATCCTTCTAAATATCCACATCCCTCCCATCCCCAATCTTCCATTTGAGATTTTTCCTTATTCCTTTACTAGCCGCCAACCAACCTTTCCACATCCACGAATCAATGCCTTTCTGGTGGTTTTGGAGCAAAGAATTATTTGGATAATATTTGCGCTTCGTCACCTTGGCCACCAGAGAGTTTGGTTCTGATAGTAGCCTCTACACCTGTTTCGACAGTAGAGCTTCATTCATTGACTGCAGGTTTCTAAACCCTAACCCACCACACTCTTTTTTCTTTGCCAATTTGTCCCACGATCCCCAATGCATCTTCCTTTTCTCCTCACCATCACCCCACCACAAACCAACCATATAACGTTCTATCTTATTACAAAGATTATATGTAATCTTGTAACAAGACATAACGTAATTTGGCAGAGATTGTACCACATATTTCACAAGGATCTCTTTTTGTGCTGGAGACAGAAACTTGCTTTTTCAGCTTTTGATCTTTTTCATGGCTGCTTCCTCCACAAACCTGAAGACTTCTGTTTTTGATCTCCCTATGACCAGTGGCAAACCTAAATATTTAGATTTTAGGTGTATAATAATACCATTTAATTCAGAACAGATCAAATCCTTGTAACTTCTACATTTTTGCTAAAAAACATGGAAGATTTTTCCTAGTTAACTCTTTGACCTGAACATACATCATATTCATTCAAAATTCTTTTAATGCATCTGATTTGATCAATATTAGCTTTACAGAATAATAAAGCATCATCAGCAAACAGTAAATGAGTAATTTCAGGTCCCAATCTACTTATTTTCACCCCCCTCAAGTTCCCCTCTTGTAACTGCCCTTTTGACAAAATGAGAAAAAGCTTCTGAGACTATCAAAAACAGATAAGGGGATAAGGGGTCCCCTTGTCTAATCCCTCTATTGGGTTTAATATATCCCTTAGCTTCACCATTAATGTTGAATGAAAAAGAAGCTGTTTGAACACACTGCATTACCCAACCAACAAATAACAAATCAAAACCCATACTAATTAGCATAAATGACATGAATCTCCACTCTACTCTATCATAGGCCTTTGCCATATCTAACTTAACTGCTACAAATTCATCTTTCTTATTTCGTAACTTATTGAAATGGAGAATGTACTCTTGTACTATGGCCGCATTATCTAACATCTGTATTCCTGCCTAAAAAGCCGACTGGTTTTCGCTTATGCAAAAAAGTAGCAAGGGTTTGAGTCTATCAGCCAGAATTTTAGATATAATTTTGTAAACAACAGAGCATAGACTTATGGGACGATATTAGGATATTTTAGTAGGTGTCTCTATTTTCAGAATGAAGGAAATTAGAGTATGGTTAAAGGATTTAAGCATGCAAGATTATGGGAAAAAAAGCTTTTAATTGCTAAGCATACATCAGTTTGAACAAAGTTCCAAAAAGTTTGATAAAATAAGGGGCTCATACCATCCATTCTAGGAGCTTTGGTAGGGTTCATGTTGAAAAGGGCCTTCTTGATCTCGCCATCCTCCACTGGACAAATTAGTGCAAAATTCATCTGTGTTGTGATAGTGCTTGGTATCTCCCGTAACATTTCCTCCCAGCCTCCTACACCATCTGACTTGAACAGATCCTTACAGAAATTTTCCACCTCTATTTTAACTACTTCCTCATCTTCACACCATGTACCATTTTCCCTAATCAGTTTATTCTATTGATCCTTCTTCTTTGCATGCTTGATGCATGAAAATACTTTGTATTTTTATCTCCCTCTTTTAACCACTGGTTTATACTTTTCTGCCCCCAGTAAGCTTCCTCCTCTTCATAGGCATCATCTAATTTCCTTTTCATCTCCTTCCACTCATCCCAATTCCTGTTACCCCCTTGTTCTTTCATGGTTTCCAACTCCTTGCTTATTCTTTGAATTTCCTTACTGGAGTTTAAACCCTGCTGTCCGTTCCATTTAAGTAACTCCAGCCTACATATCTTAATCTTAAGGGACAATTTGTGCATTGGAGACCCTTCCACCTCAGTTTCCCACGCTTTTTTCACTATTTCATTGATCTCATTTTTCGCCACCCACCCCTTGTCGAAGTAGAATCTAGACTTTCTCTTTAGTGATCCAGGATCCGTATCCAGGAAAAACAGGCAATGATCAGAGGCCAATCTATCAACATGTGTCACCTTTGCTTTCCCAAACTCTAGCAGCCATGTCAATAACCCAAAGAATCTATCTAAACCCTCCTTAATATACCCCTCCCCCTACCTGTTGTTCACCCAGGTCCACAGTTTACCTTCAATCTCTACTTCTTCCATACAGCTGCTGGCATTTCTCATTCGCCCCCCTTTTTTCTCCCCCACCTCCCTTATATCACTAAAGTCCCCACCCATGAACCATCTCACTCCCCATCTCCCCTTTTTCCCCTCAGTTCCTCCTATTGCCTTTGCCTAATGTTACCATCTATGCTAGCATACACAAATACACCCCACATACGACCCTTAGAATCTTTGGTTTCGAATTTCACTTCAATTGAGAAATCAGATATCTCTATAGTATAGATAGTAACATCTTCCCCCCACCCTAAAACGATACCCCCTTTCAAACCAAGTGGTTCCACAATACACCACCTACTTCCAAACCCTAATTTTTTACCAACCGTCTTAACATATCCCCCTTTATGTTTCGTTTCACATAAGAACACCAAATCTGGATTATAGAGTCTACAAGACTCTTTCAATTGTGAAACTATAGAGGAATTTCCAGACCCCTACAATTCGACATCATGGCTCTCATTAGGAAACTTGGGGCCATTCTAGGCTGGCTACCCCCACCTCTAATCCTTGATCTCCCATAATTGTATCCATATCATTTACTCCATCACCACACATCTCCACTGTACTATTGGTCACTTTTCTCCTTTTCTGATCATCAGTTCTCTGGGGACTTGATACTGTACTACCCTCCCTAATTCTCTTCCCAGTTAATTCCCCCATAACTACTTCTTTACCTTTCCTCTTCTCCCCACTGTCCTTTTTCACCTGTCTTGCTTTCTTTTTCCATTGCCCCTTTCTATTTCTCCCTCCAGCATCTGATGATTTAAGACCCTGATGCGCCCATATTGTTTGTGATATCCCAATTCTTCTACTGTCAGTCCCAGTGATCCCCTCTAATACACTCTCCTCGTTAGATTCCAACATAGTGGAGTCCTCCTAATCATTCCCTATATCATCCTCCTCCCCTAGATTTCCCCCTCCCCATGTAGGTACCTTCCCTGCTGCCAAGGCTTTTTCCAAGCAATCCACGGAAGTTATTCCTCTACTAGGACCTTCTCCTGCCATCTTATTACCACCACTGGGCTCCGACTCCAGAAAAAATCTAACCTCTGAATTGATGTTTCTTTTAACAACTTCTGACCATTTAGAAACTCCAGCTTCCACCCTTGCTGGCTTTTCCACCTCCCTTTTCCCTGTTACATATTTTGCTGCAGATTTTGATGTTTCCACCTCCTGTGAGACTTGATGGTCTCTTATCTGATTAGTTTCAAGACTCTGAGAAACCCCATTCATCCACCTACTATCTCCCTCTTCCCCTAATTTTATGCCCTTCCTTACCCGTTCTACCCGTATAATTCCCTCCTCACTTCCCATACTATTCTTTATCCCCAGTTTGCTATTACTTCTCGATTTTTCTCCTCTCACACCCAAGCCCAGACTGTCAATCCCAGCATCACTTCTCTCTTCCTTAGTTTCGTCCAAAACTTCCTTCTCCTCCTTTTTCCAGTACCCTGCTCTCAACCAAGATCCAAACTCCCCTTCTTTTAGACAGTTATTAACTAAGTCCTAGCTTCTTTTTTTACAACTTTTCTCCCCATGATCTACATGGCCACAATAACTGCAAAATACACCTAAATTCTCATACTTAAACAGGACTCGTACCTCCTTCCCTTTGTATTCTAGAAGCGTTCCTCGTTCCAGTTGTTTTCTCAGATCTATGTCCACCAATACCTTGATATGGCGGTATTCCGACCCTCCCACATCTGGAATCAGGACGTTATGCACTTTGCCCAGAGTTTCCCCCAACTTCTCTTCCGGTTTCTTTAGATATCTAGTGTGTTGGCACATTCCAGATCTGGACTCAGATCGGCATTAAATTGAAGGATTAATCATCATAATCCATATTCTCAACCCATTTTTCAACAACGAGAAAGTGGTCGTGAAAGGGCCGTGGTCGTTGGCGGAGTACTGATTCCCTTTTCGTTTCCGTCGAAAAAACAAATTGAAAAGTATTCGATTTTAGCTTATCCACCCTCATTAGGCCCCGTTGACCCCAGGGCTTCTCCATCGCATTTCGAACCCCAAAGTAGTTCCCTTCCCCCGCCAAAGATTTTACCCACCAAACTACGATTCCCCTCCGTCCTTCCTTTTTCAGTATCCCCATATCCCAAACACACCCCGTTGTTTTCAGTAGTTGACAATGAAAAGATGTCAAACTTTTTCAGAATTTTTCCTTCCATAATTTACCCACTATCACAACACTTCGAGAATTCCACACCAATCACCAATGACGACTGGTCAAGACCTGAAGTATTAATGGATGGTCAAAATAAAAGGTTAGTGGATAAGGCACAAGAGTATTTAATAGAAGGATGTCCAAAGGCATAGAAGAAATAAAAGTTGTGCTCTAAAATTGAAATCGGTCTAAGGACTTTTTTTTAGCAAAGAACTATTGATAATTAGGATACTTGTTTTTGAAAAAACTATTGCCGGATATTGAAAATTTTGAAGTTTTCGTAGGATTTTTTAAAAAGATTTGAATATTTTTTGAAATTTTTTGAAATTTCGATGAAAAATAATAACTTTCGCCTAGGGTAGGACAATACACCCACGAGGATTGAGAAACACTCTCAGTAGAGAGAGAAAGAAATGGCTGTCTTTGGAGTGCATGCAAACTAACCCGATCAAACGAATTTATATTCTACTCCTTCCGTCCCATAATTTTTGTCCAATTTGCAAAAAAAAAAAATTCACAAAATTATTGTCCGATTTGACTTTTTTTAGTTAAATTACACATATAACCTTTATCCCTAAAAAGAAAAAAAATCAACCTGAAACCTTTTTTTCTATTGTTCCCTACGCACAAAGTAGAGCCAAACAACTCCAGTACAGTAGATGATGGTTCTCCGACGGACCCAACAGCCACCGGATTTGTGGCCATAGCGGCAGTTGCAGTTAAGGTGTTCTTGTAATCGAAGGACTCATCGTTGTAAATGTCCCACTATTTCTTGACCAACATCTTGATGTCTTCCCGGTCCATGTTCTCTTACTTGTCGGTGTACCTCCACGGCTTTGATCCGGCGGCGCAGTAATGAACCATCTTTGACTTTCTCAAGCTCGATTTTTCTCAAGGTGGCGCCAGAGCATGGTCAGAACCAAGTTATAAATCTTTGGAATTGGCTCATAGATATCCCTGAAGAATATGTTCAGGAAGTCCTCCACCAGAATTATATCAAATTAGATCTCGTAAACACCTCAACTGATGGACCAATTGAAATCATGAAATGGGATTATGTTAATTTTTACAGAGAAATCAGAAATAAAGTTTACCTGTTCGACGAAAGGCATAGGAGGGGTGGTTTTGAGAGTGCTCAAGAGATCATAGGTGCCTAAATTCAAACTTAGAGTGAGAAGATTCTCCAAAATTTGAAGTTTTTCCCCTCAATTGCTTCGATTATAGGTACCTAATTGAAGAACAAATGGAAGCACTGTTCTTGCGCTCTGAAATGGGGTTTTGAATGGGCGGATTAAACCATTTATATATGTAGGGTATATTTGGAAGCTCATGACAAAAAAAATCGAGTTTGACCAAAAATAAAATCTTCTAATTTAGCTAAATTGGACAAAAATTTTGGGACGGAGGGAGTACTAAATTTCATCCCAGAAATGAAGTTAATTAGCGTCGTATTAATTATGATGAATTGATGATAGCTCGATTTATAATAATTCACAATTATAACGAGTATTTTTCTAATATGTCTCTCCTATGTGATTTAATAACGAATTTATTGATGAAAGATATATATGAACAATTGTTGTTCCAGCTCCCATTAACTAAGAATTTGGTAGTCAACGTGAATAAACATAACTTCCGACTATATATGGGGATAATTTTTGGCTCCCGCACATTTACGCGAAAAATAAATACACAAGTTGGATTCTTAAAACACACTTTAAACTTTCTCTTTTATAAATGTAACGCGGACATTACTTGACTGAAATACTACCTGATTTATGGATTAATAAAAGACTTACCCAAAGAAATTACATTGTGTTTCACGGTATGGAGTAATATCAATATTTATTTAACTCTTTGATATGGGAAGAACTTTTCATCAAGGTATAGAACACCTTTTTTTTTTTTTTTGGTAAACATCGCGCGGCTTAAAGCCTATGATTCTTTAGATTATAATTAGATAGTCCAAGAATTAGATAAGCTCATGAAGGACGAGACAACATCAGAAGAGTATAATGTCCAATTTTTACCCAGACATTTCTTTAGCTAGAGCGTCGGCATATATGTTATTTTTCTTAAAAACACCTTTAGGAGTAAGATTGCTAAAGTTATTATAAATCACTGAAACGACAAATTTTAAAAACTTAAATTAACACGAGTTGTGCAATTTTTTTTTTTTTCATATTATAATGTGTTCACCGTCAACAATAGTGACTAACCATCTTCGTTCATAGTAGGTAGTATAGTTGATTAAACGGAGTATGTAATCGAGCTTGATGGACGAATGGAAAAATGAAAGAATATTCATATCAACAAGGTCATAGGCGATTGATATTGATCGTATGATTCTGTTACATCTATTCATAGTAACTAGATTAATCATGGTTTCAAATTTTATAGCCAAGCCATTAATGACTAGATTTCCTACACTGACAATCTCAATAATCACCTTTATAAATTACCAGTACATTACGATCATCAGGCCTTAGGAAGAAAAATTAAAAATAACAGGATGGCGGCGTGGATCAATGTCATCGGCGGCGAGTGGCGGAGGACGTGGAGGAGCTGGTGGCGGGATACAGCTTCACAAATCTTAGCAAATATCTTCCACACCCTCTTTGTTCCTCTCTCATTCCTCCTCCTGGCCAGGCTTTCAACGGCCCGGTCTAATTTCAAAGATTTCTACGTCGGCTCCGGTCAAATCGACGGTGTCCTCCTTTATTTCTTTTCCCTCTACTTATTAAACTCAATCCTTCTTTATTTGCTTCTCTTCCTCCTTTCCGTCGCCGCCTTTATCCACACCCTCACCGGCGGTCGAGTGAACTTGATACATCTACTCCTATGCCGAGGGAACGATTCCGGCGACAGCTGCCACCACCGCCTTCGTCTTCCTCGTGTACTTATTCTTTCCGGCTTGCTATTATTGGCTGAAATAAGCATCGAATTTAATCAGCCGCCGTTGCCTCCCTTGTCTGGATACCATCGCCGGAGCGGCTGTGCCGGAGGATGGTTATTCGCGCTAGGGTTGTACGAGACGATGATATACTGGTTGGAGAGCGTGGTGAAAGTCGTAATAAAAGATGAGGCGATAATTGCCTTGTTTGATGAGGACGAGCTGATGAAGAAGAGAAGAAGGCGGATGGTTACGGCGGAGAGGATTGGTTCGGGGCTGAGCTTTGGCGGTTTGTGGTGGTGGAGATTGAGAGACCAAGTCGATTACCTCCGGCTGGCAGCGGAGGAGGAGGACGGCCACAGTGTCGTCTTCCGTAGCGTGGCTCTCTTTGTCAGTCTTGGATTGTATTACTTGCTTCTCATCACCGGAGCTATCAGATGTTTCGCCGGAGTTACCGGTATGATGCAATTAGTAATCAGGAGGTGGACGCCGATTGGGAGGAAACAGATTCCGCGGCCACCGTGGACGGCTGAGGAGACCGTCTAGAAAAAGGGGAGGAACATTTATGTCCAAAGGAATTACAGGATGGAAATCCTACAACGCGCGATCACTCAGCAAATTTTTTTTACTATTTTCATTTTGTATCATTTATTTTAGAAGAACAAATTTACCTAATTACTTCATTTTTAAAATGATTTTTTATGGAACACTAAAAAATTCTCTTGATTTAATAGTGGTAAGAAAATACCAAAAGAACCAAGAAATCGAGGTGGTTAGAGCTTGTGTACTTTTTCTTGAACAAAGTTGGGAGGAAAAAAATTACTCATCCATTCTAGAAACTTAATCTAGTTTGTAAATACAACAACAACAAGTTTTTTTTCCACTAGGTGGAGTCAGCTATATGGATCATATATCGCCATTGTACTCGATCGTTACATAAATCATCTCTCAAATTTAAATATTTCAAATCATTTTTTATAGTTTCTTTCCAATTTTTCTTCGGTATACCCCTACCTCTCTTTATTTGAGTCATTGATTTTATACTTTTTACCCACTTAACCGGGGCCTTCACCGGTCTCCTACGCACATACCCAAACCACTTTAAGCGAGTTTCTCTCATTTTCTCATCTATCGGAGCTATCCCTACCTTATTTCTAATGCATTCATTTCTAATCATATCTAACCTAGTATACCCACACATTCATTTTAGCATTCTTATTTCTGCTATTCGCATCTTTTGTTCATTTTCATATTTAATAGTCCAACACTCGAATCCGTAAAATATTGCCAGTCGAATGGGCGTTCGATAGAACTTGCAAATGTAAATATCGAATGTAAATTAGTCCAAAAGACTAACGGACTAAGAATAAGGTTCATTGAAACTACTAGGAAAAACATTGCACAGCAGTAGACGTTAGTTCAATATAAACTAATTTGACGTTTCCATCATGTATAATATAATTCCACGGTAGCTGAGTTCGATACAAAGTTTCCCCAAAATTCAAGAGTAAAACACACAAAAACCAAGGACTCGATGAGTGGCAGGAAAAATACTCCGTATAACGAATCATAATCTCCTCAAAATTATTAACCTGCTTATTGTATTAAATTTAGTAGTACTACTTGTTGTATTAAATTCAGTAATACATCAAATGCGGCCAAAATTTTGAAATGGAAAGAACAATACAGTAGTATTTGGTTAATGGTGACTTGTGGAAAGACATCTTCCCAATTACAAAAAACAAACGAATGGAAACACAGAACAAACAGCACATCAATCAATTCAAACTCAAATGACTTCTCTCCTATTTTGAGGTCCTTGAGGAGCAATTAATCTCTACCTCCATCTACTAATAACGAATAGTATTAGTGAGCTTATAGTAACTTTTAATAAGCAATACGTTTGCTCATCATACCGTACTGATTTCCACTATATATTTAGATGATGTATTTTGAACAACGGCAAACCCATAGAAAACTAGAATTTTGTGTGGGGGAGTAGAAAATCTTGGCCCTTCAACCAAACAAAATTTGAAGAGTAACAAAAAAAAGAGCCTAATTAAGTAGAGCATCGAATCTCATCTAAGGCCCATCTCTCTGCCTGAGACAGTTTATATCTCTCTCCCTCTACCAAACGATACAAAGCCGCCGAAAACGTTCAGAGAAATAAAACCCAGTAAGAAATGATGAGCAAAGATCAATCATATCGATGATGCCTAAAATAATCATTCTTAAGTTTTACTCCCCCGCTCACTAAACCTAACATAAAATTCTTTTGCGCTAATTTCAATACCAAACTTCCAAAAATAAAACCTCCAGGATGAACTGAAGCATTACAACCGACCAATTTTGGATCCAGAACATTTATGTACCTCTCCATTCTATATGTTTTTTAGTCCCAAGCACTCGATCCACCAGGAGGACCATAACCCCCACCATAGTTACCACCGTAGCCACCACCTCCACCACCGTAGTAGTCACCCCCGCCACCACCGCCTCGGTCCCTTCGAAAGTCACGGCCACCGAAACGAGAACCACCACCACCAGACCGCCGATTCTTGCCACCATATGAAGCCCGGCTAGCATAGCGAATCAACCAATCAGGGACTTCTTGGTTAGCTTCTTGCATCAGCTCAGCCAATGGTTTAGCCAATGACATGTTGCCCTCATTAAAGAAAGCAGTTGCCAATCCAGTCTTCCCAGCACGACCTGTTCGTCCAATCCGGTGCACATAATCATCAATATCGTTGGGAAGGTCAAAGTTGATAACATGAGAAACATGGGGTATATCAAGGCCACGAGCAGCCACATCCGTGGCAACCAAAATAGGAGTGTTCGCACTCTTGAATGATCTCAAAGCATGCTCTCTTTCCTGAAATAAAAAAGGAAGAAGCAAATGATAGTGTGCAAAGATGATAATTGAATCCAGCTGAACCACAATGAACAGAGTTGAGCAGCAAATATTGACACACCAAATTACTTATGGACAGATAACCATCCACAGGCAAAATTAATCTGGGAGAGCATGATAAAAATTTCAGATTAAGGTTTGTAAGTAGCCAAAAGACCGGACAATAGTTCCATATAAGGTTAAATGATGTATAAAACCTATGAGTAAAACCAGAACAAGGTTTAAAAAAAAAAAAAATGGACCATGCAGACAGTAGCAACAGAACAAATAAAAAATTGTTAGTGAGAACTGAAAACTTTTGAAAGTATTCACCAGTTTTAATTAGCATATCGGGGCGATTGATGAATATCATGAACTCTAAATTTTGAAAACAGAAATGGAGATGAGAGTGTATATACGAACGCTGAGAATAAACTAGTCCAACAATAAGTTGCCCTTACCTGTTGAGTTCTGTCACCATGAATAGTAGTCGCAGGAAAATGGTTCATACACAACCAATGTTCTAAAGCATCAGCTCCTTTCTTTGTTTCCACAAACACTAGTGTCAGCGCTTGCTGCAACAATCCACATTAACAGTAAAATGAATTAATATTCTATCACCATTCCGTTACATAAAATGTGTCACGGGGACATCTGACTGACTTATTAAAGGGCAGAATTAATTTAGCAGAAGAAAACTGTTCATTCCAAACACCAATATCCCATCGCGAAAAAAGTGACATAATAATCAAGGTTACCCTAGATGGTTACCCTGGATGGTTTTTTTTATTAAACTTAACTCAATAAATGGAATAAGAATCCATTGTTGGACATTGAAACCATGGTTAATCCATCAAGCAGCTACTTAAAGCCAACTACAACAGGAAATTCTACCAGAGCTCAAAATTCCAAGAATGCATAAAACTACCTTGCCCTGCACACCATTTGCCCTCTGTGCATGAAGAAGATCCATTAGGTGGCTTCTCTTGTCATTCTCGGAAACAAACTCCACTCTTTGTACAATCAAGTCTGTACTTGAGCCAACCCGCCCAACAGCCAGAAATATATAATTTGAAAGAAAATCAGAAGCCAGTCTCTGCAAGAACACCAGCACCAATTTAATGAAAAATTGTTCACGAAAAAGTTAAAACTAGGTCTGAACCTAATAAATCCTATACCAACATCAACTAGCACATGATACAACATATGAAAGGCAAACAATACACACAGTGAGAGATGATCATACAAAAGCTTAATTACGCAAGTAGAAATAAAAAAGCTGATCAACCACAAATTTCAAATTTAGGAGCTAGAAGCTGCAAGAACTGCTAAAAAGTTGGCACTCAAGCATGACAGCAAACGAATAAGAGAGGAAACCTGCATTGAAGGCCGCCAACATTAACATGATATTAATAGAGAGAAACTTGGAATGGACATTACAGAGAAAATGGAAGGGCGCGCCATTGTGATATTCCTTACAACAAATAGTGCATTTCTATGTCAACGTCTAATTGATGATTCACTCAAAATCAATGCTATTTTTTAAAATGTCACATTCTAATGCCTCAATTATACAAATCTTCAGGGATAAAAGGAAGAACAAAAAGCTGCCAAGGTTTCTTCACAACACCAAAACATCTCAGCATTCAGCGAAAACAACTTGACTGAGAAAGCCTAGAAAATGTATAGAAACAGACATGCCAACCCAACAAAAATCTGAAAGTTAACTAGAACTTCAAAAGTTAACAATTAATCCAAACAGTAATAAGTAAACAAACAAAAGAAAATTAAACAGCCAACCATAAAACCACGGGGTTTTTCTCAGTAAAAGTATAGCACATAACTAAAACCTTGTCAAATTTCAACATGTAGGGAGAAGAGAATATTAAATAACAAGCAAGCGAACCTGAATTTCTCTTGGAAAGGTAGCACTAAAAAGCATTGTTTGTCTTTCACCTCTTCGAGGCATATCCATCTGCTCCACTATCTTTCTGATCTGAGGTTCAAACCCCATATCCAACATTCGATCTGCCTCATCAAGAGCTAGGTACCTGATCATTGCCAATGACACTTTTGCCCTCTCAAGCAAATCAACCAATCTCCCAGGAGTGGCCACAAGAATATCAACCCCTCTCTCAAGCTCCCGAAGCTGCAAGGATAGTTAGAGAGTTAGTTATGAAGAATAAAAAAAATCACCACAAAACTTCAAAAAACGAACAAAAGAAAATCCATAAAAACAAAGACTAAAAAACTATGCACTTCAAGCAAATGACATGTTCCAAATTACTAAAATAACAAGAGATTTAACTCTTATTATATATAACAAAGAACTTATTTATGGATATGAATAAACCTTGGGAAACATTGACCGTAGATTCTTTACGATACCAACAAACAGTAAAAGATAAAAAATGTTTCAAGCCTGCAGAAAAATTATAAATGTCACATACCTTGAACATGTTTACCAATGTCATGGCTATGATATTGAAATTGTTAAGTACAATAAAATGGCTGTAATAAATTATCAACAATATCTTATGTTATATTTCTCAATACAGAGGTATTTCAAAAGGTGAACAAACCAACTTGAACACAAAAAAGAACCATAAACTACTCCTGAACAGACTACCCTGAAAGAAAAGCTCACTACATGTCAAGCAGATCCCAGTAGAATTCTTCTGCAATATCCCATCGGAAATATTTACAATGAAACTTCCAAGATACTGCTTTATTGCTAACAAGGATTTCGATAGAACCTTGATGTCACAAATCAAGCTTCCAAGACATCAAACAACTGACTACAATCCCAGAACCCTCCCTTAGGCTAGGATGAACACAAACTTCACCCTCGATAAGCATAAGAAAGACAGTCCCATATGAGTCTTGATAACAAGAAAATCCACAAAAACAGCAGGTATCTACTCAGGACTAAAAATGAAACACAATAGAGGAAAAGCCCAAGTTTCAAACAGTCTAGGCACATTTGATAATACCCTATTTTTAAACAACCAAAGCCAACACATTAAATGCAACATATTATAAAACAGAAATAAAAGGGGAAAACACGCATTCTTATCAACCTGGTTTCTTTACAAAAGCAAAAAAGGGAAATGCCCAGAAAATAACCAAGCAATAGTGTAAACGTAAGAACCTGTTGATTTATTGGTGCTCCCCCGTAAGCCACTACCACCTTGACACCTGTTTGATAGGAAAACTTTTTAGCTTCCTCGTGTATCTGCACATGCAAATGAAGTTACAAAATATTAAAACCCCAGCAAACCAGAATACAATGTACCACAAAAAAGAAAGCACAATTTCCAGACCTGCATTGAGAGCTCTCTGGTAGGTGACAGAATGAGAGCGAGCGGGAATACAGTCCGGGTACCACGAGGTCTTTGAGGAAGGCCACCCCTCATTATACCACTAATTATGGGGAAGCAAAAAGCAGCAGTTTTTCCAGACCCTGTTTGAGCACAAGCCATCAGATCTCTTCCTGCAAGAGAGATGGGAATAGCATGACGCTGAACAGGGGTTGGTTTTACATACTTGCACCTCCTAATATTAAGATTGAGAGCATCCCCTAAATCTATCTCTGCGAATGTATTCACGGGTGGGGGCACGTTATCCCCACTTGTCTCCACTGGAATGTCCTCATAAGCATCAAAATTGATACCCGTATTCTCCTGCTCACTGAACTCAGTCACGCCATTAGCATCCACATCATCATTTTCAAAAGGGTTCACCTCCCTTTCTCGGCCTCCCCAACTTCCACCTCTACTGCCCCAACCACCACCACCACTTCCTCGACCCCCGCCACCGTAGCCCTGCCGCCCATAATCACTCCTAGAACCACCAACACCGCCACCACCAAAACGGGATCCACCAGCAACTGGTCCACTATACCCAAACCTATCACTACCAGATGGTGGTCCAGAATAAGATGGCGCAGGCGGCTCCACAGCTGGTGGCTTATTCCTCAAGTGTGGCGGTACATACGCTGATTTACCCCCGACACCACTTGTCCCTGTATTGTTCTCTGCAGAACCGGAGTTTGCCGATTTACCCCCACCACCACCACTTGTCCCTTCAGTGTTCTCTGCAGAACCAGAGTTTGCATTGTCAACAGAATCAGCCCAAGAACTCCTCATTGCCCAAAAAAATCAAAATTCTCTCTCAACTGAAGTCACTTAAAATTCAGCTAACTTTCAAAATCCACAGCTTAAAGATACCAAAAGCCCACTTTTAACAACCTGGAATACAAAATAAATAATCACAAACTTTCCTACTCAGGCCCCCTTTTTGGGTGGTAGCAAAGTTAAAGACAGCAAGCAGCAATGAGAATGCAATGAATTAAGATCAATCTAATATACAGATATCAAAATAAGAAACAGAAGCTACTAAGATCGATAAAATTCAAATTGAAAAGCAAGAAGAAAAAGAAAAACTAACACATTCAAGCAGCGTAATCGATAAAATAGCATGTCGATACATTCGAAATTAACAAACAAAGCTGCAAATAACACAAAGTTACCCAAAAAAATCTTTCATAATAAAATGGCGACTCTAAAACAAGGAATCTACTATGTTTGCTTCAACAACAACAGAATGCATCGAGAGAAACAAATCACGAAAGACCTGGTAAGATAATAAGATCAATAGCGGATATACACGATAGAGAAGATTCGCATGAATTTCCAGAACAATCACAAAAAAAAAAAAAAATAGGGGAAAAGTGAAAAAAAAAAATGAAAACCCTAGACAGGAAAGATAGAGATAAAAGATAGACAAGGATGAAAAATAGGAATCGGACAAAAAGACCGAAAGAATCGGAAAGGACTCAACGACGACGGAACCTCATTACCGTTTCGCACGCCAAATCCAACCGGAATATCTCTGTCCCAAATCTAAACAGACGGAAGAAAGAAAACAGTGTATTGACTGGTTTTGAAAAAAATATCTTCTCTGTTTCTTTTTTTTTTTCTTTTTTCTTTTCCTTTTTTGGGTTTTTGATGTATTGAAACGCCTCTTATACTTGGTTTTTGTTGGAAAATCTGTTTAAATCAACGCTGATCACCGACCCTATAAACATAGTCAATACAAAATTTGAGCGGCGAAAAGAGTATTAGATTTTTAACCTTTTTTCTTTTTTTTTGAAGTTATTATTTTAACGCTTATTATTTTAGAGGTTCTCTCTTTTTTATAGATCAATAATTTTTCACAATTTTCATATACTCTTTAATATATTTTACATATATAGGTAGCACACTAAAATACTAAACATTATGATTTAAAAAATAAGGAAAATAAATTTTTGTTTCTCTTACTATATTTCCTCTATTACAGAATGATCGTCTTGTTTGATTTGTACTCCCTCTGTCCCATAATTATTGTCCAGTTTTACTAAAATGAAAGATGTTACTTTTGGTCAAATTTAATTATATTTTACCTTAAACAACCAGATATACCCCTACATAAGTAATTGTTTAACCACTAAGATTTTATATATAATATTTTTTTCTAAGGACAAATGTGTAACTTGATCCATAAAAAGTCAAATTGAACAATAATTTTGGGACAATTTTTTAGGTAAAGTCGACATAATTATGGGACGGAGGGAGTATGTTATATTGAAAATATAATATAAGTGTACAACGAACAACATAGTCCAAAAAATCATTTTCGAGAAATGAAATTTTTGTGAAATTTCAACATAAATATAAGTGGTTAAAAGGTAATCAATGTTAATTTAAGATGAACATTTTCCAACAACAAAGACCAAATATAAGAAGCATTTCAGTACATCAAAACCCAAAAAAGGAAAAGGGAAAAAAAAAAAAGAAAAATGCGTTAAAATGCGTGCTGTGAATGATTAAAAAAGCTACATATAATTACCCTCTTTTTCGGTTCTCCGTGCATCTTTTTTTAACCTTTTAATCCATTTTCATTTGAGTGATTGATTGACTCTGTTTGCTTTTTAATTAGAAAAGCTTTTTGCTTTTTCTACGGAGGAAACATCTACTACATTATTGTACTACTTACTTTCGTCCCAAAAAAATAATTCACGTTGAGTTTTCAAATTTTTACTAAAAACAGTATAAAATTCAAAACTCAATGTGGACTATTTTTGTGGAACGAAGAGAGTATAAGTGTCGAAAAAAGCAAATGTTAGAAATACAAAATGAAATGCATTGATATATACGCAACCATAGAGAACAAACACCATGTCAAATTACTCGAATGTATTCGTTAATGCACATACACTCTTTTCGTCATAACAATCTGATGAAAAGATTACATATAAAAAATTCGAGTATTCAATATTACAACATTTATCAAATCTAATATGTACACAAATTGGAGGCCGCCCAAAAGAGCACCATCTCAGTTCTCAGCAGCACAACTACAAACTGATGTATTTATGCTCCAATTTGGAACCACGTTACGTTAGCTTCAACGCCAACTGTAAGGAAGCAGAAGAGATGATTAATGAGTAAGGGTGGCAAAACATATAAAGAGCATCAAAAGATGATTAATGAGTAAGGGTTTTAGACATCCACGAAGATTGTTGAGCGTGAATCAGTACAGAGACTGGGAGAGCAGATGATGTGATATAGTGATGTAAATAAAATGACACATAATATGGGATGGTTGTCTTTCCCTTCAGCGGTTAAGTAGTTATTCCTACACACTAATTTTCAGATACGCCTATGCAGCAATCTCATAGGACAGAAGATCACAACTTTTGCTCAAATTGTCAAGTCAAATTAGTGCTTACCAGAGGTTGTTGGCATCACTTGCTTGACTTGGATGCAACCGTTCTTTGAACAGTTGAGACACCATCCACAAATTTTGTGCGGAAAAGAACATTGGCATTGTTGAACATTCCTTCTTTTAAAGAAACAACAATGAACTGCCAAAGGGAAACACAAATCAAGAATGTAAGTTACACAGATGCTCAGATGCACTATCGATATGTTATATAGTGAAAGGCAACTTAATTATTGGTTTGCAATTGCTGAAATGCAAACTTGAAAGGCAATAAGGATGACGAACCTGGGAATGTGGAAAGTGAGATTTTATCATTCGTCCTATATTCTGCGTGTGACTAAGATCGAGAGCTGCATCAACCTGATAGACACGACAAGTAACTTGTATTCAAACCATTTTAAGAACTTACACCAACACCCCCCTCCCTGGAGTTACATTGTACATATTCCAAGGGAAAATAGGCTTCAAAAATTATTTTCTGTACCTCATCCAAAATGTATAAAGGTGCTGGTTTGAAAAGAAGCAATGCCAAAATGAGAGAAAGTGCTAGTAAGGATCTTTGTCCTCCACTAAGCTCTGACAGCGACTGCTTCCAGACACTTCCAAATGCAACACGAACTTCTAGGCCATCCAAGAAGTTGCCACCTTCAGGAGGTTCAAGTTTTGCCATAGTACCCGGTAACAAAGTTGAAAATATAGATCCAAAATCACTGAAATCATGACAGATTTGAAGTTTGTTTCAGTAAGATTTTGCAGTACGAGAGACTAAAGGATCATATTAGTCTGTGTAAAAGAGTAATGATCATCTCTACAAAACAATAGCTACATTGCACAGCTATTCACATAATTTTATAATGTAGGAGTAATATTTATACATCAAGTTAATAACTAATGAGTAAATAGCTATGCATTTTGTACAGATGAAGAGATGAAACTATCATTATTCAGTGGGGAAAGGGAGGATTAATCTACTGCTTAAGTTGCATTACCCATGCATGGGTATCCAGTAATTTGATTACTTCTTACGACAATTCAATAAAATGAGCTCACCTGTTAACCTTATCCCAAGTGACTTTAAGTGTTTCTTTCTTCTTTTCATCAAGCTCTTCTATGACCATCTTTATTTTGGATTTGTCATTCTACAACAAAAATATCGCAAGGTCAAATCTGAATCAGTGTGGTTAACTCTTATGAATCTATCTTCACAATACTTACCTCAATAATGTTCTTTTTAGATATCAAGTCATTGTATTCGTCTTCAGCCTTCTCAAACATTGCCATGACCTTTTTATTGACCCTTTTTTCAAGGCTGCACAAAAAGGAGAGGATGCAAACCGTTGGATAATTTCTGTTGGGAACTATAGAATCCAGACAACAATAATGGTATCACCATAAGAAAACTTTTGAAGCAAAGTATCCATATGGAAAGAATTGAAAATCTAGCTCACCCAGACAATTCCTCCTGTAACTTCTGAAAATTTTCCTTTTCCTTCAGAGGATCCCTAGATGCAAAATCGTAATCTGTCCCAGTCCTTCCAAAAAGTTGCTTCTCGGATGCAATCCAAGCATTCTTCTCAATCAATTTTTGGACTTTTAATGTACAATTCTTTTGATCGACTTCCATGCTTTTCATCTATTTATCATCATAGAAACAAAAAAAATAAATGAGTACCCAATCTATTATAAGATGAACATGAACCCCATGAATCAAAACAGCATGTTACCTCATTTTCCATCCTCTTCTTTTCGAGGTTTGCATCTGTGATTTTTCGTTTTAGTTTCTCTTGTTCCTTTAAAATGCCAGAAATCTGTGAATCGCATTCCTTCATCTTTGTTCGGGCCAACTGAAGCTCAGCTTCAGCCTGATTATGATCATTGCTCAGGGAAGCAACCTGCATAAGGTGGAAAACAATAGCCATTAGATATAAAGAAGATAACCATTCCCATTTTGCAAATTAGACTTCATATGCAGGAACCACCTTGTTCTTTTGAGCATCAACTCCAAGGTTAAGATTGTCTATCATCTTCTTCAAAGAATCCAATTGGCCCTCCAGCGATGTTTGTTCCTTTCTAACTGCTTCCATCTCCATCATGAGCCTCTCCATTTCATTCTCGTGCCCCTAGTATAAATTGGAATAGATCTTAGCATGACATTGTAATATTAATCTAGAAGAATCTTTTAGAGTCCTTGTACTGCTGGTAGTAGAAGGGTGTCATGCATTATGTATTTTCCTAGAAACACAGCTTCCATATAAATGACACCAATCCTTGTTGCATTTTACACTTCTATGAGTGGAGATATTGTAATTATAACGAAATTGATAATGAGATCGCGGTAGTAATCCTCTGCATGAATGATTAGAAAAACTGATTTTAGTTTTGGAAATAAGTGTGGGCAAGACCATTATCCTTTTAATTAAGCAAATATTACACCGGGCTGATGTCTTTTCTTAAGACTAGCTTGGTCAACCTGCAGAACGCGGATTTGGCCCAGTAATCAGTGCAAGTATTAAGAAGAAAAGTTAAATTTTTAACCAATCAATGTATTTCACATGTAAAATTTTTATTAGTTCGTTAAAGTTTAAAATTAGCCATACACAATTTGACAAGCAATGCATTAACGGAAAAAGGGAGGAAAATTTTCGCAAGATATGACTAATTAATCGTGATTGCAAGATATATTACTAAACTATTAGATTATTCTCCACTCTGAAAATTCTCAATTGTTGTGTTTGCATAAGTATTAGTATAGGAAAGCAGATCAAAAAATAAAATAAACCTCATCCAAGTTTGGAACTAACATTAAAAAGGACTAGAGCAACAAAACAAATTAGGGTCGACATGTATAATTTTAACAACTAGGATATGATTCGTCAACACCATATGGTAGAAGGAGGAGAAGTCTACTACAATTTCCTTTTCTATGCAGTTAGAGGTGAAGGAAACCTACATTCAGAAATACAATGAATAATTTCTGAGTACAGAGGAACACAAGCTGTTTTCATTGGATGCTTCTGTCTCTAAGAAAGTAAAAGATGCAAAATAATAAATGTCGAATTAACGGTACAGGCATACCTTGAGGGTGTTTGAATCTGATTGCATTTCAGCTTTGATTCCCTTGATTCTCTTCTCTAAATCCTTGAGCCTTTTCTCCCTGCTTCCAGCATGATGGTGGATTGAATTTTCCAGAGATTGAACTTTATCAATACACTTTTCATAATACTGTTTCTTTTCTTTAGCTGCAGAGTTCGCTTGCTCAAGTTCTTGCTCAATCTTCTTCACTAATTCACCAAGCTAAATAACAGAACATGTGGGCAAAAAAATTTACCAAAAGCTATTAAAGGCCAGGATAGGCGATTGGTTTGAGCAAGTAAATATAATAAACCAGCTGAAATATTGGTTATATTGTGCAACCTTATGATGCTCATTCTGCTCAGCCCTGGTTTGGAACAATGAAAGATCGTATGACTTGAGTTCTAACTGCGTCTTCATGTCTTTGAACTTTCTTTCAAGGGGGAGAAGCTCTCTAATCTGAATTGAGATGATGAACAGATTTTTAAAAAACAAAGACTTAAACAACAATTGATGTGTTTGTTCAGTAAAGATATATGAACCTGAGCTTCTATATCTGATAGACGCTTCTGATGATACGAGAGTTTTGATTCAGCCTCTGCCAATGTATGAAGTTGTTTCAACAATTGACCACCACCCCTGCAAAAGTAAATTAGCTTGTTCAGAGAAGAATAACATAATATACGCACATGCATTATGTTCCTCTACATGCTGTTAAAAATTAGAATGGATTGAGGTCCATTCATATATTTAGCATGTGTTTATCAACACAGTTTAACAGGAAGGCATCCAAAACATCAATTTAAAGAATAAAATTTTAGCCATTCCAGTAAACTTGGGCCGTCTTCTCAATGATAAAAGAAAAGTGTGTATGAACAAGAGCAGTGGATTTTATCTTACTTCCGGCTGCCACCAGTCAGAAGACCACTAGGCTGGAAAATATCTCCTTCAAGAGTGACACTTGGTGCTCTTATCTCTTTACTAAAAGCCAGCTGAGGACCACCAAGCAAGTAGATTACAAGTTGGACTATGATGAATGATAGCAAGGGAATCACATAGAAAAATCTACCTCCCGTGCAGAATCAATGGTTTGGCACACAAATGTTGAACCGAATACGTATTCCATTGCACTCTGTAAGACATCAACATCTATGAGTATATAGGAGGACAGTCAAGCCATTCGAACAAAACATCAACAGAAGTTATTTGCAGCAGAAAAGACAAATCGAAAACAGAGAAAAAGAGAGACGCCAACAGTAAAGGAGAAGAGAAGATAGTATACATGCAATTCTTCATCATATCCAACCAACGAAAGAGCCACTTCGGCATTTCCCAGGCCAACCTGTGATGAACAAGACTAACATTCAGGCCAAGAAACAACCAGTTGATTATCTCAAACAGAATGTTTGACGCAAATACTAACCATTTTGATAGCATTATTTCGAACTCTTGCTGGGATGGGATTACTTCGAATTTTATTGAGAGGAATAATTGTCACTCTCCTTTGAAGTTTGCCCTTATCCAGCAGTTGCTTTGAAGTAACTTCTGTGTCAACTAAGACATTAAATAATTTCCCACCAGCAGCCACCTGCAAAAAAATGTAGAGCAAGAATTGACATAGGCCTTGGTTTACTTAATACATTAAAACATGTCTAACGACGTAGGTGCTACTCTACAATGAATACTACTAACCTCTAAGGCAGTCATTGTGGAGCTATCCTTCACTTTGATGAGTTTTGCAACCACACCTTTCACCTTTGTTCTATCAAAGTTTTCTGTGGGATCCTTGTACGTAAAGTCTACATTAGCCAATTGCGAAGAAAGAATTCGAACTTCATCCTTTAACTGCTGCACAATTTCTAACTCGGCTGCACGGTCCTGCAGCATTTACCACGAAACAATAAGATTAGATGGATGTATACAAATGACATAACCATCTGAATGCAAACTTTACCTTTTGTAATGCTTCCATTTCTCCCTCTTTGTATGGTAAAGATTCTAAAGACCTTTTAACCTTTTCCACGTCATTTTTCCTACTATTGAGCTCACTCTCAACTGCTAATGCTTCTTCCTGCTTTGACGATAACTGCTTAGTTTTCTCCTTCAGCTCTTTCTCACCATGACTAATTTGTGTTTGCAACTGTTTCAGCTCTGTCTCTGCCTTTCCAACAGCTACTTTGGCATCAGCAAGTTGATCTTCAAGGCATTTCTCATCATTTCCATTGCTTTTACCTGCTAAGATGCCCTAGAATGGTATTTTAAACCGTGAATCTATAATTCCCAAAAGCAAAGGTTAAACTGTGCAGTTTCTGTTTAGCAGTTTAAATTCTTTTACCTGGTACTCTTTCTCATGATCTTCCAAACTCTTAGATAGCTCTTCAAATTTCTTCTTGAGATCAGCTGCTCCATCTTCAGCTTGTTTTGCGGAAGCAGCCATCTCCGCTGCAGATTGGTTTAATTCTTCAAGACCTCTCTCAATCTGGCATTATAAGTGATATATATGGTGAAGTTCAAATAGAAAAGGAAAAGTGGAAAAATCTTTGCAACCTAGAAAATTGGAAGTGTTTCCATTTCAAAGAGTAAATTAAACTAGAAAAATCCCAGTCTTTCATACCTTTCTAGCATTGTCCTTCTCACTCATGATGTTTTCCTCTTGATTTTTAAGCACAGTGGTTTCCTTAACCAGCTCTCGAGAAAGAGCATCGACTTTGTCTGACAGAAGTTTTACCTCTCCACCAATACTTGCTTCCTTCACCTGAGTGAGCTCTAACACTTTCTTTTCCATCTCCTGCACTTCTCCACGCATTTTTTCTGTGTTATTATCGATATCCAAAATCTTGGCCTTTATTTCTTCCACCATCTGAATGGCATTATCCCTCACATTTTCAGCTTGTACGTACTCATATGCTATGCAGAACCTCCTCAATCTATCAAGTTCAGCACTCCCATCAGCCCACTGCCTATACTGCATCCTCTCTTTCCTTAATTTCTCAAGAGCAGGAAGAATTTCCTGATCAAGAAGCTTGTCAATTTCATCCACTTTGCTTTGCTTTTTCTCAAGGGTTTTCAAGGCAGCTTCTTTCTTTGTCTCGTACATTCTTGTCCCTGCAGCCTCTTCAAGCATGGACAGTATCTCCGGAGGCTTCATATTTAGAACTTTTGTGATCCGACCTTGCATAATCAGAAAATGCGGGTTGTTGACATTCAGCTGTACTGAATGAAAAAGGTTCTGTACTCTATTCGGCTGTGCAAGGTGTCCATTAATCAAGTACTTGTTCCTTCCACCCACCACAATCTGAAATTACATGAGCATTTCACAAAACAATAACTAAACCTGCCTTCCAAGTTCCAACAAATACAATGCAACTTGGAGAGTTTATGCAACAGTCACACTGTTAAGCATCTCGAGAACTATAATAATTTGAAGCCATGTATCTTACATCTTCTAATGGAAATTGAACCTACTGTAAGTACCGAAAAGCTAAACTCTTCAATATTCCTTACATTACTTTCATCTCCAAGGATCCAGATGGAATTCCATATTCTATCAAGGACACATATACACTGTAATATCCAAAATTTAAAGGACCCCTTTTTCAAGCTTTCACTTTTCAGAACTTCATAAAATGCAAGCCATGTGCCTTCAGTTATTGGCATTTAAGTCAAAGTAAGAAATCATTTTCCGTTCTATCTTTTCCAAACTAGCGGACATCTTTACACATTTTGGATTTAGAATCAACAAGTGAGGAGTAACTGAATAAACATCCATAATTAAATAAAAAAATAAAAAGAAAATCCTTAAGCTGATAAGTAATGTAAGAATTGGGATGATTTAGAGATGTATATTATGTCTTGGGAAACAAGGGGAAGGGAACAAAAACAGGAGAGTTGCAAAGCAAGCCAGGAAGGGAAACAAAACACCCTAAGGCACCAAGAGCTAAGAAACTCCTCCATCCATTTAGGTAAATTGCATCGCCAAAACATCCATATAAGATTCAAATTTTAGTTCAAAATAAAAATTTGTTGTCATCCCAAGCTTCCATTTTTTTCGAGAACCACCTAAAAAAGCTACATAAGCATTTCCCTTCAGGTGTTATCGTCCTCTAAAGCGTACACAAAGAAAATACAACAAAATGGTTCCAGGCTTTCGCCTTTATAAAAGGTTGCTTACACCAATTCCTTCAAATAACAGCTTTCTTTAAGCTTAAACTGATAAAAGCCTAAACATTTCGGTGAAAATACCTGGCGAGTAACAGTAATTTCGGCGCAATCCTCATACCCAAGAGGGCTCCGACTCCGATCTGAATTGTCAAACACAATCGAGACCGTGGCTTTGGTAATCCCAGCTTGGCCTTGCTTGTAGACCAGCTCCTGCAAATTGGAAGCCCTAACTTGCTGCAAATTAGTAATCCCCAACACGAAGCAGATGGAGTCCAGTATGTTGGACTTGCCCGACCCGTTCAGCCCGGTTATGGCGTTGAAAAACGGGTCGAATCCTGACACAACCGTCCTGGTGGCGTAGGATTTGAACCCTTCTAGACATACTTCTTTGATGTACATTTTTCTGCGAGAATATGGGTTTTCGAATTCAAAACCCTAAAAAAGACAATGATAAAGAAATTGGGGGTTTTGTGGAGAAAATGAGTGGGGGAAGGGAACTGGGAAGGTTGTGAAGGCGGGAAAATGTTTTCGGATGACTTTCAAATGAAAAACCATGGGTTCATTTCTTTATTTATGTGAAATGATCCCCTTACTTTGGTTAAATTACATTTACGCATAAAGAGTTGAGCCCTTTTATATTTATATGACCCTTCGTTCCTGTCTCACAGTCTCAGTATGGGCTGGGCCTTCAGAGCGGGCTTGTCAACTGGCCACCACTTCGTCCATGAAGTTGGAACCAATGAGAAAAAGACTGGGGAAAAAGGAAAAAAACTTGCGTAAAAGGTTAAAGGCTTCCTTTTGTAGGCGTGCAAGCACGTTCCCATTTCACATTTGATAATGCTTTTCAAAAAAACATTTGATTACGATTAAAAAAATGAAAAAAAATAGAAGAATTGCTAAATATGTAAAAAAAAAAAAAATTAAAATGGTTGACATTTTGTGTTTTGATCTTTTCTTTCTGTCGTTCTGTCATAAAATCATAAATTTGATCAAATGACCCTTAACCTATACATGTTACTGGACTAGATATCTCACCATGTGTCCAAAATTAAATAAGACCCATTTAGTTTTCAATTGAAAGAATAGAAAAACACTCTTACAATTTGTAAAAGGGCGGAAAAAGACCGTGGGTGTAATAAAGGATATAAGGGATAACAAATAATGTTTTAATTTCAAGGGAAAATTTTTCTTATGAGGCATCTTGGCTTAAACATAAATGAGAGAAAGAATTGTCTGAATTGTTTGCTTCATTCTTTTGTTTTTTAAAAAAAAAATTAATATATTAATAACTGTCACGTCTCAGTATATTTTTTTACATTTTTAATACATATTTTTACATTTTTAATACAAAATACACATAAAAACACACACTAAAAAAACTAAACAAACATCTAGTTCACTGAAACAGTTTTTCCCAAGTAGTCATCATCAGAAAAATTCTCTAACCAACGAAAAAACACAAGTAGTGTACCACAAAATATTCTTGCTTCCCATGCAAATTTGATGGCTGGCATCTTCCATAACGAGACGTCCATTCCAAAAGAAAATGAAATACTACTACTACTGTAGAAGGAAACTTCCCGAAAAGTTAGTGAAATTAAAACTCATGTGGAAATCTTACACCCAAAATCACTGAACCAAAAATGAGATGTTCTGAATTATTATGAAAGATTGAGGCCATTTAAGAAATATTGCAAAAGAGTGAACAGTTGAAAGATTATTGGAATTTTTTAGAGCGAGAAGGTTCTGATTTATGGATGGTCTGAGAGGGGCCTTTTTTTTCTGTGCCAGCTCACATCACCACCGAAGATTCCCACATTAGAAAACTCAGCCCCAAAAATCTTTATTAGAACTTTCAAACCACAATTTATATTAACAAGGCTAAATCAAAATCTGCTGTCTGACCTACCTTTTTTTTATAAATTATTACGCCGGTTAAAACATCAACAATGTTGTTTTTTTAACTTATTATTTCTGTGGGTACGATGATGTACAATATCATGAATTCATCATGATCATGAGCAATTTGTTTTGTCCCAAAACCAGCTAAAGTATGATGATCCATCTGCCGACTGACTGATCCTTTGAATTTCCCTTTTTGGCGAAGGGGTAATTTTTGTTTTATTGAAAAAAAAAAAAGAAGAACTTTACTATAAAAATTTGAATTTGATATTCAAACCGAGTTGTGGTATTTGCTTGGTGGGGCTAAGTCCTAGTCCAAGTCCAAGTCTAATTACAAGGCAGTTCCCGTTCAATTCTGGTGTGTGGGTCATTGAAATTTCCATCTCTCTTCCTGTCTTTCTTCTCTTTCGGAAGGACAAAAAAAGGGGAGGGAGATTTATGTTGGAAAATTTTTTGCAGAAAAGTAAGAAGGGAAGAAAATAATTAGGAGAGAATGGAAAGCATGTCTGGATGGCAGGTGGTATTTTTGGGAGGTCTGGCATCATGGGTTGTTTTCTCTTCAGTCTTTAATATCACCACCAAGATTAGATCTTTGACCCAGCCCTGGGTTTGTCATCAAGTCATCTCCGGCACTCCCATTGTTCTCAAGATCCAGGTATTTTGCATGCTTCGTTTGCATACCTTTTTCTTGTTGATTTGGAATTCGTTTGCAAAGCTTCTGGAAGGTTCTGACAATTGTTTTTGTTTATTGCAGAAATATCAGCATGGAATTTTGGATGTTTTGTTCTCTGGATTGTCATGTGTTGTTTCTGTGCCTTTCTACACTGCTTTCCTTCCACTGCTTTTCTGGGTATGCACTTATAGCTCTGATTATGTTTTGTTGTTCTATGATTTTTCCCGCCACTATTTTGTAGCTATGTATTTGGATTGTTGAAAACTGAATGGGATGTGTGTTTGCTATTAATTTCAGAGTGGACATTGCAAATTGGCCAGGCAAATGACACTTCTGATGGCCTTCTGTGATTATATTGGTAATTGTATAAAGGTATGTTCACTTTTGTTAATTCACTATCAGCTGTGCAGTCTCTATTCAAGTTATATTAGTAGCTTTTAGCTCTACTAGGCTTAGACATTTGTAGTGAATATGTTAACAGGATGTCGTGTCAGCTCCCAGACCTAGCTCGCCACCAGTAAGGCGGCTAACAGCCACCGAAGATGAGAAAGAAAATGCGTTAGAGTATGGATTGCCTTCTTCGCATACTCTGAACACTGTATGCTTGTCCGGGTAATAAAATTTTTCTTAAATGTTTAATTTCGTGCTCCATGTAGGCACCACCTTTCTTGACATTACAGATTTGAGATGTTGCTGTAGGGCATTGCTGGTTTAGTGTCCCATTGTTGCATTTATCTCGTCCAACTTTTTAGCACCTAAATTTTTATAGTTGAGACACAAAAGCATCAGCACTAATGTTCCTGAAGCCAACCGTTTAATTCTTGAGCCATTATAGGATTAATCATGTGTCTTCAGCAATTATTTATAGTTCTTCATCATTTGGCATGTTCATTCGTCTTATCAATGCGTTTTTCATGGGTTTATTGCAGGTATCTTTTGCTTTACGTTCTGTCCTATGGCCAAATCAACGATGTATCCGCAGAGCTAGTAGGGTTGACCATTGTATGCGCTATGGTTGGTCTCATCGGTTTAGGTAAGATAGATCTGGTTTTATAACGTTGCTGCTGGCACTTATTTGATGTATTTTTTTTTTCTCTGAGATTTAAACATAAAGCCGTTAATTGTGCAGGGAGAATTTACCTTGGCATGCACAGCTTGATTGATATCATTGCTGGTCTAGTATTTGGCTTGGCAATCCTGGCAATGTGGCTTTCCCTTCATGAGTACATAGATTCTTTTGTTGTTTCAGGACAGAATGGTATAATTACTCATCCTTTTTCTGTATTTATCAGATTTGTGTGGGTATTAATTTTGAGTCTGGAACATCATTGCTGTATTTTAAAATCGATCCGAGAAGTCTGGGTGATAATTTTTTGGTGATAGCTGATGGCCTTAGCTTAGGTGGAAATAAGTTGTGCTGAAAAATGAAAATTTCAATGCTTAAATTATACTGATTCCTGCTGTGAAGTTCTAAAACAACTGACTATCATGGTTTTCTCATGAGCCTAGATTGGGAATTCTATTTTTGTTGGCTATACATATTGTAATTTGTCATACCTTGGATAAAGTGTGATGCCTGAAGTGCTAATAGAATTATCTTTTCATAGAAAGTTTTGATTCTATGTTATTTTGAAAATTTAGAAGAAATTTGAATCTTAACGTCTGGAGGTGAATTTCAATTACTGCAATAATTCTCTTTATCAAAATCCTCTTTGTTGGGCTTGGCACACAGTGTAGAAATTTTCGGGCATATATCTGTAGATACCATCCAGGTCAGCTGCTGTTGTTATCTTAACATTTTCAATGTTTTTTCAGTTGCAACCTTCTGGAGTGCTCTTAGTTTCTTGTTGCTGTTTGCTTATCCAACACCTGAGTTTGCAACTCCAAGTTTTGAGTTTCACACAGCCTTCAACGGTGTTGCACTTGGGATTGTAAGATTCTGCTGCTATCTCTTTTACATTCTTAAACCTGATCGGAAGAGGATTTGACATTTAAAATTGACTATATTGTTTTCTAACTTAAAAATAAAAGGACCAGATTTGACATTATGTCTCAGATTTAATTAAAGGAACTTCAGAAACTGTAGGAAAGAAAGGTAAATAATTTAGGATACTAAAGAGTAATATGTTACTTCACAGGCATAATCTAACATAGAAGAATTTGTTGCAATGACTTTGTTCGAAATTGCGCTGCTTGGTTTTCCTTCATTTTTTTCCGCTGTCAATATTTTTGTATTCTAAAAAGTGAAATGATATTCGGGCAGGTTATAGGGATTCAGCAAACCTATCATCAGTTTCACCATGAAGGCGTCCCTCGCATACTCACTCCCGACCTATCACTTCCCTTGTTTTTGGGTAGAGTTTTAGTGGGAATTCCTACAATACTTCTCGTAAAGTTCTGCAGCAAGGCTCTCTCAAAATGGGTTCTGCCGATCCTAGCTAATATTTTGGGTATCCCGGTTAAATCAACGAGCTACATTCCAACATTAACTCCCACTTCGGCCAATAGTAAGAAGTTGAATGAGACGAAACAAGCTGGCTATCTCCATAAGTTTTTCTTTTTCTCTCACCAAGACACATTTGATGTTGACACTGGTATAAGGTTCCTTCAGTATGCTGGCCTTGCATGGTCTGTAGTGGATCTTGTTCCATATATTTTTTCACGACTAAGTTTATGATTATTCTTTGTACAAAATAACTCATTTCCTTGAGACCCTTTTCCGGGTTTGAACAAGAACGTATTTTTGTATGTATATTGTAGGATTTCATTTCCCCACGAATCTTTGTACAGTCTATTGTTATATATTGTAGTGAAGAAGCGAACCAGAGTTTTGCAGCTGTTAGCTCAAAAGAGAGTAACTAGCTTCTTAATGTTTTGCAATTTTTTCTTTATGGAAGTTGGAATTCATACTTCATATTGACCTTTGGAATCAATGCCGAGAATTTGATTCCAGGATTTAACTTATCAAACCATTTCGGATTTGATGATTCTGCATTTCAGCTTTTCCTGCAGAAAGTTTATTATTTCATCCACTCATATTGCTATGGCAGCTGCTGCTACTCTATCGATCTTCCTCCCCATGCCATTCGACAAAGGTATGGCAGTTTTCTTCTTCGCAAAATTCTTGAACATGCCTGATGCTGCACTTCTGTCTACTGAATTTGGAATATCTTGTGGCTTTGGTCACCATTTTGGAAACTTTTGAAAATTTGTGGCTTTGGTCACCGTTATGAAAACTATAATGCAACTGTTCACTGTACAGTCCTCAATCATCTCATTATTATGAAAACTATGTTGCATTTGTTCACAATAGAGTTACATGAGTATGATTTTACATCATTAGTTAAGTAGACAACATAATACTTGTTTTTATTGCCCCTCTTGTAGGAAAATTACTACGAAAAGAAATAGGAGAGACATCAGTACAAGTTAATATAGTTGCAGAGACTATGTATGATGATGCCCTGATTCATAAATATTTAGAAAGAACTAGCTGCATCCCATTCTACCCTTCATGACGTGTCTTCTAAGGCCGGGAATATGTATATTGGAGATATAGTCTTTCCAATCTATTTTCTCAACTTCAAATCCAAACTGCCTTCTTTCTTCTTCAGACAGGCATCCCATCAACATGCGCGTGTTGCTGTTGTCAAACCTGTTTGAAAATTTTCATTTGCAATTAGGCCACGAGCAATAATAGAAACGGGGTGACAATTCCAACGAGGAAAGCTTTACCTTCCACCATAGAAAGTGTATGGCTCATATAAGTTGGCTAGGTACTTTGCTTGCTCCACTGATTTTCTGCAGATGTTCTCGAGCTTTTCGGGTATCTTGCCATTCGGATGAGTCATTCCTGCTAAACCACTTCGGTGCATCGCCTCTCTCCAGACGTGTGAGGAGAAATCGTCCATAGAGTTGAATAGCTCCATTCGTGGAACATGAATTGGAGCCCCATTGGAGTCTATGCATGGACAGGAACCAAAGTGCTCATAAAGCAGTGTTGCAAGGTCTTTGAAAACTAAAGGATTTACAACAGATGAAGCAATCTGGTAGATATTGCTTTCTGATTTTCCAGCTTCCCCATGCTTTGCCATGGCTGCTAAAGTCGCATTAACAACCATATCTGCTGGAACCTGAAACAACCCTTTTGTTACCATAACAAGTTGATACCCAAAGTGTAGGCTTGGTAATACCCTATGCTGATACCATTAGAGAGCATGCTTTTTGCCTAAAACCAAGTACATGCACCTTGCCCTGAACTGCCCATAAATTTTACTTCTTGTTTTGACTAAGCAAAGGAATTCGTGTTATATATTTGTGATTAATTAGGATGCATTTACTTACTACATCAAGGACACCATCGGGGTCTACCAGAAATGCTGAGAGTTGTCCTTTCCCGTAGTACAAGACAACAGGATCCATCATCCTGGGGGAAAAAAAACAAGCTGTTTACTCAAGTATAATGTTCCCAGTTCCTGTCAGGGTTTCAAGCAACTCAGTTGGGCACAAGATATTATACCTGTTACCTTCCATCCATCCAGGAAATGGTTCTCGGTAGGTGCTTTCTATAACACTTGGCCTAATGATTACAACAGGTACGTCGCCTCTTAAACTGTCAATCATCATTTCTCCCATAGCCTTTGTGAAGACGTATGTATCTTGCCATCCAAATTTGTTCGCCCTGAATATTTGAAACAAGATTTCAACTTATATAGCATTAATAAGTACATGACAAGTTCAATGGTTTTGTTCATTTATTGTTTGGTGGAATCTTCTGGTTTAATTTACCTCTTTAAACCAAGATTCTTCATTTCTTGAACCAGGACATCATCATCTTTGAGAACTTGTTTTGATTCTTTCACTAGCTTTAATTCTTCTTCAACATTTAAGTCTGGGAGAATTATATGATCTGCTCCATACATGAGGCTCTTCTCTCTCGCTATACTGTCACCATTACAGAAGGGTTTTTCCATTACTGTTCCTTGCCTGCGGCCGTTTACATAAGCTGCATGCAAAAAGAACCATGTATCTAGTATATGTAAAGAAGCTTGAAACTCGTAAATGAATATATAAGTTCTTGTATGCTTGCCTGTGGAAATATGTAAAAAGAGCTTAACTTTGTGGCATTGCTTTGCGAAGGTAATCAAACGGCTTGGTCCTCCAGTGTTTATGTCTAGGGCAACATCATATCTACATAGTATATACATTCATGTGAAATTCCATATTTATCAAATTGGTTTACAAGTGATTATTCATTTTATCAAACATGATCATCAGTTAGTGTAGTTTGTACAAAACATCTTTACCTTTCATCAAAAGTTGTGTTGGCTGCAGAGTTGACAATAACGTCAACTTCCTTTGTAATCATGGTTGTCGTATCTTGATCTAAGCCCAGATTAGATTCACATATATTTCCAACTACTGGAACCATCTTGCTCAACATAAAAGCTTGATACGATTTCCCGTAGGTTTGCTTGAGACACTTGAAAAGCTCCGCATCGATAATCTGTAGAACAAAACATCATTTTAAAACTTGTTACCATCAAGAAGTATGAAAATGGAGGAAGACAGTGTGAGATTGATCCTTGCTTACCTCATTTTTCAATCTGTCCATGGCAACTTCCTTGTTCTTTGCCTTGATCAAGATGAAGATCTTACTGACATCTGGTGCAGACCTTAATATCTTCTCTATAAGAACTTCATTTTTTGGAATTATATTCCCAATAAATAAAACAAGGCACGTTAGCAATTTATAAGCTGATAAAAAGCAAAAAGTTTGTAAGTGCTTGCAGAAAAAGAAGAAGATCAAGTACATACCTTTTCCAAGAAATCCAGTAGCACCAGTAACGAAAAATGTCTTTCCTCCAAGAAACCTGGCGATCCCAATTCCATGCTCTGGTGTCTCCATCAGCGATGTCAAGGTCCCATTCACCTCAAGCTCAGCCTGACTGTTAACTCCACCTCCACCACCATTAGGACTCAAAATCAAATTGGTTGCTTCCATCAGACCTGCAGCACTTTGATGATGATGATCATCAGCATTGATCAAACTTGATCTTTCAGTGACGACAGAAGATGACCCACTAGACTTAATGGCCTTCCCAGCACCACCGCCTCCACCACTTTGGCAGCACACCCTGATGTTCTTCTTCACTCTGAACAAGAAGTTGTTATTACCATTCCCTGACAGCCTTACCACATTATTGCTTGATGTATTACTAGTAGTACTACCAGCAATTTCACTTCTCCTCCTCCTCCTCACCTCATTGTTTGATGTAATGTTGAAGACGGAGGAGCTTAAAGAAGAAGACAATGCGTCCATAACTAAGAGAGCACAAAAGGGATGATGCTCCCCTACCTAAGGATGTAAAAGAAAAGATTATTTTTTTCTAAGTACTAAGAATTTCTTTTGAGAGGTGCTATGTTGGTTTACAACTCTCTTTGTGTTGCTACACAAAAGAAAGCAAAACCAGTCAACAAACGAGTCTCTAAACAAGAGGGGTTGGTTTTGGTTTGAATTTATAAGAGAAGTGGGAGATAAAGAGAGTGAATGAATAAAGATCAAATTTTGGAACCTTATAATTAGGGGAAGAAAATGGCTCTCTTTTTACCACACTTTCCTACTTCCCATACTTCTCCTATCATGTAGAGTTTTCCTCCTGTTTTCCTTCCTACTTGCTGGCCCTAAAATACAGTTATAAAATTGTGGGAAATGTCAAAGGGAGAAAGGGTGTGAAAAACGATGAAAGTTCAATGTGATGATCATAATTCAGTCCGTTAATGATGATCTAGTGATGATACCCTAAAGTAGGCGAGGCGGGAAAAAAGTGTTTTTATTATTTTTTGCAAAAAATAGCTAGTCTTTGAAACTCTTTTGATGGAAAATTATGAATCTATTCAAGACATTAAACACTGATGAATCTATTCTACAAATATGATTAAAAAAAAATTATCAACCAGTCTTATGGTGTTTCTTTTTTGATTAAGTTGTGTTATTTATAAGGTTTTTCCTTCATCTAACATAGTAATCATATGTCAAGTTCTATTAATAATAACCTACATATACAAATGGTTTCAATTTACACTTCAACCAGCGTTTGTAGTCCAACGGTTAGGATAATTGCCTTCCAAGCAATAGACCCGGGTTCGACTCCCGGCAAACGCATTTTCTTTTTATTTTGTTCTTATGCTCCAGCTTTTCACATCGTATGTCCCCATTCCAGAGAACCAACTTCATCAATAAAATACTCAAATTTTCTATTTTGCTTTCATGCTCCAGCTTTTCAGTTTTCACATCGGAATTCCAGACAACCAACTGCATGAATAAAATAAATAAAGATAGAAAGATACAATTCATTTGCTTAAGTAATGGAACAATCTAACATCTCTTTGCAAAAACAACAAAGAAGACATTCCCCAGTGTATTATCTTCAGTTACATATGCAGAAATATCAGGAAAACAACATAAAACTACTAGTCTCCTGAAGAACATCGAAGGCAGTTGCATTCAAAGCCAAAACCTTTATACAGGATCGCTTTCCGGGCTTCATGATCCATACTTGCATCGATATAGCATATCCGCAACTCTTCATCTACAATATGCATGAAAAGAGCGTTATCAATACGCTATACATTGCACATTTTGTGACTCATGCCAGAACTAATTCAAAGCAAACATGCACATTTCAATGTGCTTTTTTCAGCAAACAGAAATCGCAAATTAGCATACAAGGGTTTATGGGGTTGAAGCCAACAGCGGCACTGGGTTTATACAAAAACTGCTGCGTAAGCACAAGACACTATTTCATGAATATTAGGGATATAAATCCATCTAGGAATGAGCTGATAAGAATGGCTTCAGCGAGATAACACTAGCTGGTCCTTATTGCAGCTCTTTTCAAATGCAAAGCAGAAAGTTCCTGAAAGAATATAATTAGCCCAGCTACCTGCAATCTAATTTCTTTAAGCTTAGTGAGATATGGCTTGTACGATGATGCCACAATTCAGTAAGAAAAGAAAAAAAAACCCTCTTGTTTTCCACTCCCACAAAGGGGGTCCTTTCCAGTTCCCAGAGAATAGAAGTTCAGTTTCTGCATATCCTTTTTCATGTATCAATTACTAACACCAAGAGCTAAAAAACAAACCTGCTTCAATATCACGGAGAGCTTTCACTTGTGCATCCGCATTATGTAGCCATAGGATATGCGCATTAGGATCTGCAATAGAAATAATAAAATGGAAACTTTAAACACTGAGAAGGACCCCTCATAAAAGGCCACGTGTCCAGACAAGTATCTGCCGTCATTCCCTAAAGTGGATCTCCCTTTTTCAAAACAGCCCTTTGAACTTCCTACTATATATCTCCAAGATTCTGATCTTTTACTTACACATAGATAACATTACTCTCTTGACCAGTGAACCTGAAAATAGTAACTTCATTACAGAGGGTTTGGGTTTACCCAGGGACTAAACTTTACCGCCAGTATGTTTTGCAGGTCATCTATCTCTAAATCTAAATCTACATGGACACTGGAAGTACGAGGCAGCATCAAGCCTGCCATGCTATCCAGCTTATCCTTTTTTCCTTGTTTCACAAGTAAAACTGCAGATCCAACAATCTGTATAACTACCCAGAATTAAGCCTAATCTTCCTCATCCAGATTTTTTATTCAGCAGAAAATGAAATTCAAATTGAGGAGTATGAAGGTCAGAACCTCATAAGTAGAAGAGTCATGATTCTTACCACAGTCATGATTGTAGAAAGACGGAAGCATGTAAACAGCATTCCCTACAGCTGCCTCTGCCTCCACTGAAGCAGCCGCAGAAGAAAGAAGGTCTTCATAGGATCCACAAGCCAATTCCACCCTGAAGGCATTAATTCGTATACGCGCTAACACGCTGGTGTACCATTTCTTGGTCATAACTATGTAGTCAAAGATATGGGCTTCATCAAACTTTGAGGAAACTTTGGTCATAACAATATAGTATACTCTAATACATCATGACATGAAGAATCAAGGAAAAGCTATTCTTGAGGGAGCATACATGCCAACTGCTCTGTTGGTATATCTGCATCCTGTAGGGTACTTCTGAGTAAACTAAACTCCTTCTCAACCTGAGAACAAACACGGAATTGCTATTTCCACCGAAACTAAACAGAGCCAGGGGGAGCGCGGGGTGGTTGTGGAACATAATGTAAAGTTGCTTATTTCAGTAGGCTGCAAAAGAGGCATTTTGAGTGTCCGGATGATTGCATCCTTCCTTTAAAGAATAACTTCCCAAACTAAAATACCAGAATCCTCTTTCGTGAATTGACATATTTGTAATTATCCCGCAACAGAAACTTGTAGAAGTACAAAAGCAGCTTTTATTTACGATCTTACCAGAGCAATCATGTCAGAACTTAAACTAGCAGGCTGTAGTATGTCAAGAGTTGCAGCATCTGCAACTCCAGATATGACAAGACAAGCAAACCGCTTCACTAACAGAGGATACTTTAAACCATGTGTCCTTCAGAAAAAGAGAAAGCCAAACAGAATGACGAGATTATTTTCATGGAAAAACAATCATGACTCTCTGATTATAAAAACAGTGTACAAATCCAAAAGAAGTTTTGCTCCAAGATAGCACATATAAAAGGTTTGACATGGTATATAACAATATCCAAAATGAGAAATGAAATCAAACATGCCCATAAAATTGTAAATTCCATAACGTAAAGAATAAATACCGTGAAGAGATAACATACAGGCAATAATCGTTAAAAGCTGACCAATCAGCTGTCTTCTCAACTTCTTGAAAAAACTACAAAGAGATTGGAAAAGGCATAACTTAACAAACTGAAGATAGAGAATCAAAGTTTGGAACAGGTTGATTACTATGAACAAATTGGTAAGGGTACTAAAAAGCTGCATCGAAATTTTACAAGGAAAGATTGCTTGATACAACTGTACTAGTTACGGGCTACACAGGTAGCTTAAAAGCAATAACAATACTGCTAGGATCTGTAAAAGTATAAAACCATGAGAAAACTCCTACTATCTAAGCTTTGTAGTTTGTGCCACACAAATAAGCTAATATCTTTCCGTTTTGGAACTAATTAAATGAAATATGGAAACTCAACTTGGCCTCAAAATTTACAAAGGATCGCCAAAACCAATTTGCGAACCTTTTTACACCGTCAAATTCAATCTCGCTTTACCCATTCATCAGTCATCAATTTTTTATGCAACGGCACAAAAGCCACGTTACCTTAACAGACTATTTTTTCTAGTTCTATCTGTCTTTTCTTTTCCCTTTCTCCCTAAGAAACAAAAACACAAACACCTGATGAACAGTTCGAAATGCCATCTTTCCCTAATAAAATCACGGTCGTCTCGTTGTAACATTTTTATCTGATCGCTAAAAAAAATCTCGGAACCAATAAATAAGCAGAATTCATCGAACCTTGGATTGGATTTTGCACTCGTCGCTGCAAAACGGCATAAGATCCTCGTCGTTGAAGCTGTGACTATTATTTGCGGGAAGCCTTTTCAGGCAAAAGTAGCAGACACTGTGGAGAAAAGATAGAGAAGGGTGGCAAACAACAGGTTTGGCCGTGTGGATGAGTTCCCCTGCTCCGATTCTCCGAGTAGCAAAAACACCTCGGCCGGCCGAGGCTGTAAATCCGACCTGAATTGGAGGCGGCAATGGTTGTGGCGGAGCTGAGGGTTGATTAAGACCGGATTCACGGTCACTGCAGCCGGTTCCAGGGGTGAAGGTCGTCGCATAGGAAGATGAAGGATTGAGGAAAGGCGGTGGCCCGCGGCGAAGGGCATCGAAGTGGGACGCCAAACGGCGGGAGCTGATCCTCAACATTTTGTCTCCTTGTCGGCAAACTTTTTGGAGGGAAAAGAAATAAAGTTTGTTGTTTGTAGCTGAAATTCGGCAAACGACGTCGTCGCTTCTTAAATGCCTTGTTTGTGCTATTGAAAATTCCTCCGTCCCAAATTTATTGTCTTCATATAATTTTAAAGTCGGCGAAATAAACTTGAGCATTTGAGCTCTTCATGTAAGAATCGACTCAAATTCAGCTAATGAATGTTTATATTGCGCAGGTCAATCTTTGTTAATACTCCCTTCGTCCCAAGATTATTATCCACTTTGAAATTTCATTTTTAGTACGATTTGAACTAAAAATGAAAACCCAAATTGGACAATAATTATGAGACGGAAGGAGTAATACTGATACACAGGTGGTTTGTACACTTTAACAGTGTTCCTATATTAGAAAACTAATTAAGCATAATACACAATTGAATATATATATTTATATCTATATCACCAAATACATATAATATCAATCAATCAATCCATCATGATGCAATGGTGACCTCCATTCCAAGTCTTCATCTGGATAGTCCCTCTGCAATTCCTTGGGAGAGATGAAGCAATCCATGGAAAGACCCGGAACATTGAAAGCAATGTCATCAATGCTCCAGACTTCTTCCATCCTAGTAAATGCAGGTCCAAGCTTCAGATTATCTCCGAACCTTGTTATAATCACAGTCGATTGCCCCGAATGAGCAACTTTCACGCCCTCGACACATCGATAATCTTCCATCTTTGTGGCCATTGTGGTTTCCCAGTAGGTCGGGAGCGATCCAGGCGATTGTATCCGGGTCAAATAAGAGTCTTCTAAATATAGAAGTAATCCACTTTTTTGGCTAAAGTAACCGAAGATTGAATGTTTTATCATTTCAGCTGTGTTGTCACTGCGTTCAGCTAAGTCGGCGTGATTCGCAGATAGTTTTAGAACAAAGCAATCCACTTCAAAAATTTGTTTTTCTCCCATGTACTCTGCTTGAGAAAATATGGTTGCTATAGCCATTGGGTCCAATCCCTGCAACATTAACAACTTATAAAACACTTGACTTAAATTTTTCGATCATAAAAATTACTCTCTTCGTCCCAGAAAAAAGTTTTGTTTATTAAACTGAACTAGTAAAACAAATCAGATTCTATTTCTCGAAATGGATGAAGTAGTGAAAAGCGTTACAAGGAAATTCAGGAGGACGGAATCAACCAACTTTTTAAGGTTGAAGGATTAAAGAAGTGTCAAGTTGTGTCCAAAGATAAAAAAATGAGAATATAATAAAGAACTCCCACTACGGGGGGATCTAAATCTTTTACCAAGGACAAACACTACAAAAGGTCACACTGAAGTGAAAGCACATAAAAAGCCATATCCTAATTGGCTTCCATACATTGGGATATCCCACATTAAAGCACAAACTCGAGACAGGACAATATGGAAAGTGTCCAATAGCTTTAGTGCTTTACCATTCACGAATATATATTTAAAAAAAAAAAAAAAAATCAGTTGTGAAAAATAAAGAAAAATCCTTGCCTGAAAAGACCGGCGAAGAGGGCGGCAACCGCCTTTAGCAGCATGAACACCTAGCCAAGGAGTATGGCGCCAAGCAAGATTGCCATCACTACCGGCCACCACTTTGTGACCACCCACAGCTAGCTCAATCAGCCATTTGTTAGGCATCATTTGCCACATTACGAAACAACCCTTTTGTAGATTAGCGTTATGATTGCTGTTACTATTTGAAATTAATAACGAAGCAACCAATCCCGTGGCGGCTCCTCCTCCTCCTCCTCCTAAGCCCAATTGATCATGGTCAACTACCGCCATCGCCACTTTTCCGGTGGCATAAATGTTCTTCACTAGGCCTTCTAGCTTTCTACATCCAGTTGCAGCTGTAAAATGTTGTATAATGTATTGAGCTGAGGATGATACCTAACCAAAAAAAAAAAAAATCATTAGCAGAAGCTCGTTATACAAAGATTAAGGGAGGAAAAAAAAAATCAATTTACCCATATCAATTAAATTAGGTACCAACAACAAAAAATAAAATAAAATTTTGATCAAGGTCAGTGGCTCAGGCAGGCATTTAAGAATATTGTTGGACAAGGTATAAATGTCTGTCAGCCTACCTGATCTGCTGACTGTAGCTACTTGAATCTGTTAGGAACATTAAATTGAATAATCGAAGAATATGCACCCAAAAAATTAAATCACAGCCTTGAAATGGAATCTTTCTGAATTTATCATGTGCAATATGCTTTGTGGCTAAACTCATTGGATCTATCGTACTACTTTTAGAAAGAGAATCATGAATAAATAAACTTGTAAAACTAAATAGTACTTTATTATCATATTCCTTCACAAATTATAAAAAAAAAAAAAAAAAGAAGAGAAAAAGAAGTAGTTAAACTGTAAGGAAAGGTCAAACATTCACCGCCCATACATGTGGTAAAGAACTAAGGATGAGATCAAATTTTGTGATTAGCTTTGCAAATGGATTACCTGATGAACTACACATTAAAAAATCTGATTATATACTATCTAGTTTAATAAACATAACTTTATACTATTGTAACGCAAGTGGTACGTACTAATCTAAGAAAACACCAAGTTGCTTTAATGTGAAACGTTATTGTTGGAGGGGGTAGGCGTGCCCAAAAGGCCAAAAGGACAAGATTAAAGAAACAATCAAATAACTAGTTTATGCAAAAAAGAAAACTTGAGACAATAACAATAAAGAATTAAAAAGGGAATCTCACTCTAAAAGAGTTTTCAGTTTCCATAGAGTGGTCACATGATCGAGTGATGGATGCTTGACATAATTAATTATTATAATTATTATAAATTAATTTTAAAATAAGACCTCGTTTCCCAAACACCCGTCAACAGTCAAAAACCTTATTACTCTAATTCCTTTTATCAAAATTCTGTTTCTAATTTTTGTACCTTTTTTTTTTTTTTTTTGGGTCCAACGGAAAAAATATACTACTACCCCTTTTATCTCAATTTTCTTGTTAATGCTAATAATTGAAAAGCAAAAGTGTAAATACAAAAATAAATGTGATACTACAAGTATGTACTATATATTCCAAAAATTAAAATCGCGCCTAGCTTAACTAGAGTTCTTTTATCATATTTTTCTATGCAATAAAAAGGTTGGGGAAAAGAATAATCATCATTAATTAACACTAATAATGCAAAAAAAAAAGAACAAGTGAAAAAAGACTTACTTGAGAGGTGGGAGAAGAGGGATGAAGAGACAGAGGGAAAAGAGGGCAACCAAGAACGCTCAAAAGGATCCTTAGCTGATCAGATTTCTTGTTGAAGAAGAGCTGAAATGAGAAATGGGTTCGGAGCCATTTCTTCCATGATTGAACTTTACTAATGGAGCTGTTCTTTGAAGAAGAAGAATCATCCTCATTTATAATGGGCTCCTCTGACAATGGAGCTAGCTTGCTCATACTCCTGATCATCTTCTGGATCCTTACTTCTTTGTACGAATAATATACCCTAAATTTTAAAACTTTACTTCTTGATTACCTTCTTAAAACCGCTTATATATTGCTTCGAATTTTGCAGCTGATAAAAAGATAACTTGAACGTGATTTTTGGTGGAGTCTGATGATGAGAAAATAAGAAGAAACTGGAGAGAGACTGAGGCGAAGAAGAAAGAAAAGGTTTGGATGGGAAAAAAAGGAGCAAAATATGGCTTTAGTTGAACTCTCTCTGCAGAAAAGAGAGAATGAGATGGGACTGGAGAGCCAACATCTTTGGGACTGCTTCGGTACTCTACTCACTTCCCACTTCCTGCGCGTGTTTCTCACTTTTTATCTGTGTCTTTTTTGTCTTTCACTTTTCCTTTTTTTTAATTAAAAAAAAGAGAAACTGAACCACTAGGAAAATTAAAAACACAACACATGAAGAGCGTATACCTTTGAAATAAATGTTGTAACCCTTAAAACCCTAGTGAATCGATTCCCTTGTTCCTTTATTAATATAAAGATAAATGATAGTGCTTAATACCAATGTTTTCAAAATCGAGATTTTACACCGGATCGTTTTGGCGTCTCAGGATCGGATCGGATTCTGGATCGGTGAAATCGGATTGGTGGGATCGTAACCATTTAAAATATTATAGTAATTCTGAAATTACGAGTTTCAATTTGTTAGTTCAATTCTTGTTTGATTTTATGGCGGAGAAGTAGATTAGTGCCCACATACATATCATTAACTCAACGTTTATATTTTTTCTAATCATTTCCCTTCCTTCTTATATAAAATCAACAACTTGTACAAGTATCGACAAAATCAATGGGATCGTTGGATCGTAGGATCCTACAATCCAGATTGGAATTTTGAAGGATTCCATAAAATCCCACTACAAAGAAGGATTTCATAAGATCCATGATCAATTTCCTAATTCTGGATCGCAGGATCGTAAGATTCTAAGATTCGGATCGGAATTTTGAAAACTATGCTTAACACTTGCCGTTTACAACATAGGAACTATTTATAAGAGGAAAAAAAAATCAAAAACCTATCTTATCCGAACATAAGGTCAAGCATTTTGATCTAAGACCACTGGACCTTTTGTAGAATGAGGATACTTTTGCTTTTTTTTTTTCCTAATTTCAATATTTAATCATCAGACTCTCCATTATAGGCTTCCTCGGAAAACATTTTATTTATGATTTTGTTTTGGATTTAGAAAATGATTTAGAATATGGTTTGCGTGAAATTTTAAAATATTATATGAATGGTTTTTTTAAGAAAAGTATTGAGTTCACTCTAAAATAATAAATTTTAAAAAAAGGTTAATTTTTGCATTATTCACGTTGATTCTGTAATTACCTCTGTTTGAAAGCTTTTTCCAATGTTTTTCTCAGATTTTTTATAATTAATAAATGTGTCATCACATCATACTTTTTTTTTATATATATATTTTTAAGATTTTTTTTTTCATACTATACAAGGTGTCCTAAATACATTGCATTCGAAACTAATCCGAGTCGGGTCGGTTTCCTTTCGGAGAGAAGGTTCTTAATATCTTTTTATTCACGAGACTCAAACCCGAGACCTCATTTAAAGAAATCAAACATATTACCACTTTGGCCAAGCAAGTTTTGATTTAAGATACTTTTTTACATTACCAATAAAAATCTGAAAACACACTTAAAAAAACCGATCCAAACATTCTAGCCAAATGGGTTTTCAAAGTCGTATAGCATCGAGGTTTGTGTAAAGATTGATTGGGAAGGTTATGGCTCTTTTTTAGAGAGATGTAGGGCTTTGTGTTTATTTCGGAGTCAAACTGAGTTCTAATTGTGTTTATATTTTCTTAAAGCGTTTGATAAATCTAAATTTTGAAATTGAATGTCAGGGTACTTGGCAATGAAACTGCCGACTGAAGTGCGCATGACAGAATGTTTGGGACCTAATTAATTATATTCATGCAGTCTGGACACAATAATTTTATAAATTATAATTGGGCACAAATTAATGTGTATGTTATCAATTGGAATCTGAGGGAAACAAGCTTTTACAAGAAGTTAAAATGATTTTTTTTTAAAAAAGAAATATGAAATATACAGTACACGTTGAACCCATTATTATGAAGGTAATGATCCATGTGAACATGGAATTATGGCAGGGCATGCTCTGAGATAAATTATTTATTTACATTTCTTAGTGATAGTGAATTAGTGATCCGGCTCAAACGATTTAGTAAGGAAATGGAAAAAAAATAATTTTCGTCCTTGATTTTTAACATGCTAAATAAATTAAAATTATCATTTGAGTTATACTAAGTCCCGCTTGATTATTAAATTTATGCATCCTATTATCAATTAGGTCAAGCATGATCTTCGAGAGATTATATATAAAGATTAATGGCTCTTCTTCTTCTTCAAAGTTGTTTCATGGTTAATTAGAGTAGAAATTGTCGGAGTTAGAGCATCCACAATGGTTTACACTATTGTGAGTATAATGTTATAAATTTTTCATATTATACTTACATTGTAAAAGTGTAATAAAATAAAATAATTTTAGTATTATCATAAATTCACATTAATTACATTCAACACCAAAAAGTGTATTATACAGTGTGTAAGAATTTTACACCGTATAATATTATTACACTCAACGTAATGATAAATAATATAATAAAGTAGTCATTTACTTGTTATTTACCAACATTGTGGATGCTCTTACTCATCTTGTAATTCAATATTAAGATATTAGGTTATTGCAGTTTCGACTGCAACTACAAATTAAGTGTGCGGTTTCAAAGATTAGTAGTACAATTAACTACTCTAATTAGTTAAGAATGATTTTTAAAACGAATATAAGAGATGATGGAAAACAAACATCTCGAGAGGAATGAGATTATTTGTTAATTGAAGATGATCTTGGCAAAGATATATGAGTATATCCGTTGGATTTAGTACATTTAATAACGTTAACTAATGCTTCCCCCAAAAAAAAAAAAACGTTAATTAATGGAGATGATAGCATCCTCGACGAAACAAAAACGACAAACATGGAAGAATCGATGCCTAGATCAAAGAAATATAATAAATTAAAATTAATTTATGCTAAAACGTATTAGTACATTTTTAATTTCCTTGTACTCGTAACATTTCCTTGTTCAAGATTAGAACCTATACATTTTTTCCTCTTGGGTTAGACTATATTATACTTTTTTCACGTAACTATACACAAAATTCATGGAAAGACATATATGAGTACTAGTTAAAAACACTAGATTTTATGTAGTACTCCCTCCGTCCCAAAATTATTGTCCACTTTGAGATTTCACTTTTAGTACAATTTATACTAGAAATGAAAACTCAAACTGGACAATAATTATAGAGCGGAGGGAGTACTAGTTTGGACTTTGGATTAAAAAATCATAATATTCATATCGGATAATAGTATGTTTTATATATGTCGATATATAATATAATAAAAATATTTTTTCCGTAATGAGATTCAAATACATATAATGGGGGACCGTGACTTTTATTTAATGGCCGTTTACTAATGTGATCATGTTTGTTTACCAAAAAATAAAAATCATAACATACCATAATTGCACTCTCGTTCTCTTTGTCATTCATTCCATAAATTACTAATTATGATCAACTTTAGAATCGTGATTCGTGCATGTTATCCTCCTGTCAAAGGAAAAGACTAAAAATGATTATGTTTTTTAATTGGCCTGTTTCTCCGCATGAAAAGATTTGATTTTTATTTTATTTTAAAAGTAATTTCTCTCACTATTCGGCTTAAGTTTATTTTTCGTGTCCTCATGGTACTTCATTACCAACCATATCTAAAAAAAAAAACAACATATAATTGGATTATAGGATTGGAAATCATCTCAGGTTAGCAGAGTTTAAGGTTTGTTGGGATTTTTCAAGAAAAATAATTAACTACCGTTTCGCTCTAAAACGATAGTCTCATTTATTTTATTAAAAAACATGTTATAAAAAAAGTTTTCCAAGAAAGCCTGAGTTAGCTTGTATTTTTTAAGTAACAGATATATATATATATATATATTTGATAATAAAAAAAATAAAAAAATAGAAAGTAGAAAATAACAATATAGAAAAAGGGGGAAAATTAAAAAAAAAAGAAAAAGAAGAGGCGCGTGGTGTGGGTTAAATACAAATACTTGTACAGAAATACTGATAATGGTGTACAAAGGTAGTACTTGGAGGAATTTCAGTTGGGGAAGATGGAATAGAAGGAGCTTTTAAGGGAGGCAAGGCGGGCAATGTGTCATCCTATCAACTCCCATTTTTCTTTTCTGCAATTATTACCTTTCTGTTGTTAGTTTGGTACTGTCACATTTTTGGCAAAATTCCCATTTTATCTTCCGCTTCAATTTGGAATAAATTATCCCATAATATATATACCCATCCATCCATCCTGAATATATATATGTGACCTTCTTTGCGCCAAAACAGTTCTAAATAAGTATATAATTGATTATGTTTAATGACAAAAAAAGATTCGTAAATTGGTGATTTCAGTTAAAGGATTCCACTTTAATAGTGCGAGATTATATTGATGATTTATTTTTTTCCTTTTTAACCATTTTTGGCTGAAGGATAATGCGAGTCTCACATCTAATGCTTTAACAACCTCATTCTCCCGTAAATAAAATCGAATATAAACCAAACAAATTTTGTTCCCAACGTTTTTTTGTCATTGAGGCACTTGCAATTTCTCTTTCAACCTATTCAATGCCGGTGAAAGAAACAAATTTTAGAACCTACATTTGGTGGCCTCTTTAATTTGCCTCCCCGTACCAGTGAAAGAGATAGTTATCGTTCATTTCTTTCAAATCTACCCAACTTATACTTAGTAATTATTGCCACCTTATTAACAAAATGAATTCCTTTTGCTTATGATTATTGCTAGTAAAATAAGGCGGGAGCATTAATTTCCTAGTATAACCAAAACGAAAAAAAATCTCGTGTCCTTTTTGTATCTTATTTTTAGTTTAACAAACCAATCATAATAAATAAAATAAATTAATCATCTTTTTCGGCCTCCGTGAATTTTCATCATCTACCCCTAAAATTATAAATTCAAACCATCAAATCTTCACTTGAAAAAACTAATCCTTTCGATCTTTAATTATAAGTTACAAATTAATTCTAAAATTAGTTTAAATTTAAGTATTATAGTTACAATCAGTGGGAATAGAATTTAATAAGAATGAGCTGGGGGATTAGATGTGTTGGTGGAGCTGATTTAATTACTACCATCATGGCTAGTTGCCGTTTGCATCTTTTCAATTAATTAGAGAGATTGGACATTTTTCTTGTGTGGAAAACAAATCTCGACTTGAAGAATTTTTATAATACTCTCTCTCGTCCTAATCATAAAATGTAAATTTGAACTAATGTACTCACAGTGAGTATATCTAATTTATACCTTAGGATCATATAGAGTACTCTCTTGGTCTTATAATTATTGTCCAGTTTGAATTTTCATTCCTAATTCAAATTGTATTAAAAGTGAAATCTAAAACTGAACAATAGTTTTAGGACATAAGACTATTTTCTAATGTGCTCATGTTTGTCATATTGGAGGACCTTAATCCTTGGGCTGATTGAAAAATTACATTCAGACTCAGGAAGATGTTAGGAGCCCATTTCTGAGACATTAAATGAGCTTGGTTTGGGTTTTACACAAGAAATTACTGATTCTTAGTCCGGGGTCAGACTTCAGACGCTAGGTTAAGAAGCTTCAAGATTACTCCCTTTTACGGCTAAAGTTTTGGCCCGACTTTTTGGTTCTGAGAATAGCTTCGGAAATGGGCTTCAATAGGTCCAACAACAAATGAACCTGCATTGACAAAATTGGATTTCTAATGGCATTGAGAAACCCAAATTTAGCAGCAGAATTATGAACTCGTCAATGGATGGTCGAAATTTCCCTACATAAGCGGCTAATTCTTTAACCAAATGTTTTGTCTTGTACACCAAAATTGCATGTTTTGTCGATACTAATCTTGAATATAACGTTGAAAAAAATAGACATAGTTCAATTCCTTTTCTAACATAGGTTGTTGAAACCCCCGTCGATACTAATCCTTTTTTTTTTTCGCAGTAAACCCCCGTTTCTACACGGTAAAATAGTAATAATAGGTTGTTGAATTTTTTTTTCCATTTTTCTAACATATTCAATTAAATTATTTTCTTAGTTTGACTTTTAAGTTTTGACACATTGAAATGACTAAATTCTAAAATGACTCTTATTAAATTACAAAACAGACACCTTAATATTAACAAATTGACACCCTTGAACTACTTTTCTTATTTAAACCACGTGCCACTGTAAACTTTTTCATCTGCATCCTTAATAGGCAATTTTTTTAATTTCACTTTTAACCCAAATAATTTGATATTTATTCAATGTTAAATTTGTAATCTGTCCGTTCCAAAATAACATTTCACTTTAGTGCAATGAGCATCAAAATGAAAATTTTTTCCAAAAAATAATGTAATTAATTAGTGAATATTAAAAATAATTTTCTATTTTTTGTCTTTGATTTCAACCTTAATATTTGATTAAATACTAGATGATCAGATATAACAACTACTTACCAAATTAATAAACGTCACCAAACATTCTCGATATATATGTTACAAGTTAAAGGTAAGTATATCATATTGTTATGGTTATTGATCAGTTGTCTTTTTGAAACGAAATATTGTCTTCTTCAAATAAATTGCTACATTTTTATGCTTACACTTAAAGATTATTTTAAAGTGCATAGATTTAATAGTCATCGACATAATTTAACGCCATACACGGTGGATAATGATGTAACTAAAAGTATAAACATAGTAAATAACAAATGTATTCAAAGTATATAATACAAGAACTGATTCAGTAGTAGTACTAAATAATAGAGACAACTATGCATCGAACTAAATTAGACACACTATGAAGAGTACATGATATCATAAATACTTCTCAACAACAATAAATGATTTCAAAAATAAAAAATTATAAATAACATATTGTTTTAGATAAAAAAAAAAAATCAACATGACCAAACCATGCACGATTAAAGAAAAATGTGTTAATTGCATTTTATCAACGACTTTCCCACGACAAATAAGCATTTACCCATACCATTTTTTACCCACAACAAAGATCGTAGGTAAGTCTTGGTTAATATAACTTTTACCCATGACTTACCCACGAAAATTTTCGTATGTAGTTACCCACAAAAAATCTCATAGGTGATACGTGAGAAATGTTTTGACTGAAAAAAATTACCCACCACTTACCCACGAAAATCGTCGTGTGTGATTACCTACAAGATTTCTCATGGGTAAATCGTGGCAAAACTCTTGGCGGGAAAAAATCACCCACGGATTACCCACTAAAATTTTTATCGTGGGTATTTCTGTGGGTAAATCATTAGTATGTTGTGGACTTTTATTTTTTTTGGACCAGACTTTGGTCAACGCTTCATAGGTAATTCGTAGGTATTCTTTGGGTAATTACCCACGAATTACCCACGGCGGGCTGAAAGTCGTGGGTAATGACCTGCATTTTTGTAGTGTATTTGCATTGATAATCAATTGTTATTTACATAACGAATTTTTTTTTTTTTTGGTTTTTTGGAATAAAATGATTCTATATATATAATTAAAATTTAATAAAAAACGGCTCATCGTAAATCATTTTTCAGTAGTGTATAACTAATAAAAAAAACTATATATTACTTAGTTATTTTCAAAATAACATGTGAAGCTCCCCAAATGTTTCTTCATTTCTGGGAAAAAAACCCTAATCAACCAATCAAGGAGAGAATTTTAAACAATTATCTTAAATTTGAGTAGGATTTTCTTATTACGGTGACTTAATAGGATTTGTTGGCAGAGCCATCAACTTCTTAGCTACTACCATCTTAACGTAGTTTTTAAAGTACCAAATGAAGGTGTTCACATGAAATAGTTGCCCATGAAAAGAAAAGAAAAAAAGAAAATATATATTAGAATGAAATAAAACAATTTCTTATTTTTGAATTGCAATAAAACAATTTTCCTTCCAAAAAAAAGAAAAAAAAAAGAGGTTTACGATTTAGTGTTGTTAATGAAGTATGAATTTAGTCTCATTTGGGTCCCAAAAAAGTCCCAATAATCCGTCCATTTATATTTCGCCCAAATTCAATAGTATCCATTTAGTGCCCAATTTATAAATGAGCGGTTAATTTGACTAATTTTCTTAACAATAAATAGAGTCCTAATAGCTATTAGACTTTCTTTTTTGTTCCTGTCCTTTAATACATTCTCATGGCTGGCGTGGTCACCAACTCAGTCCTCACAAGTCAAATTCTAGTTCCTCATCCATCAAACGGAGATCCAACATGTCAACTCTGTGACATGAATACCCATATAAACTAACATGTAATTTTATTTTTTTTTGAAATGGCACTAATACCTAGTTACACCTCAAAACTAATTCATTTATAAGAAAAATAGCACATGAAATTTATATACTAATTTCATTTGTTTTGGACAAGGAAATTTGACACTTTTTTATTCATTTTTAACACACTCTTATCAAGTTCATTGCGTATGGACGGATAATATATATATATATATATATATATATATATATATATATTTGGACATGTGCTAATTATTTTTCCGGATAAATGCGTGTTTATCGAACTAGTAAAAGTTCAAAATCAAACTCTATATTTTTCAGATGAGTTAATCGTTTTCAAAAAAAAAAAAAAAAGCTGAGTTAATCTAAATTTCAAAGTTTGTTTGTGGGCCAAAATATACTGTCATGTGAGTTGATCTTGCCCATAATTTCCACAGTGAACAAAATCCACTCTTATATCATTTTGAAACCCCATTAAACTAGCATGTTATTTCGCCTCAAAACTAATTGGACATGACTTATGAGTAACATCTTTACTATCATCATATCTTCTTAGTTTTCACTCTAATTGATCAATTTGATGATATAGTCAACTACCCAGACCAACTAATTAGTAGTATTACTCCCCTGTCCCATAAAAAATAATCCACATTGAATTTTGAATTTTGTACGATTTTTAATACAAATTTGAAAACTCAATGTTGATTATTTTTTTTGGACGGAGATAGTATTATTTTCAGGGTGAATATTTGATAAGAAGAAATACAAACTAATAACTTGTCTATTGGCGTGACAGATATGAGGAATAATTGACGCCGACTGATACACAATAACATATACACAGTACTACTAGCATAGCCAACAACAACAATGCAAACTGCAAAGTTAGAATTTCACCAAAAAAAAGGGGGAAAAAAAGAAGAAATCAGAAGAAGATACATTAGTATTTAATTATTTCCAACTCACATGCATGCCTGATGCCTTCATATCTCTCCTCTGATTAGTTCAATTAACTCCGGTCGGTAGATGGTACAAAAATGAAAAAATAATGCATCACAAACTTGCTCTCTCTAAATAAACTCAATACGGTGTGCAAGTCATCATCAACTTAAACAATTAATAAAAAAAATTTAAAAATTAAATGCAACTGAACTGATCAGCTCATAACTTTAATCCTAGATCTCTTGCGGAACAAGTCCCCAACTCTCCGGCGTCCGACGTGAGACTTCCACAATGCCTCCCGTCGGAGACGTTGTCTGCATGGGCGTCCAACCACCCCAACTTACGCTATTCCGATAATAAAATCCATCCGTATACCGGACCCAGATCCAAGTCTAACCAAGCAAATATATTATTAATTGATATTATTATAATATGGCCGCTTTCTCTCCGGCTACCCTCACCCCAAAAACCACCACCACCACCTTACTCCGCCCTTCCTCCGCCGCTTGTTTCCGGTTTCCAACAGCTCTGAAATTTGACCAATCTGGCTCCTCATCACAACACTCGAAGACCAAGTACGCACCTTATGTTTTATGCACCCTTACCAAACATCCCACGACGTCATCCGATGAGCTCCAACCGGCCGAGTCCCTGCAGCGTCGGCCCGACTCGTTCGGGCGGTTTGGCAAGTTTGGCGGGAAATACATCCCGGAGATATTGATCTAAGCCATATCTGAACTCGAAAATGCCTTCAAGTCCCTCTCTACCGATGAAGACTTTCAGACGGAGCTTGCCGGGGTTTTGAAGGACTACGTGGGAAGAGAAACCCCACTTTATTTTGCAGAAAGGCTTACGGACCACTACCGGCGGCGGCCCAATGGAGAAGGGCCTCATATCTATTTGAAGAGGGAAGATCTAAACCACACCGGAGCCCACAAGATCAACAACGCCGTGGGTCAAGTCCTGCTCGCCAAGAAACTGGGCAAGAAACGGATCATCGCGGAAACCGGTGCGGGTCAGCACGGCGTTGCCACCGCCACGGTTTGCGCCCGGTTTGGTTTGGAGTGTGTTGTCTACATGGGTGCCAAAGATATGGAGAGACAAGCTCTCAATGTCTCCAGGATGCGATTGCTCGGCGCCGAGGTAAAAACTTGTACTCTCACGGTCTCAAAATTATTGTGCAGTTTGAGTTTTTATTTTTATTTTAATGTATTAAAACTGAAAATTCAAACAGGACAATATCAATTTGGGGCGAAGGAAGTAAAAGTTTTAGTCAAATAATTATGTTCATCTTTGTTTCTGCGATAGGCTCTAATTAATTATAGCAAATTTGAATATTGCCTACAAACAAACAAACTAACTAAATACAACAACAGGTAAGGCCAGTTTATTCCGGCACGGCCACACTGAAGGATGCAACTTCAGAAGCTACCCGGGATTGGGTGACCAACGTGGAATCGAGTCATTTCATCTTGGGTTCCGTGGCGGGGCCGCATCCGTACCCGATGATGGTGAGAGAGTTCCAAGCCGTGATTGGGAAAGAAACGAGGAAGCAGGCATTGGAGAAATGGGGTGGGAAACCGGATGTTCTGGTTGCATGTGTGGGCGGAGGTTCGAATGCGATGGGACTGTTTCATGAGTTCGTGGATGACAAGGATGTCCGATTGATCGGGGTTGAGGCTGCCGGTTTTGGGCTGGACACCGGTAAGCACGCCGCAACTCTGACCATGGGTGAGGTTGGGGTGTTGCATGGAGCCATTAGTTATCTATTGCAGGATTCCGATGGCCAGATACTCGACCCTCATTCCATTAGTGCTGGGCAAATTATTTTTGTACCATAAACTCTTTGACTTTCATCATCACATTCTTTGAAATGTTACTGATTTCTGAGGATATATACATACATATATAAATACACTTCTTTATTTTGTTGCTTGAAATTTGAATAGCCTAGATTACCCTGGAGTAGGACCTGAACACAGTTTCTTGAAAGATACTGGACGTGCTGAATATTTTAGTGCTACTGATGAGGAGGCTCTGGAAGGTGGGTTATTTCCTCATTTACTTTTATGTCGATTTAGGGTTTGCAAATTATTAACGAAATATAAAGAGAGATAAAAATAAAATTAGAAAAAATTGTATTTAATATTGGATTGGTAATGAAGTGTAATAGATTAAAAAAAATTTTTGGTACAAATTATTAAAAAAAAATTGAATTCACCCTAATACAATATATAAAAAAAATAGAGGTAATATTATTATTGTTATTTTTAATTTTTTTTTGAAATTAACTTAATTTGAAGCTTTATTATCTAATATAAGCAGCATTTAAGAGAGTATCGAGATTGGAGGGAATCATCCCGGCGCTGGAAACATCTCATGCTCTGGCATTTCTGGAGACACTGTGCCCGACCCTCCCTGATGGAGCCAAAGTGGTTATTAACTGCAGCGGCAGAGGTGACAAAGATGTTCAAACCGCCATCAAACATCTCCAACACTAAAATCAAATTAAAACAAACCACTGTTTCCAACATGTTGTACACTTATTTTTACTTTTGTTATTCTTACTCAATTTTATTGTAAGCAAAGTATTTCCCTGTCTTATTCTATATATCCTACGTTTTCCAAATCTAATTATTGAGTACAAGGAAAAAAAAAAGGTTTATATATATAAGAAAAAAAATTATGTATCTATCTGGGTTCAATCATTTGCAAGCTTCTTGTTGCTTCAATAATGTCTCATCATGCAAAGATTTAGATTAATTCATACTTTCATTTGTAACCATTTACATATTTTTCACTAACCATTTTTGTCACCGGGGTTTAATTTTCTTTTGATTTAGTTAGAATTTTAATCTTTAAATCTGAAGAAAGTAGGTACAACAATGAGTCTTCTTCTTCGTCGGCGGATTGTTTCGATAAATCAATTGAAGAAACGGAATAAAGCATACTTTTATACGGGAAAAAGTGAAAAACAGGTAAGAGTATAGGGCAGTGTGTAAACTTACCCAAACCACAATAAAAATTAACTAAAAAATGAACAATAACAATTAATTTCTTTTTTATTGGTACAAGTAACAATTAATTTCTTTTTTTCGCCACAAGGCAAAGTGGGTTTTTCTTTCGCATCAGTAATCCAGTCAACATATCAGTATCCAAGTCTTCGATCTTCATCCCGGAAGGAAGTTCCCAATCAAATGCATGAAGAAGGTTGACAAGTGCAAAGATAATGATAGTGATATTCCTGGGCAACTTTTCCTTCCTGCTCCAAATCCAAACGGGATCAATTCAAAATCATTTCCTTTAACATCAACCGAACTGTTCAAAAATCTTTCCGGAATGAAATTTTCCGGGTCTTCCCAGATATCTGGATCTCTCGCAATAGCCCATACATTAATGATGATCATGGTTTTGGCTTTAATATCATATCCTGCTACACTGCAATCTCCCGTTGTTTCTCTTGGGAAAGTTGTTGCTGGTGGATATAGTCGTAAGGTCTCTTTTATTACTGCATTGAAATAAGGAAGTTCTTGGATTCCTTCTTTCCCATTGAATATTAATGTTCCTTTCTTTTTAACAAATTCTCTGATTTCAATCTGCACCCTTTTCATTGCTGAAGGAGACCTCAATAGGGCCAGCATAACCCATATAAGTAAGGTTGAAGTTGCGTCTGATCCGGCTACAAAAATATTCGGTGAAAGACCAACATTTTAGGTTTGAAAATCTCGACAATATGCAATAATAATTAAGAAAATTATTCACGTCGAATATAAAGGAAGAAAGTATGTGTACCATCATCACCGCTTTGATGTGATCCCAACTAAGAATGTTGGATGATGATTGATCTTCTTTAATTTGAATCAAGAGATCAAGAGGTTGTGCTTCCTTGGATCATCTTTCTATTAAAGAATTCCAATCCCAGATCGGTGTTGTGAGTTTCTGATTATCAATATATAAGTTCCATGGCTACTCCACTCATCGCCAATTTGTTTAATAATTATACTAGTATCAACATATACAAGTTAGGATGTATAAAAAGAAGAATTGTAAAAAAAATGATGAAAATACCTCTAAATGCAAAAGCATGTGCACAATAGTTTTCCGTAACTATTTAACGACCAAATTTAACAGAATGACTTTGGATGGATTTTTGATTTAGTACGGTGATCGATTTTAGAAATAAATTTGATTGACCTATTATGAAATTACCCAATAATTCAATGACATGTTTTGTGATTCACTATTTTTATTATATAAAGTGTCTCACGATACCGATGTAGAAAAATATTACTTGGAATTTTATCACCCCTCAAATCCAATGGGTTTGAACTAAATCACCAGATACACTGCTAGATTAGGAAAATAACCCTGAAAATCCCCTCAAAATCTAATGGGTTTGGACTGAATAACCAGATACACTGTTATGTAGATAACCGTAGAATAACACATGGGCCGCAGAATAATATTACGGGTTAAAATTCACCACAAGCTGTAGGTTAGGAAAATAATCGTGAAAATCCCCTCAAGTCCAACGGGTTTGAACTATATATAACTAGATACACTGTTAGGTTAGAAAAATAACTGCAGAATAATACATGGGGCGCAGAATAACATCGCGGGTTAAAATTCAACCACATGTCGAGTCCGCTTTGATACCATATAGAAGAGTTTATAAGATTGTACCTCAAAAGCAATTGATATTGAAAGGAGTAGCCCATACAACTCATATATTGATACAAAATGTCTCGTAATACCGTTGAAGGACGAACATAACTTGTAGGTTATCATAAAGGGATCGAGAGAGGATGTTAGCGCATAAGATTAAACATTAGAATCTAGAAACGTTATTCAAATTAGGGTAGGATATATCAAGTAAACCACGTACATGAAAGCAAACTTAATTGAAATGCTAAGTCATGACAAAAGAAATTTATTAATCCCTCCATCCCATAATTTTTGTCCACTTAACCCAAAAAATTTTGTCCCAAAATTATTGTCCAATTTGACTTTTTATGGATCAAGTTACACATTTGTCCTTAGTAAAAAACATTATCCATAAAATCTTAGTGGTTAAACAATTACTTATGTAGGGGTATATCCGGTTGTTTAAGGTAAAATATAGTTAAATTTGACCAAAAATAAAATCTTTTATTTTAGTAAAACTGAAAAATAATTATGGGACGGAGGGAGTATTATTCAACCAGGATTAAGACTTTTTTATTCAGATAGGATCCAGGATACTAGACCGAAAGCTTGATGAAATACATAAAACCTCGTCTAATCAAATTAAGGCATTTACTAGAGAATATTCTATTTGTAATGTTTAAATCCTGGCCTGCGAGAATTAAGAATACATTATTTTCATTAGTAAAATTAACTTCTACTTTTATTAGAAGAAATAATGACAAACTTTTAGTGTAGTTTGTTTTTAGTGAAAATAATGGATAAATTTTTTTCTTAATGTACTAATTATAGTATTAATAATAGAGCGTAATAGAAAAGGGAAACAAAAGACGGACAAAACAAAAAGAATCTTTCTTCGCTAGAATACCATCGGCTAAAGATCTTGGTTCCCCGAAAAATGCCAAATACATGATGATTCACCAACTTGACGGCAAAACCAGGTATAGAAGATCATATTCAAACTTTTTTTTTTTTTTTTGGACAAAGAAGTAGTAGATTATATTAAACCATACAGTAGATAACTTCAAACTTTTTTATTTGTTTTTTTTTTTTGTGGTTAATCTGACAAAGAACTAGTATTATATTAAATAAATTATGAGGAAGATGCTACCCGGTAATATAAGCAGTCTCATGTGCTAGGAAGATTCAAACCCTTAACATATGCTCGTAATAATGGTTTCATTACTTGTTCAGATGAATTTGACTTTTGAAAATGTACTTGAGACGTAGTATGGCGACAACGAATAGGACCACATAGCCATGCGTGATAGTGAGAGTATAACCATATTAAGGGGACTTAAAATAAATTATCTGGTTCATTTGATCGGTTCAGGTGTCATTATGGGCAATTTCATAGTACTCCTAAAAAATTTGTCTCTATTTAGTCTTTCCCTTCCCAATGAATAAGAAGTCAATGCATCGTTCGACACGCACATAATTTATTATTCCCTCAGGTCAGATTTGATTGTTATGTAATTCGTGGAGATCAATCTCATTATCTCGATCCAGGTCTCATCTTGGCCGAATTCAAACGTGTGAACGCGAGTAATTTGCTATTTTTTCTTTCCACAAATTTAATTTCTACATTATAAATTAAAAATTATAGTACTAACTAAAGCTTCTTCGAAGTTCACAATCCAGGCTGATCGACTGCAAGCAGCTATTATGGAGTGACGTAGCGGAAGCCCTATCAATCGGACGACACATCAGGCAGTTCATGATAATCTTGTTCGTACTGTCGCGCGCTACAAGTCCTTGGCAAATGTGCATCGTCGTTCTGTTGAGTTCGATGTGGGTGATCTTGTCTGAGTTGTTTTGACGAAAGATAGTTTTAAGAAGTTGTCTGTCAAGAAGATTGGTCCTTTGGAAGTTTTTGAGAATATCAATCCGAATGCTTATCGCTTGAGGCTGCCTAATCACCTTTGCACCGCGGATGTTTTTAATGCCAAGCACCTGACTCCTTATCCTAGCGACAATTCCCCAGCTTCAAATTCGAGGTCGAATTTTTCTCATCTTGGGGAGAATGATTCGGTGATTATTTAGGGTCTCTTATTTTTATTTATTTTCATACATTTTATTATTTGGAGGGTATTTTTAAACTTTGTACCTTTCAGGGTTTTATTCTGTTCTCTATAAAACTTGAACTATAGTGTTTTTGTTCGGCAGTTGATTTGATTAATACAAAACGAGAATTTCTCTCAATCTTAGTTTTTCTGTATCATTGGTTGGAAGAAGAATTAGAAGCCTTGGTTATTATTAGTTGTTCGGATTAACAGTTAATTTTAATCGGGAAAATCGTTAGTCGTTGTACCATTTGTTGGGGGCGATTAGGGATTTGCTTGTTCGTTCGAATGTTTGTTTCGATTCATAGGGCTTTCGCTACGTCAGTTGGTATCAGAGTACTGACGTAGCGGAAGCCCTATCAATCGGAACAAACACTCGAACGAACAAACAAATCTCTCCTCCAACAAATGGTACAACGACTAATGATTTTCCTTAAATTTAACTGTTAATCCGACCAACTAATAATAACCAAGGCTTCTAATTCTTCCTCCAACCAATGATACAGAAAAACTAGGATTGAGAGAAAAGAGAAACTCTCATTTTGTATTAATCAAATCAACTGCCGAACAAAAACACCATAGTTCAAGTTTTAAAGAGAACGGAATAAAACCCTGAAAGGTATAAAGTTCAAAAATACCCAACAAATAATAAAATATATGAAAATAAATAAAAATAAGAGACCCTAAATAATCACCGCATCATGGAGTTTATAATATTTGAAAATGTCTGGATACATCTACCGGATACACTTAAA